GGAAGTAACGAAGTGGCTATAGTTAATTACTATAATTTATTACCTACCCCCATATTATTAATAGAATTACCCTTACGATATTACTATCGGCCTTTTTTGTAAGGAAGTAACTATAAAGAAGCTAATAGTTATATTTATTACGAGTAAAAAGGGTATAGAATAATTAATTAAATTAGTTCGTATTATATATAATATCTATAAGAACGAAGTACCTTCGCTATTATAGTATATCGAATTAATTCAATAGGGAGGAGAACGCGTTAATTGGATGTATATAAGTAAATAAAAATGATAAAAATAATAAAAATGATAAAAATAAAAAATGTAAAAAAAATGATAAAAATAATAAAAAATGATATATTAGCAATCGATTAGATTACCCTACGAAAAATCTCGCCATTTAATCGCGTAGCCTTAATAACTTTATTGAATAATTTAAAACTATTAATATTTTTATTTACTGTTATTTAAGTAGATAAATATTATAAGATTTAATTAATTTGCAATTAAAGGACGAAATCCTTACCTACGCGACGTAGGTTTAAATGAGCGAACTAGAATACCCTATCTTATTTAAATACGTTATACTTTTCAAATTAGCGACCCCCGAGATTATAGAATATAAATTTGGCGGCGTCTAGTCAGCTATCGCTACTATAAAGGGTACAGTAGATAGTAGCCGCTAGGAACCTTCGAACGACATCGTTAGTAATTAATTTTCTAAAGCTAGAAATTCGCTTAGTTTAATCTAATAAATCTATATTATAATTATAGGGTTTATTAGCGGTCGTTTTTATAATTACGCTAATTAATATACGTATTATTATATCGTTAATATAATTAGTATGGCGGTTATACTAAAAGATTATAATCCCTTTCGATAAATAATATTAAGGGTTACGCGAAGTCTTATTACGTAGACCTTAGGGTTCTTTTCCTATAGTATATATCCTTTTTTTTTCCTATAACTAATAACGTAAATATAACTTCTTACAATTAAATTACCAGTCGGTAAATTTATACTGATTAATTTAATAATATATATTATTAAAAAATAATTAGTAGAGATGGTATTCATTTGCCGTAAATTCAATTTTATCGTTCTCTAATTTAAAGAGCGTTTATTAATACTGCGGCAAATTTTTTAATAATACGTGTATAATTTAATTAAAAATAAGGATATAATCGGCGGCGGGGTTAGAATTAGCAGCGGTAGTAATAGCGGGTTTATCTTCTTATACCTCTTCTACGGGCGGTGGATTTAAAATAGGGGTAACAATTATTATAAAAAAATATTAATTATAATAATTTATATAAGGACTATTTATATAGTATTTACTACCTTCTAGTACATTTTCGAAAACGGTATTATTACTGGGCGCAAATAAAGCCTCCTTATTTATTACTACAATTCAAGGAAATACGCCGGGTATAAATTAGTTAAATAGTAATTTATTGATATTAAGATCGCAAAGTTATTAGGGTTCGTTAATATTCTATTCGGGTTCGTAATCAAAAAAATTTTAAATTTCTTTTTAATTTATAGCAATAATAGGTTCTTATTTATTTATAATAACGATGGCGAATTTTCAAGAAGGGTAATAGTAGTATTAACGTAATTAGTAGAGAGTAATTATATAAGGAGAAGTAAAAAAGTAAATAAGCGAAACGTCAGTAGGGAGAAACATTAATATACAAATTATTTTTATCATTTTTCTAGGAAGTAACCGTACTAGCGGTAAGATTACTATACCCTTACTATTACAATATACCAAATTTTATATAATACTGGTAACTTTCTTAAAATACTAGTAATTTCGTTATAGATAATGGGAATCGTATTATCTAAATACCCTTTATTTATTGCTAAAGTTGTATAAAAGTATACGAAAGAATAGTAGTATAATTATATTATCATAAACAGCACGTATATTTAGTAGTACATTTAGTTTTGGCACGCGTAGTTAACAAACTCCATATTATATAAATATTTACAATATTTTTTCTGGATGGGAGGAGGTGATTGGGGGTGTGGTACGTATCGTTTTCCAAGTCGGATACGCAAAGCCCTGTAACCCCCCTGTACGTGGCTTTTTACTTGCATAAAGGCCTGTCAGCTTCCTAAAATGGGTTGATAATGTGCCAAGGCTTGTTGATCCAAAAAAAATAGAAAAAAGCTGCTTTTTTGCCGTTAATCGAGAATATCTCTACCATTTCTTGCTGCACATCTTCGCGGTTTGAATTACCGATAGTTTGAACCCGTGGCTATCGAATGCAGCCCTTTTTTTTCCATTTCTGAATACCTTCATTTTTCGACCTCAAGCTCAAAGTTCTAACCCCTGTAGCGCCAGGCAAGTTCTACCCCCTGTAACGCTAAAGCCTTGGCAACAGGTACAAGAGGCCCCTTGTAAAAGGCTGTATATTTTGCTTTGTACACGGATCAACAGAACGGATACTATGGTCGAAAATTGGAACGCGCCCCATCAGGGCCAATAGTTTGTGGGTTGGAGTTATGAACTTCAACACCGAGCTTCCACTTGTGCTAAACCAATTTCCTCTTCCCGCCGACTATCACTAGTCCAACCTCGTCTATTGACATTTGTCTCAATCTCTTTAACCGGTTTTTGCGCCATTTTTTTCCCGGCCCATAAAAACTTCAGAGTACCCAGCTCCTAAGCAGCTAGTGGCTCTGTCAGAGGACTTATAGCGTCCTGCTAAGATACTCAGAAAGTAGCCTGAAGTAGCCAAAGGGTTGTATTTTGGTGTTTGCGAAACGTCATTGGCTACAGACCCCTGTCGGGAAAAGAATGGCGCAAAAACCGGTTAAAGAGATGTGGCAGCGGCAATCGACGAGATCACCGCCCGCCACAAGTAATCTCCGTGACAGAATGGGCACCGTGACATGTATTACCTCGTCTATTATTTCCAGTTTCTGCAAATCCAATAGTGGGTTCCTCACTAGTCAACGGTCGGTTTTGTAGACCTGACGTGTATGACCCTGCGCTTGAATTGTTGCGCGCCTGAGACGGCAGACATTCGAAAACCCCGACAACTCGCACCCCGCTATTCAGCGACTCCATCTTTCATTTCCCAAACTCGCTCACCGGTAGATGTGTCTGTCATCATCACGAGAGAGTATCGCTATCTCAGGCTGCCCTACTCTAGCTAACCTCCGGATCTTCTCCCAGGACGGCGAAGACATTTGTTTTAGGCGTTGCACGGTGATGGACATCATGGTTGTTTCGCCGTCTCGGTCCCGTCCCGTCCCATCCCACTGCACTGGGAGCAAGTGGTGGATGGGATGAGGGAGCATTTGTTGCGCAAGATGGAGATCGATCGTCTCCAACACACACGAGGCACGGCGGTATTCGTCGGGGGGTCGCTGTACAGATCAATCTTTAAAAGTTTGTTAGCGCGAGACCTGCAACGCCTTCAGAGGACATGGGATTCCGGTGCTCCTATTGGTCCAGAGCAAAGGTAAGAACGACAATTGCACACATCGCACGAAAACTTGACTCCAATTACAACGGGCAATAACGAACCAGATGCTATTCAACCAAATGCTACCTACTGTCGCCATCCTGAAAGTCACGGTGGTGAAAGAGCTCTCTGCAAGTACCACGCTAACGAAACGCGCATGGAAGTTCACAGTCACCCAAATCCCAAGTGGATATTCCCGGTCAGGAGTGCGGAAGATCCCATTGGCTGCCAGAGCCTTGGGGACCACCAACATGCTTGGGTTTCGTCCTTGGCGAACTGCACGCAAGCAACAGGCGAAAGCGAGCGAGCGCTGGGAATAACGACAAGAAGAGTTAGAGACGTCCGCGGTGCCCGGCGTGGATTACAGAGCATCGCCTGTATCTCCAGCCCCGAGGGAGTGGGACACCAGGGACACCAGGGGGCGCTTTCAGCGGACATCTCTCTTTCTTTTCTTCGTCTACCATTTCCAAAATGCAATATCTCGACATAGCCGTGGCGTTCTTCTTCTTGCCGAAAACCTGGACCGCTCGCGTTGCCATTTTGTCACGACGATGCGTACGTTCGGGACTTGACAATTTCCAGAGTCGTTCCGGTAGTTCAGACTGTTGTACCCGCCCCGCTCCGCTCCGCAACTCGCTCGCATCGAGACACACAATCACCCAGGCAAGTGCCTGATTGTGGCCTGTGGGCGTTGATGGGCGGAAGGATACCGCTCCCCAACCCAAACCGACCTGGCCTCGAGAGATCTCGGTCGGTCTAAGCAAGGTCAGGGGGCAGACAGGTGCGGGCTGGAGTCCTGGGCCTGGACAAGTCGGGACAAGCCGTTGCGCAAGATAAAAACAACACCATACCCCTGGCTTGACCCAGCAGTTGATGAACGGTCAAATCCCGGGGTTAACGCTCACATGAGACACACTCGTTCTTTCTAGCCTCTTGTTTTGGTCGTGTTCTTCTTCCTGTCTTGTCCCAGTTGGCTGGTAAATATCAAAGTTCCGACGAACGTGGATAACGCTCTTCTCCTTTAACTGATTTTATCTCATTTTAGATCTCTCCACTCTTGGGTTCAACATTTCTCACTCAACCCACGACCATCGAACGACCATCGAGACCAATACCCTGACCACCACCACCTACTCCGCTTCCATGAACTCTGGATAGTAACACAACCACAAACACTGCGAACTTCGAGGCCCTTGAACAACAGCCATTGCTTAACAGCTTATTTTTCGATTCTCAGCTTGACGACAGTCCGACGAATAGCAAAGAGACGCAGATATCGACAAGAGCGGAAATATCTTCCTTCGAGGCTCTAAACCGGCGGCGTTTATACTTCTTGGAGATGTTTATCATGGTGGTTCTACTGCCTCGATTCCAATAAAAAACCATTAACGGATCTTCTCGTTCTTGTCGACAGCGAGACTCTGTGCACTGGGCCTTGGCCCTTTCGCTAGGAGGTAGTCCGCATCGGCACCCTTTCTACCTTCATATGCTTCAACGACCCCCCTCAAAGCCGCTGAGCGATGCCAGTTTACGTTTCTCTGTCTTCCAACCCTCGGGGAGCGTTGATTCTGGCTATATTTTGGAGTATTCTAGCCGTCTGCACCACCTTCGTAGGCCTTCGCTTGTACTGCAAGATCATTCGTGGCCGCCGCCTTTGGTGGGATGATCACTTGTTGATAGCAGCTTGGGTATGCCACTCATCCATATTTCCTTCAACTTCATATTCCTTGCCTTAGTTCCCCTTGGTATTTATTATCCAACCGGTCATTCTTGGTATTTGGAAAGACTTTTCCCCACACGAATAGAGCTGACACAGTTTCATCACACAGGCCCTATTCTTCACAAACGCCGCCATTGTCACTACCAGCGTCCGCATGGGATACGGGCTACACAACAATGATGTACCCGTGGGAAACCGGATGTTACTGTATATTCTCGGCAATATCACTGGCACCACATCGGTCCTCTACGTGCTGTTCAGCAAAATATCCTTTGCCGTGACGCTTCTTCGACTCACGGATGGCTGGTTGAAGCGACTCATCTGGTTTATCATCATTACTTTGACGCTATGCCAGCTCAGCAGCTCCATTACGTTCTGGCTTCTGTGCAACCCCCCGGAGGCGACATATGACCCTGATATCAAGGTCAAAAAATGCTGGGGCCCCACCGGTCTCCTCGCCTACTCGATTGCTCTCGGAAGTGAGTATCTGACCCAAAACGCTATTCCACCAAAAGCTTTACTGACTACTCCTCTCTAGTTTACTCAGCCTTGTGTGACATCGTGCTTGCGCTTCTACCGTGGCGAATCCTTTTGCGATTCCACATGTACCGAGGCGAAAAGGTCGGCGTGGCTGTAGCCATGAGCATGGGGGTCTTGTATGTGAAAAGCCCCAACCTCCGGGACTATAGAAATTTTGCCGGAACTCTGCTGATTGGATGATGAACCTCATAGTGCCGGAATCGCGGGCTTTATCAAGGTGTCGACAGTCGGCAAAATGGAGAGTGACGACTTCAGCTGTCAGTTCTCCTATTCCCACACACGACCCCCGATTCTTGGTGTGCAATCCTGCTAACCCTTTGAATAGACGAGGGATTCATTCTGGTAATTTGTGCCCTCGTCGAGGGGGCTTGCGCCGTGATGGCTGCCTCAATACCCGCTCTGAGGGCTCTGTTCATTCATGTCTTCGAAACTCCAGAGCAGCCGAGCATCGATGTAGTCGTCGATAGTAACAGATCAGCAGGGGCATCAGCACGCCGAGCCCGATCCGACTGGGACGAAAGAAAGTACGAGAACAGAAGCGACGACGGAATCCTGGCGATACCACCGGCAAGCAGCAGCAGTATGGACCGGTCGGTCGAAACAGATATCGAACGAGATTCCCCAAGACCGCTAAGCAACTGGTTCGAAATGCAACACTGGAAGTCAGCAAAGGGTTGAAGGTATACGACAAGTTATGGAAAGAAGAAGGAACGACATACAACGACGATCGATGTCCGACGCGGAAGCTATCAATATTCCCTCGAAGGGTCAAATCGACGATAAAATCTTCCCAGCTGGAGAGTGAGGGGATGGCGCGAGCAGGCGTTGCTGCGAAAACAGCTCCATTCGAACCTGGACGAGACGCACCACGACCTTACGGCATATCCAGGGACCAATCGTCGACGATTAAAACCTCGAAGATCGTTGACTAGGTACTGCGAAGATGGGCCTCTGATGCAGAGCGAGATATAGCTTCAGCAATAAGCTACACACCGTGGTATATCCGGAAGAGACGGTCCTGCGTTTGCAGGCTTTGTGATGATGCTGTACGGATACGGTACCACCCGGAGACCCTCTACAGAGAGTCGAATTTGTACCGTTTCTTGGCAACGCTCCAGCAACTCGAGTGACACTCAAACCCACCTGGAGTTCTCTCAGATGATATAGAGGCAGACTCGAGGAAGCCGCGGTCGGCAGAAACACTTGGTAATCATGCCTCGATTTCAGCCGGACGTTTAGGGGATTCGTCGGGAGACGAGGTCTAGGGAACAACTAAAAAGAGCTTGATATCTGGGCCTCGTCGCAGAAGCACAACGGACATACCTGAACCCCATGGAAAGGGCCAGGTTTTTGATTGATGCAGCTCTGCGAAGTCTCAACGCGTATTTGGCCGGTCTCGAAGCGACTCGCCCAATTTGCATAGCCTACGGTAAGGTCATTTCAAGACCTGCCGAGCATGTAGATGGAGGATACGAAAATGTTGGCAGAACGAACAAGACGAAGTTGATCTGATGGCTCAGATGATTGGAGAGGAAGTTTGCCAGCCGAAGGAAATTTAGGCCAACCCAGCGAGATGAGTCTTGAAAGTTGACTCAAGCAGACATTGGCACTTGACGTTGACTGCTCACGACCCGAGAAGGGAAGATATGACGAAAGAATGCAGATGGGCCGTCAGGTCAGGATGTTTTTTTTTATTGAGAAAGGTTGGCAACCTGGTTCAACCTGGAACAGCTGGACAACGACATCGACCACTGATATCAACGAACGGCACCGCGGGGTGCAGGGACAGGACAAGGGCCTGCCAAGCAGAGTGGGGGGGAAGGGGTTGGGTTGGGTGCCCTGATCGCATCAGATGCTAGCAGGTTCCATCCTTGAAAGTATGTAGCTGTTTGTGAATGGGAATGAGATGAACCATGATACCCTTCTACTGTAGTCAACAATGAAGAACATGTGTATCGTGGACTTGATATTCACAAACACATGAATACGGTAGTTTCAAAGTTTCTTTCGGGTGGTCTCGAAGATGGGGATATATGTTCTCGAAACTCGGGCTAGAGGTATAAAAATAGTAGCTTCCAGACGGCATGTCCAGGTAGGTCTGCCGTTTTTTGTTTTCTATGTGCATAGCGACGGCAGGGTTCCCATCCGTCATCCACAAAGAGGAAAACCTGTGAAGAAAGAGTAGATACGGGATAGAAAACAAAGCCAACCTGTAAACACTCTACGCATCAACACATTCAAGTTCCGTCCCGTCCTCTTGGACGACTCAACCCCCAAGGGTTGGGTGTGGTTGTGGTTGGTCTGATGCTAGCGGGCGTCGTCGACAATGATGTCGCAACGAAGAAAAAAGATCGGGCTGGTGTGAAACAGATGACGGGCAGCTGTGACAACCTGGAACACCCCGTGCCAGCTGCAAGACTTAACCACCCAGCGGTAAGTCGTCGCTAACCCCGCCCCGAGGGCCACCTGCCAGTCAGGTCGGGTGAGACCGTGAGTGACGATTGAGGATTGGACGATGGCTTCACACGCTGGGTCGTTCTTTCTGTTGCGACGACATGAAGAGATGGGTTGGTTGATATGGGGACTCGGACTGATTGCGCACAGCCCCTGGCGAAGAACCCCTCGGACCCCTCTCACAGAGATCAAGAGATATCCGGGAAGTCACGTTGGACTCACGACGGACTTGGATCCCTGCCAACCTTGTTGGGTACATGGCTTATTTTTCCTTTCTCTCTTCCACCCGTCGCAATCCTCAATGTCGGAGGCGCAATCTGACTTTTTCTCTGTGTGCTTCCGTCTTCAAGTTCCCCCGAGTGCGTCAACTTCGTCTTTGCGTGCTGCTTCTGTTTTGCTCAAGCACGTTGGACATTAGAGGACACTGCATCACATACCCTATCTTGTACCAGCCTTTACACTACTTACAGGCAACTTTTCGTGAGCGATCTCTTTGCGACTTATACCCAACCTTCTAACCCGTGATACCCCGCCGACCAGGTACCAGTAGTTCCTGCTAGGAACTGTTCAGCCCCTCCTGGCGCATTGTAGTGTACAATACCGTATTTATACCAAGAGTACGTACCGCAACGGTTTGAGCAGTTGGATGCGGACACCCGATGTCGAAACCAAACGAACTCTTTCTTGCGACTACCAACCACCCTGCTATAGCAGGTACCTACATATCCCAGCCTGCGGACAGGGCAGCGAAAAAGGTGATCGCAACGTGCAAGGCAAGGCACATTTCCCGTCCTACGGCGGCACTGCATATCAGTTTGCAGCGGCTATTACTAGATGACGTCCTTGTCACGTTGCGCGCGAAATCAAGCTCTCTTTTTTCTTTCAACTTCTTTCTTCCACTTCTGATCGTGAGTAATTCGACAGACACGGGGAATCTTGAGATCCCTCTGGCCAACCATCCGACACCTAACCTTTCGACCAAAGCATAACGATTACCTCTACCTCTTTTTTCTTATCACGAGCCAAGAACCCTTGCCCCATCTTTAGGCCCCTAGAACCCCAGCCCGACTGGTGTTTTGAACAACGACAACAACCCACTGTATCCATACCGGCATTGTCATTTGTTTGGTTCGACTCTCGCCTACATACTGCGAGTACCAGCGATTCCGTTACACTTCTAGAATAACAAGAAGACCACAAGCATCTCTCTCCAGGTTAGTCATAAGCTATCGTTGTTGCATGACACACTCGATTGCCGCAGCAATTGAGTTTTGATATGCGCACGGCACACAACGAGCTCAGGCGACAGTCACGGCCTCGATTTTCTTCCGTTGCCCCATCGACTTATTGCACCCTTCTATCCCATGTTACTGGGCGCCGAATCAGTCGCGTTTCGTCACCTGAACCTGTTTTGATGACCCAATGCCCCAAGGCATCAGGAGCTAACAAGGGGCTCGTCAGACCAGGGCAGTGAGATTTTGAGACTTCTTGCACTCCACTACTAGCCGCCGTCGCATCGCATTTTGGGCCTTCCCCACAGCCATCAACCTCTCCTGTCTTCCCCTCGCTATCAACGGCGGCAACCTTTGCAAGTTCGCGCACTCCAGCTGCTGTATTTCCTCACCACCACCAACCGATCGCGATTTCGTCTTCCTACCGCGCTCCGGCCCGTGTACGATAGCCTGCCTCCTGCATACCAACAATGAACGGATCGCAACAAGCCAAAGACAGTACGGCGCAAACCTCGGCTCAGGCAGCTTCATCCCCCGCGGCGACTGCCTCCAACGGCAATTCGAACAAGAACAGCAGCAACAATACCAATAACAAGAGGAGGAAGGACGGGTTGAAGCCCATCATTACCACAGACGGTCCCGGGTAGGTGCATTACGCTTCCTCTTATGCATACATTTTGACTTTTTCTTCTATAACGCGGCCCCGAGAAAGCACTCGCTCGGTCCGTCGTTCGCCCGTTCGCTGCCCTGGTGTTATATCAGCCCAGTGCAGTCAATGGTGTCAGCCTTCTCTTTCTTTGGCTTGGACGGCCTTTGGTTCGTCGGGCAGCCGTGTCGCGGGCCAAGTGGCGGGGTACGGTAGGCCAGGTCCATGGAGGGGAAAGCGTACCATTGGATTCATCCTGTCTAGCCAGGTTCTTCCGCGCTACGAGTTACGACAGACATGACCGCAACATGCATGGGTGCATCGCTGGCAGCTTCGAGTGAAGAGAGACAGAGCCCTGGGAGAGCGAAACTGGAACCTGGAACACACAAGACCCGCGACCTCTTTTCGGCTCGTGGGTGAGCCTGTTGTGGCTGGCTCGAGGGTGGGTGTGGCATCACTTTCCATGTTGAGGTCACGGTGTGGTTTCCTTGGTGCCCTTGGTTCTCCTGTATGCATCACGCAGCCATCCTAGCCCCCTCACGTCCTCCAAAGGTCCAAAAGACTGCATCATACCGCTCCTCCTTTTCAGGGCCGACGTCCTAGCAACTCCTCCCTAACCCAACCCCAAACAAGAAATTCAGGTTACTGCCCTTCTCTTATTGCTTCTATCGCGAACCCCCGGGCCCCCCCCCCTTTGCTGTCGCCCGGATCCCCCCATACTTCCGCACCCCTCTAGAGAGACCGCCCAACGGCGCGATCATTGTAACCAAGTCGACGACATCGCAGTACCTATGAAGACAATGCTCAAGACAAGGTCCCCCCCGCTTTTGCGATTCCGCTTTGTGCCTACCCCCAAACCCCAGTCCCGAAGCTGCTGAAAGTTTGGCATCTTGCGGAGAACAAGATCTAGCCCACCCAAACCCTGACTAAGACCCCGCCACTTGTCCCCCAGCCTAACTCCGCGTCGCTTGTCGCATTCCATCACCCTTCCTAATCCCAACGGCATTCTGTGCAAACACGACTATCGTGAACACCATATACTTACAATTGTGCTTTTTACAGGGCCGCACACTTAGCATCAGCTATGACCAACTCACCGACCTCGTCCTCTTCGGCAGCAGAGGACATCGCCGAGAACACTGCCGATGAGGAGGATCAGGAGGATTACTGCAAGGGAGGCTACCACCCGGTCACCATTGGCGAAAAGTTCAAGGACGGAAAATACACCGTAGTGCGCAAGCTCGGATGGGGCCATTTCTCGACAGTCTGGCTATCAAAAGACAACACCACCGGAAAGCACGTAGCCCTCAAGGTGGTACGCTCCGCCGCCCATTACACCGAAACCGCCATCGACGAAATCAAGCTTCTCAACAAGATCGTCCAAGCGAATCCCAACCACCCTGGTCGCCGACATGTTGTCAGCCTTCTCGACTCGTTCGAACACAAGGGCCCCAACGGCACCCACGTGTGCATGGTTTTCGAGGTCTTGGGAGAGAACCTCCTGGGCCTCATCAAGAGGTGGAATCACAGGGGTATTCCGATGGCGCTCGTCAAACAAATCACGAAACAGGTTCTTCTCGGTCTCGACTACCTGCATCGCGAATGTGGTATTATCCACACAGATCTCAAGCCCGAAAACGTCCTGATCGAAATTGGTGACGTCGAGCAAACCGTGAAGAGGGTTGTGAAGGACGAACCCAACGACAAGGAGAACACTCGGAATAGCCGCAGGAGACGGAGGACCCTAATTACCGGCAGTCAGCCGTTGCCTTCGCCTCTCAATGCCAGCTTCAATCAGGGATCGCTTTTCCCCTCCCCAGGACCCCAGTCGCTTGGTCAGATGTTGGCCGAAGGTTAGTAGAATTGGTTCATGAGGGTGCTATCAACGTATCTCTGACTGACATCGAATCAAACAGGTGCCAAATCTCAAGAAGGCTCCCCGTTCCACAACAAGAATGGGGAGGACGACCAAAGTCGACGTGAGAAGAGCGCTGATCTCCTTAGCAAGGAGGTTTCGGGAATTTCGCTAGATAAGACAGCCACACCCCCCGCGACTTCGGGAGACAAGCGCAATCTAGACGACATGCAGTTTGACATTATCAGTGTCAAGATTGCAGATCTCGGAAACGCATGCTGGGTCAACCACCACTTCACAAACGACATCCAGACCCGACAATATCGGTCGCCCGAGGTCATTCTGGGTGCCAAGTGGGGTGCAAGCACGGATGTCTGGAGTATGGCTGCCATGGTACGTAATTTTTTGACCTTTTTTATCGATGCAATGCAGGTCCTAACACAAACCACAGGTATTCGAGCTTATCACTGGTGACTACCTTTTTGACCCGCAGTCCGGAACTAAGTATGGCAAGGACGACGACCACATCGCGCAGATTATCGAGCTGTTGGGCCCCTTCCCGAAGTCCCTTTGCCTATCCGGCAAATGGTCGCAAGAGATTTTCAACCGAAAAGGCGAACTGCGTAACATCCACCGCCTGAGGCATTGGGCGCTGCCGGACGTACTGCGTGAGAAATACCACTTCAAGGCAGAGGATGCTCAGCGCATCGCAGACTTCCTCACGCCCATGCTGGAGCTGATACCCGAGAGACGAGCCAATGCAGGCGGTATGGCGGGACACAACTGGCTCGAGGACACTCCTGGTATGAAGGGCGTCAAAATCGACAAGGTAGAGGTCGGCAGTCGTGGCGAGGGTATAGAGGGCTGGGCAAGTGAGGTCAGGAAGCGATAAATGATTTTTGTTTTTGTCGTTTAGTCCTAGTGTCACACATGGAGGAGGCTCGACCTTCTACTGAGGACACTACTGGACACTGGACAGTGGGGATAGTATGGGAGGGGGAGGGGAGGTGACAAACAACAAGAACCCAGGGGAAGCTGGCTGGCTTATATGGACACTACTACTCCTGAGCGGAAACACACACCTTGGAGAGAGAGCATTATCTTCTTTTTTTCACCTTTGTTGGTATAATGCAGAGAGATGTTGGAACGCTCATTCTACCGCTGCGCTGGCAGGCAGGCTTATAAAGACAGATGGGTTTCACTACACCTGAATTAGAGATTTTCCCCTTCTCTGTTTCACGTCCAGCCACGTTGTCGAGTATAGCCTCGCGCTAGCACATCAGAAGAAAACAAAAAGAAGACCACATCCGAATTACCACCTCTTAATTACCACCTCTTGGGACAAGAAGTAAATCATCTCAACCCGTTATATTCCCCTCTCCACCTACAGCATCCGTCCATCCACACTGCCACACCTAACGGCACTGATACTTCCTTCCTTCAGGCAGGAGGTGGAACTTCTTCAGCCACCTCATCCGGTTTGGCTTTGCCCTGGTTCAGTTTCAGCGGAGAGCCAGTTTCCTTTTATGTTCACTTAGTTACTACGATCAGGAGTGTGTTTTCTTTCACTTGTTTTTAGAAGCGAAAGATCAGCCAGTCAGATAGATACCTACCCACCTTCGTTTTGCTTTTTTTCTATTTTGTTTTTCTCCCTCTCGGAGTGTGTGGTTCTCATACTAGATACGCTAGCAAGCAAGTACATCACATGTGTTGTGTTTCTCTCTTTCTTTTTTCCAAGACAAATAAATCTGTGATGAAGATGAATAGGATAGTATAGACGGACGGACGGACGGATGCCGTAGCTACAGGTACGGAAAAGTAAAGCAAGCGAAGCGAAAAGCAGTTGCTCATCCCTCGGGAAGTTCTTGCCTTTGTGGCTACTATGATGTTCGTCGATTAGAGGTTGAGGCGAATCGAGTTACCATGTCAAGTAGGTAGGTAGAGAAATGGTGATGTTGTAGAGTGTTTCTCTTGGCTGCTATCTTCTCTTCTCGGTGAGCATGATCCGTCGAGTTCTCACACATTAGCTAGATAGAGAGAGGTATAACTTGCACCAAGTTTAATTGAGAGAAGTTATAAAAGGGGCAGGCAGTTATACCGAAGTAAGAAGTAGTCACGAAGTCATCCACAGAGATAACAGGGTACAAGTATCATTCATGTATCTTTCTGTTTGGAGAATATAAGTGTTCAAATGCATGTGCAACGATTAACGTATAACTTTCCCAAATGCCCCATTCATTCTATGTGTAAGTCGAAACCCAGCCAACCCTGTCATTCGTCTGTGGAATAGAAGTATAGGTCCCATATAACCATGTCCCTTTCCCATAGTAGCAGCAGTAGTGAATGGATTTTTCTGTTTTCACAAGGAACCCAACCCAGCCTGGGGACCAGTTCTTTCTTCCACGCGCCCTTGACACTCCCATCACTGAAGTTTCTGATTTCCTTTTCCGTCCGTCCGTCCGTCCGTCCACAGAAATCGACTGGGCTCAGCCATGTCAATCAGCCCTGACTAACCAGTCCTTTCGACTGTATGTACGTATCGTGACGAAATTCAAGCGATAACCCAGAACCAGGATATTAAACATCCTTTTAGCGCTTTCCTTTGCCCTTCTGGGTCATCCTCCGGAAAGCCTCGTGGCCGCTGTGACCAATGGGACGATGATCGGTCGGCGCCTGGCCCGGGATGTACGTGCTCTTGGGAGCAATGGTGTAGCTGGCGGGAAGGCCGACGGGCCTGGCGCGGTTGTTGTTGCGTACCTCGGGAGCGAGGGCGCGCTCGCGCTCGATCTCGTAGCGGGACTTGCCGGCGGGACGCTGGGTCAGCGTCACTTGGGAGCTGCCGCCTTCGCGCTGGCCTAGCTTTACGGCGCTGGTGCAGGAAAGGAGAGTTAGCGCGACTGGTTATTATGGGAAGTAGACGGAGAGGATGGAGAGGAGAGAAACATACCCGACATCGATTTCACGCATCTCGATGTGACGCTTCTTGTAATCGTCAGTCCTCTTCAGGATCAAGCGACTCCATTCGCCCAACAACCGCTCTGCATCACGCTTGATGTCCGCGCTGGGGCTCTTGCTCTTGTTGTAGTAAACGACGACCTTGCCGATTCCACTGCTCAGAAGCACGTCCTTGTTGATGGGCAGCTTCATGAGCGCGCTCATGATGGCACGCTGAATGTTGTACGCGGGCAGACTTCCATCGTTCAGAGGTTCCAGGAAGTATCTGACAGACTGGAGGAAGTTGATTTCGGGGTCGAGTACGGAGTCCTGGATCGCTGTCCGGTTTAGAATCGCGGTAACTTGGGGTAGAAGCTTGAGCTTGTGCACGGCGGGCTGCTTCTGTTCGCGGGCTTCGTTGTCGGCTACGCAAGCCTTCTCCATGGCGACCTTCAGGTTCGCAATCTGCTCGTCCGTCTCCTCTTCCAGGTCCTGTTCAGATCTCGGTCAGCATGCATGTACAGCAAAAACTGCACTGTGGCAATGATGGGAAACTGCCTACAATATCGTCCTTCTTTCGCCTGCGCTTGGTGGGGTTCTTGACAGCAGCGTCGATGGCGCGTTCCAAAGCGCGCCGTCTGCGCTCATCTGGAGTGAGGTTCTCTTCTTGCTGTGCTTCCCGGTCCTCTGCCTCTTTCCTAGCACGCCGCTCGCCCTCGGCGCGGACCTTGCGTGGTCGGCGCTCACCGTCGTCATCCGCAGCGTCAACGTCATCGTCACCACGCGACCGCTTCTTGGGCCTCCGTCCTTCTTTTGGCTTCTTTGTCGTCTCTGTGGTCGTCTTCCTCCGCGCCTTCAGCTTCATGGCCACATTTTCGTCAATGTCAACGGGCCGGGAGCCGTAATCGTCGCCAAACTCATTCTCGTCGATTTCGGACAGGACATCGGAATCCTTATCGTTGCCTCCATCGTTATCATCGTCATTTCCTCCGTGATTGCTTTCGTCGTCCTGGTGTGTCTCGTTGATCTGGTCCTCATCGCGATGCTCAGTGGGTTCGGCAGCAGGGGAACCCGCCGGAGAAGCGGCGTCCGACATGGCTGTTGCTGAATGGGTGTTGATATGCTGATGCGGACGGGATAATTCGTTTGAATAGTTCAAAAGCGGGCTTTTCTTCTAGACGCAGAAGCTATCGGCGGAAAAGAAGATGAGTGAATGGTTGAAATTTCTGGGTTTGAGTTGCGGTTTGGTTGTTTTTAGGAATGGACAATGGTTCAAGTTCAATTCTCAATCCATCCCCAGACAAGGCAACGGGCTGGCCGCTTGGTCTGTGCGCTGTTTAGCCACGAGCAAATCTACCGCGCCGGGCGTTGCAGGCAGTCTTCGTCACTGTCACGGTCGAGCGTCACTCACCTTCAGCACGGGGTGGCTTTACACGCTGTGGGGTGTCCCTACTTAAAGACACTCCACCCCAAACTCTCTGCCCTGCAGTGGATGCAGGCACGCAGCAGAAGCCAGGGAGCAAAGTCAGTCACGACCAGGGCCAAATTATTTGGGGCCGAATTCCAGTGTTTACTTTGGCGCGCCGTTGCCACCGACGACCGAACTTTGTGTCCTGGGTAACTTCCGTGCTATCCCTGAACCCCGGAAGCTCTGTCCCCAACAAATCGAAGACCATCTGACGTCGTCCCGCCCTCTACTCTCAACCATAAGACTGCCCATCCTCCCATCAACTCCCAAGGCAAATGTGAACTTCCTAAAAGTATCAACATCGACACGCACGTCGACTGCCCGCCATCATGGATCGCCGAGGAAACGAATCGCCAATGGAATGGGAATTCGATAGCAAACCGCCCGTGGACCACACAAGCCCATATGCTTCTCTTCTGTCAAAACAACCACCACTATGTAAGTCGCACTCCTCTACTGCAGCGACGCAACCTACAACTCCCAACGCCTCTTCTTGAAATTGACTTCGCGGTGGCACAACTTCGGTTTCGTCTTTAACGTTATGCTCTAGTAGCTTCTTGCTAACAGGACGTTATTGCACCAACAGCTTCGTTCAGTTCACAACCAGCAAAGACTAGCAACCACACGTTCGGAGCCACCACGGCTGCTCCCCGAAGCAACCTTGTCAACGAACACCGTGATACCCTTAAACCTCCTAATACATCGTTCAACCCCCAACTACACAACAAGCCGACGGCGCCCCAGTTCCGAAACCCCGCCTTTACTACACCTCAGAAGCGGCCCGATGAGCAGACGTTTGATTCGCCCTCGGAGGCGAGTCCCGCAACGACGGACATATCTGAAATGCCACCCGACACGCCGGAGGCTATGTTCAATGACAGTTTCAAGATTCCGGATACGGCTTACACACCTCAACCAGCAGGCAAGATCATGTTCAGCAGGGCCTACTTTCGAAATGGGAGGCAGAGGAAGCGGAAACGCCAGCCCGGCGACCGAGACGTCGGAAGCGTACGACATCGCCTCGACCATGGATCCGACGAATTTGATAGTGATTGGGAGGAGGGTGTACGACCAGGAAGGAGGCGATCCTCGACAGATAAGAATGCTAGCCCCGGCTGGCTTACCAGCTTCCTCGACACCATCAGCAAATACCCTGCTGCTCCGGCGGTGCTCTCGAGATGGTTACAATTCGTCATCAACACATTTTTGATCAGCGTTATTCTGTTTGCGGTCTTTAGCTGTGTGATGGCTGTACGCAACGACCTTTCCCGCGCCGCCGACAAGGCTCGGTCGACCCTGATGCACGAAATATCGCAATGTACAAGCAATTACCACAAAAACCTATGCGCTCCCAAGTTAAATCGGGCGCCGGCTTTGGAGCTGCCGTGCAACGAGTGGGAAGCGTGCATGAACCAGGACCCGTCGACTGTGATGATGACGCAGATCTCAGCAAGGAATATGGCCGAGATATTGAATGAGTTCTTTACTATCATATCCTACAAAACCTGGGTAAGTTGAGATCGGCATACATTACCATGTTTTAGGCGCAATGCTAACTTGTATCAAGGGCTTCATCCTATCAGCATTCCTGGTTGCCATCATTGGTACCAATGTAGGATTTGGCTCCCTACGAGACTCCGGAGCATTGAGACCATCCTCTCCCCGGAAACATGCAGAACCGGCACCAGTAGCAGCGCCGCCGCCGACTCCGGTTCATCCAATCTTCAGCACCCCGGCGTTTCACAACCCACAGCAGGCGTACATCTTTGCGCCCATCGAAACCCCGAGACGAGCTCGTCAGCAGTTCTTTGACGAGGCGACCGACACTGATAATTCCCCCGATGTGAGGATGATGTTGCCTCCGCGAACCCCCCGAAGAAGTCCAAGCAAAGGAGAGAGAAGAAGGGGCTAGGCGTCGTGTCCACGGTTAGAGGGTTATTGGATGCTGGACTCATTTAGGAATACATGTCACCATTAGTTTAATGTTAGGCTAAGAGGACAATACTGTTATGTGTTGTTTCCCCCGCTGTATCATACAATTCCATACTGGGTATGTACTTCTTGAAGGGTTAAGCATCAATTGCTTTCGGTCCTTCGGTACCGGAATGTGTAGGCGGCTTGAATATTTGAAGTTGATATACCATTATGTGCTACAACCAATGAGGGACTGAGGTTGCACCAACTCCACACCTCAACTCTTGAAACGTGTGGATCTCCGGATCGGCAACGACCAACCTAGGATGTCATGCATTCGACTGGCACGTTCCTGGCACGTGTGTGTCCTTTTGGCTTCTTTTCTTGGTTAATAGGTGCTAAAAATGTCTGGATATTCACCGTACGTAGGTTGAATCAAAATAACCGTTGAAAAAATAGCAAATCGAGGTGTTGGTCAACAAAACCAAGCACTGTCAAAGGTAAAAGGGAAAGCTTAGCCAACAGTATATAGTTTATAAGTAAACGAATCATCGGGTTCGGTTGCTTGATAGAACAAGATGTGCAAAGACTGTTTACTTCCACGATAATTTGTGATGAATGTGTTCGATGAGTTCTGGTCTTTGACTCTGAATAGCCCCTGATACCTGACACTAGGTAGGTCCGTATTTTGTCCTTCCCCAACTCCGACTTCGCCGTGACGTCAGTGGAGATATCTCAGGGTCCATCCATCACAGATTCCCTCCACCTGTTCCCTCAAGGCCAGTCAACCAAAAACGACAAAAATCAAGGTGAATGCCTAGCGTAACCAGTAATTATCAGTTATGCGATTACAAAGCTCCATGGCAACACCAACTCCAAATAATCTGCATGATATGTACAGATATTGTTGAGAACTCCTCCCAGACGGACTCCAACCCTCCAACTCCTCTTGGCTGAGAGATCTCAATGCGCTCTTCCCGTCCGTTTCCACCGTGTCCGCTGATATCTCGGTAACATCAACAGACGGGATCGCGTGTATGGCATGGAAACTAGTCCCGGTGTTCTGTGTGGTGGGCTCGTGGGGTGAAGCTCGGGGCAGCTCGGACATTTGCACGGGTTGCCAAGACATCTCCTCAATCTGTCTGCCCCTGCTTCCCGTTCTTGACTTCTCCAACTTTGTTATTCCCCATCCCGGGACGGGAGCTTCCAGTGACGGGACTTACAAGACACCCAGCCGCCTAGACTGGCACGCCGTCCCCGATATCATCAATTGCACTCCTCAGCTGAGCGTCTACCATCTTGCCTGGCTACTACAAGGACCAGGACGATCTGGGAACAGCATCGCGACATCGCGAGATCAGTGGGCATTCCCATTGCCGTTTCGTGATTCGCGGTAGAAAAGGTATGGAGAAATTAGCTCGTCACTTTCGTCACATCTGAGCGCGTTCTCGTCCGTTTCTCTCCAACTCTCTCGAAAGCTCTTATTCCAACTCTCTCGAAAGCTCTTATTCCAACTCAACTCGAGCTCCCATTCTTTTCCTATGTGCTACTAGCTCGTCCAATTCCTCGATCGCCGATGCCTACAGACTCCCGTCTCTAGTCCCCACCCATCGAAAGGCATGGAGCTGCCTGACGAGCACCTTTGCAACCTGCATTGCCATGCCGTTACGAATCAACGTAATATCATCATCATCCCTGTCGCAAGCCGGGCCTTTTGGGAGTCAACATTGTTTACGTCCCTGGTCCTTTCTATAAGCCATACATGCACACACTGGTAGCCTTTAATATTCACGCATATCTCAGCTTCACTTCCTTGTACCGTTCCCTTGGGAAAGAGACCTACCGCCCGACCGAAATCACTTCCTTGCGCCGCCTCCGTCCCCCATCGCCCGGCAGTTGTCCTTGGTCCCCCAGCACAGCATGTTAGTGCGCGTTGACCGGATCGTTTCCAGAGTATACCGTACGGTGCGCGGTGTTTGAACAAAGGACGGCCGCCTCGAGATATGGAACCAATGGAAGGAGGAGGCACTCCAAGCGCAAGTGGAAGCCGCCCGGTCCTTCCTGCGATATCGCCCGCTCCCTCCACAACGGCCGGAGGAAACCGTCCTACCTCTGCTTCCGCCTCTCAGCCCACGCCCTCCACCTCTTCCTCCGGTCCGCCCACCGGTCCGCCTTCTGGTCCGCCTACCAGCCAAGCCGTCTCGAAACGCAAGAGAGGTCTGGGACTTGTCACTCCGACTGCTTGCACCGAGTGTCGCAAGAAGCGCGCAAAGGTCTGTCCGTTGGCCGGACTCTGGACTCTGAGTCCTGGTCTCCCTTCCCCTTCCATCACCTGTGATGTCCCTAAATGGCCATTAGCTAACCTCCCCATTTCTTTTATAGTGCGACGGCGAGAAGCCTTGTGGCCGATGTAAATATCAGAACACCGAATGTGTTTACGAGGTCCCTGTTCGTCAGTCTAAGGACACACTGAGGAACGAGATCGAACAGCTGAGGCGCGAGCAACGGAACAACGAGCATGTGATAAACGCCCTCAGACGGACGGACAAATGGGACGAGGTCTTACAACGTTTGCGCAATGGCCAGAGCATTGATATGATATCCTCGTGGCTGGAGGGGACGCTTCCCTCGGGCGGTGGCACACTTCCCTCCATCGATCGATTAGTCGGGTCAGCTCCCGGTGCCTTCAATTTCCCGGGCGACCCAGCTGGGACTTATGGCGGCGCTATTCCAGGTTTGGCTCCCATCGGCCGATTTACAGGTCAACAGCTGCCAGGCCAGCACCCTGCGAGTCCGCATCAGCTGGCTCAGTATCAACCGAGCCAGTACCAACTGGCTCAAGGCCATCCAGGTCATCTCCCGCGTGCTATCAGACATGATCCCGAGCCTCATAGTCCCTGGAGCGGCCAGTTCTCCTCTCATTCTCAGACGGTGCGTAGTAACTCGCTGTCAGAGGCCATGAGCTGGGCTTCGGAAAGTGGGCAGCAATCGCAGTCAAGGGCGGAATCGTGGGCGGAATCTCAAGCTCACGTCAACTCAGAAGGCCAGAGGTTCCGCGGGTTTGACCAGGTACTTGCTACCGAGGCACCGCATTCGCGGGCACCACCTATTGTATGGACGACCATTACTTCGGATAACGGTCTTGTTCAACATCTGCTGGCGCTGTACTTCTGTTGGGAGTACCCCACATTTGCATCTCTCAGCAAAGAACACTTCCTCAAGGACTTTATGGACGGGCGACCTCGGTTTTGCTCGTCCCTATTAGTGAATGCGCTTCTGGCGTTGGGTTGCCGGTTTTCCAGCCAGCCTAGTACTCGCGCGAACCCGAACGACCCGTACTCGTCGGGTGATCACTTCTTCAAGGAATGCCAGCGACTATTTTATCAAGAAGAAAACCACCACACGCTAACTACCATTCAAGCCTTGGGTATAATGTCCATCAGAGAGGCAAGCTGTGGTCGTGATTCTGAGAGTTGGTATTACGCCGGACAGAGTATTCGACTGGCGATAGAGATGGGACTGCATCGGGTTCAAGATGACGGCAAGGATTGCGACGAAAGTGCGGTTCAAGCAGCCACATTCTGGGGTGCCTTTGCGCTCGACCAGTGAGTCCAGTAAATTCCGTTGAAATGCCACGCGACTTTTGTCTAATGGTAAAATGTGATAGCGCTTGGTCGTTGGCCACCGGCTCGCCCCCCCAGTGCTCCTGCTTCCCACAGCTGCCTCCGAAGCCCGCTATCATCGATGACATCGAGGCATCGCTCTGGATTCCTTATACAGACGATGGTAAGAATCTATCGTTTTTAGATGTTGTGCTTGGAGGTAAGCTGATGAGTGGTACAGGCGCTCCTCTGCACCAGTCGTGCGAACAACCGTCTAATGTTCGGTCGGTGTACAAATGCTTCTGCGAACTAAGCGAGCTTGTTCACCAGTCACTGTACATCCTTCACTCCCCTGGCCGGCCGCTTACGAGCAGAGATCTGCTCAAGATATACACACAGTATCTGAATTGGTATGATAGGATACCAGAGGTGTTGCGGCTTGGACACAACTTCACTCCCGCTGTGTTGTTTGCGCAGTAAGTTCATTTATCTCTGGTCTGTTGCAAAATCTGTGACACGTTTCTAACGCTGGGCATAGCATGTATTATCATTTTGCCATCCTTCTTCTGTTTCGGCCACTAATCAAACTCCGCATCGTTGGATCGAGCATCTCTCCGCGCGATGTGTGTTTACAGGCTGCCGATGCCATATCAGGGCTTGTGCGCTCGTACTCGCAATTGTATACGTTGAGAAGAACGCCATCATTTGTACCCTACTTTGTGCTCACGTCCTCCATTATGCACTTGGCAATTGGGGCCACGGCCTCAGTACCATCTGACCCAACTGGAGGCACAGGCCAAGCGGGACCGAGCGAACATGGCCACCACAGACCTGACCCTCGCGTTGCCGAAGCCATAAGTCGAGGAATTGCCGACCTTACGGAGATGGCACCATGCCACCATTTCGCTGAACAGGCGCTCAACATACTGAAGTACCTGGCCAAGAAGTGGAATATTGATGTAGACATCAAGACGACGGCCGGGGAGGACGGGGAGCAGCGAGTCAAGATCGGCCGCTATCAAACGACTCGACCGGTTACCAACAGCCTCAATTTCTTCGTGCCCGAAGTTACCGAGGAAGACTTTAACTGCAAATGGGGAGAGGGGGTAGAATCAGGACACGGTTCAGCTACTCGGGTGGAAGTCCAGCCTGGAAATATTAAGCATATGGCCAACGCTACAGATAATCCCCTGTTCTGGCCGTTTCCGATGCAAGGCCGTCCGATATTGGCAACGGGCCCCGAGCTGTTGGAGGCGGGCTTTGAGCTTATCTAGGGTGATACATGATCACTCTCCGGCTGTTGATGAGCCTCCGGAGCAATCGATCTCTTGGCCGATTTGATTGCCGGCAGTTGTATGGTGGATGTTGCCCAAATGTGGTCAGCGGCTTCAAAAATGAATCGGAAACCAGTGTTACAGGCTTCACAGTCGAGCAAAGCACTAGGGCCGACCACCTGGGGACGCACATAAAAGTGTTTCGAGGGAAGATGCTGTTTCAAGTGTCTTGTTCATACCGCAGCCTGTCACGGATCTTTCACAAGCCACATGTTTGGAGGCACCGAGGAGCTCAACAGGGAGGGGGCAAGGGCGAGAAGAAGTGAGGCTCAGCACTTGTGCGGCGAAGTCGGGGAGATATGATGTATCACGGCCGCCAAGAGAGCAACGATATCCAGGGGTGGTTGAGAGTTTTGTGGTTTGCGTTGAGAGGTAGAAGATACCGAGCAGTTATGCTGCGGACAGGGGGTGGCGAGAAAAGCGACAAACGCGTGTGGAATTCATCAAGTGCACAAACTTGCGTCATGTAAAGAGACGGGAGTTTGATGTCAGGGCACGACGATACGGCTCTTGGGGCTATAGAGTTTGGGAGAGTGTTTTTTTTGTGTTACTGGGCTTGCATTCGATACCCCCGTGTCGTCTGAGGCACACGAACGATTTTTTCCCCAAAATCATGATGTAGTGGATCATCATGGCAGGAAAGGGAGATAAAGGAAGGAAAAAAGATGAATGCTTTAACCGCTGTGCGATGTGCGATGCGGTGATGAGGGTTGCATGTACCGTTACCGATTGCTCAAAGCAGCGCGTCTACCGCGGCTTGTTGGAGGTTTGATACCCACCATTCTGATTTCTGAACATGCTGTCCAAATTGAACATTGACAGTTTTGATAAGTTTCTATCCACTTTGGTCGGCGACGATGTCGCACACTCTCAACTCCAGGGACAGATGAGACGGTGACAGTGAAAGTCACATTAAAGAAAAGGAAACAAACAATCATCCAACAGGATCTCGGAACCTCTTAGGGGCGTTTCTTGACGGTTCTAGGTTTCTCATTGGTCGCCTACCGGATCCACCCACGGTAACCCATGCTGCAGGCGAGGAAGGGGTCGTCGGTTTTTCTTGGGTGCCTTTGGGTGTTTCGAAACAGCTGACGTGCTCTTGTTTCGGATGCTACCACGCCGACCAATCGCAACGGAGAGAGGCGCTCTCTCCCTCCCACGCCTCCCTTCTTCCAAAGTGTTGGAACCCTTGCCGAACATGTCCATGCGCTCTGCAATCTTCAAGATGCGAGGCCTCTCGACGCCTTGTGAGCATGATACATTCACGGGCATCAGAGTGATCTGTATGCCTTGTGAGGACGGGAGATCGTGTTTGTGTGTTGATCTTTGCCTTTGGAAACATCCATCACATCACCTCGAAACCCGCAGCAAGGCTCTAACTCGAGGAGGTGAGACTGACGATAATCGTCGGCTGTTCGACCCGTTTCCCGTTTTCGCAGCCTTGAACGAGTGCAGTCAGTTCCCGTCCGTCATGTTAATTGCTGACCGCCGACGATGAGGCAGATCCGAGGTTCCTTTTTCTTACATACATACTTCTTCTTATCTCACACCCGAGTCGAGCGAGTCACATTATCCAGTGGACGCTGTGATGTTAAAGAACCCGGAATATGCGTGAATGGGGCGCGCCGCCGTCTCACTTCTTTCCGTCCAGGTCAAGCCTCCAATTCGCCGGACTGTCTCATGGAGATTGCACCCTCTTTTTAATTACTTCTCTCAGTCTCTCTCTCCAGTTGCCTGCTCTGCTCTCTTCGTTTTCGCTTTTCGTGACGGGGTTCGGTTTCCCTTCCCGGCTATCATTTCCTGCTCCCCTGTCCTCCCCCATCTTCCCATCACCTCCCCATGATCCTCCCCATATCCCACATTCTTCACCACCTCACCACCCCTGCCTAGTACACTATCTTCGCCGCAGCGTTCCATTGCTTTCGCGTCCCTCTTATTACTACTTGTGCTACGAATAAGGGGGTATAACCTCTTGCTTATCCCCCCTCCCTTCCCTTCCCGCGCCGCCCAGATCAAGCGCCTGCGCTTGACTGCCGAACCTTCTTTTTCTAATCTCGTATGTATGAATGGTGAAGGTACCAACTTTCAGTTTCATGGTCGGCAGGCCTATTTTCATCTCAAAACACACCCATCAACCACTTCTCAGTGGCCCATTCCGCTCGTTTTGATCGACACGGCGTTTCTGGCAGGTCCAGCCGTCCAACCATTCAAAAGCAATGGACTCTTATCCCCGTGCATCCACCAACAGTCAAGCTGTGGCTCGACTACATATTGACGCCCTGACTAAATCCGGGATATCGCGCGACGAGCTTTTATCCGCTCTCTTGGAGGGTTATAATACGACAACCAGCGAGGGTGTGTGTTGACTCGGCCCGCTCCTACACGTCAGCAAAACAGTCTTCGACTAACATGTATCAGGAGTTCCTTCGACAATGATGTCACACAACACTTCTTCCATCTTCTCAACGCAGGAGCAGCACGCTTCGACGATGAACGACAAGAGCCGTCACAACTCCGTATCGACTACCAGTTCGGGGTCATCAGGAAGGGCAAGCATTTTATCCGCGGCAACCTCAACGAGCTCGGTCTCATCACAGAACATCTACGACACAACGGGGTCGCCATCACTCAAGACGGCACTATCAGTACCAGGAGGAACAAAAATCAACAACCGGGGTGCCTCTAAACCCCAAGGTCCTTACTGGTGCACATTCTGCAATGTCAGTTTCCAGCGCAAGTTCGACTGGAAGAGGCACGAGGACGAATTCCATGAGCGACATAAGCGTTACCCCTGCCCGGACTGCAACAGCATCTTCTGGGGCGCCAATACCTTCAACCAGCATCACAAGAACGCACACGGGTGCACGACCTGCCCGCACGCTGGGCAAGTGGTCCGGTATACGCAACGGAGGACGGCTTGGGCCTGTGGATTCTGCGGTGCATTCATGGGAGCTAGGGACCGGTATTTCGACCATGTGGCGCGGCACTACGAGGAGGGATGCAACAAGACGCATTGGAATCACTCGCTCGTCATTTACGGGTTGCTTCACCAGCCGGTGGTCAGCCAGGCGTGGAAGGAGTTGTTTGCGCAGCTGTATGGACATTTAGCACGCGACCAGCAGCCGATTCTGGGGTGGGACGCGGAGGCAACGGGTCACGCTCAGGGGTTCTTGGAGGGGGAGGCCCCGGGGAAGTTGCAGGATTTGCTCGAATTCTTCAAGGGCGGACGAGAGGACGCGAAACGGCTTGCGAGGTTGAGTCACGATCAGGCTATCATTCGGTCGCGTCAGGGAGTGGCTATCACGGCGATTCGGGTACCCGTGCCGAAACCGAGTGTGGAATCTTTGAGGCCGAGCTCGAAGCGATCAACGGCGTCTATGGAATCATTCAGACACAAGTCGATACTGCAACAGCAGCAGCAGCAGCAGCAGCAGCAGCAGTTCAACAAACATAACAGCGCCACTAGCGGGAAGACCAAGACCGTTTTCCCTCAGCTGAGCCCTACTAACCTACAACACCCACCCCGACACCACCAACAACGGCAACAGCATCAAATTCAACCACACCAAGAACCCACATTCCAAAAACAACGATCATCCTCCCTCCCCTCTACCACCACCACCTCCACCTTAACTCAATTCCCCCTACCACCAACAAACAAATACTCCCACCTCCACTCCCACAGCCTCAAATTCTCTCTACCTGTGGAAACCATCTACGAAAACCCCGAAGCAGCATCCACCACAACGACAGTCAACTTTTTCGAGAACACACTTGCCGCTACTGCGGCCATGACGGCGACGTCTAAGCAGCAACACCAACTGGATCTACAGGATCAACAGCAGCAGCAGCAGCAGCAGCAACAACAACAAAATCAATTCATGATACCCCCGCTTTCTCTTCCGGCTGATAGTCTTTTTGATAATTTGGATTTTGGCGAGTTTGAGGATTGGAGCAGTATTACTAGTACGGTGGTGACGGGGGATGATCGGGCTAGTGGGTTTTCTGTGCCGGGGGTATTGACGGGATCTGGGGGCGGGAGTTCGGGGGGATGGTGAAAGCAGATGATGGGAAGAAGTGGAAGAGAAGTGGAAATCTTTTGAAAATGATGCGATTTGATGAGACAAGATGCAGCCTGGAGAAAGCTATGAGAAACCTATTTTGGGATACTATACTGGATTATACCCCCGCTTTTAGGTTTATGAAGAAATTTGAACTAGTTTTGACGATGAGCACAACGTGTTCGTTCCCTTCGCATAAGTGAAGTGTGTGTGGTGTTGAACTGTTAAGGTCAGAACTGTGATCTTCAATCGGCCAGGCAGGCACATCCGTACAATCGGCAGGCGCGTCCCATCCTCTTAATTGCAGGCCAGTCCTTCCTTCCCCTTCTGCCTGCTCCTACCTCTCGAGGTACTCACCGCGTGGCAAATTCCGAAAATGCGGGTGGGTAGCTCGTGTAGGTCACATATGGGTGTGCGGGTGATCACCAACCTGAAACCGAAACGAGAGCCAAGTCAGCATCTTTTCAGGTGACTCGATGAAACCAAAATGTCCAAGAATGGGAGTCGACACTCGCTCCCTCAGCCTGATGGCTAAGGTACCTCCAGTCCTCGGACAAAAGAGGGGGGTATGGCTAACTGTCCCAAATTGTAATATGAGCGGCGTTGACAGATATTCTAACTGTTGCCGGATCCTCGAATTCGTACCCCTGTTTTTTATAGAGCACGATGCTTATTCTCCCGATCATAAATTGACCGAAGAACGTCTCAGCACCTCCATTTGATATTCCTTGACCGTTGGTAAACCTCAAGCGTTCGTAAATCATCAATGCGACGTTGGGAGATTTCAACCATCATCATACGATCCAGTGACTTATCAAGGCAAGTGCGAACGTCTTGAAAATTCGAGGATTGGGTAACTGTTTGGCTGGACACCCCTCCTCCTCTCGAGCTAGTACGACCTCCGGTACCTCTACGGCTACTACCACTCCACCAACAAGCAAGTAGCCCGCTGCTGGATGGGATCATGGAACCAGCACGTGTCAAGGTATCGCCACGATATGGGCGGTGCCGTTCTGTCGGAGACCAGACACTGGAACTTCACCTTCGTTTCAGGTGATGTAACTCTACGTTGGTCGCCACTGCCTTTTCACTTTCTATTTTCTCTCGTTCACGTTTTGCCCATGTGGTCGGTATGGAGTTCGTGGGGGCGATCGATCGAACTATCGGTGTTTACCTAGCCACTCGACGCTCATACCCAGAGAACGCAGCCGTCATCGATGCAGTGACTGACGTCTCAGGTTGACTTTGACAAGGCGGGGTTGGGAGTCGGGAGTCTTGGGACTGCTTCGCTGGCGTGACTTCGGTCCCGGGATGGGAGGATTGGTACCGTATCCTCGTGAGGGGTGATGGCTTCGGGTTTCGTGTTGAGGGGATGGCTTCAAGTGTTGATCTTGGCCTGGCCTTAAGAGGCTGAAAACGAGATTTCGAGTCGCGCTTGCTGTTCGTGTTAAAGAGCAAAGCAAGACACTGGATAAGGGGGTTCGATATACTGAGTTGGTATAAAATGTCCATGTCCCTTCGAGATTATCACCTGAAGTAACCACCTAGTCGGTGCCTTGTCAGTCTTTGAGTTCCCCAAATCCCCTGGAGGTACATATATCAAATTCAAGAGAAACATTGAATCCAAGTAAGCAACCCACATTTCTGCTCGGCGAACCATTTATGAACTGCCCGTCCACTGACAACATTCAAGCCTCAACTGTTCACCTCTCCCCAAAGTCACCCAACCGTCCCTTCCTTGGCCTTATCCACGACCCGTGATGTCTCCATCACAAGCCATCCACCCCACAGGGAGCAAAAAGCTCCCAAGGCAAAGGAACAACCACCACCAAAGCGACACCGCCCAGACCTCCGCCTACTCTGATGCCAGCCAAGATAGACTCCATCATCAACAAAGCCAGCAGCAGCAGCAGCAGCAGCAGAAACAGCTAAGGGACTATATCAACACAAACAGGACTAGCAAGCCGACAATATCCCCCATTGAGAGCTGGCTGGGCGAACCTATCCGAGAGCAACCCTGGACTGGTCTCCGTGTCCACCTTCAGAGAGGGAGAGATTCGCCCAAGTCCCAGTCATTGTCATGGCCGGAGTTGGAGGAGTCACCGGAGCTGGAGCTGGAGGATCTGGACTTGGACCGGGACCTGTTGCCGTTCTTGACTTCAAGAACATCTTATACGGGCAGCGAATCATTACCTGGGGTTGAGGCATCTTGGTCGTTGCGCTCCTCATGGTATACAGAGTCCTCTTCGTCGTCATCACAGCCGGAGACTGGGAGCAAAGGAGTGGAAAGGAGACACAGGGTTTGAAGAAGAAGACTGCTTGACGGCTACTTTGAGTGTTATTGAACGTATTGTAATGGCGGATGATTGGGTGTTTCTTTGAGGTTTCCATATTTTCCTTTTGTTGTAACTCAGTCAGCGGCTGGCCTGCTTTCTTAATCCTTCCTTCCCTCCCCCCAGAGTCTTTCTACCCTCAAGCACAGAAACTTTCGGTATGCCTCGTCATATATGCAGAAGGGGTATGGATAGACTAAGAACTTACCACTCATTGAGATCCCACAACATGTATACCATGTATATGCAGCCCGCGCCGCGTCTACAATTCAGGCTATTATCTAATCAACTACCAATGACCTTATTCTCCTCTCCAATAATCCTAGCTCACCGCGCTGTTGTGGTACCAGAGACGGCTCACAAATATTGAGTTCCCGCACTTCGCTACCAATTCGCTACCGATGACCTGTTGGACCTTTACGTGACTGGGCCCAGGAATGGCTTCGGACGGATTGCCAATGTTACTTTGCACCCAGAAGTTCGAGCGCTTGCATTAAGTCCGAGCCGAGGGATGAACGCGGACTGTAATTGGAAGGGATCAGAAGACCAACGTAGTCATGGTTGACCAGTTGGTCTTTGATAAGTCCTGTAGCGGGTTTTGTTTAGCTTAGAGGTATATGTGGGCTATACTTGGATGAAGTCTTTCAATGGAGTGTCCAGTGTGTATAAGTATACAAATGAACCCCGAAACCTTTCCACCCAAAACACTGATCAAGTCCTGAAGTAACTCCTGTCCCTCAACCATGGCTTTGTCCACACTTCTTCTTTGGATTGGGTTGTCGGTGGGCGTCTTGGCCTCGGGAGCAACCAAACCTGATAGCAAAGTATACGACTACGTAAGTACCACTAGCAAAGCCCAGCCCCAGCAAAAGCCGATGTTGCTGACGCTTTTCTCCTCAGATCATCGTCGGCGGAGGAACCGCAGGAAATGCTTTAGCAACGCGTCTCAGCCAGGGACTTCCCAAGGCCAAGATCCTCGTCATCGAAGCTGGCCCAGCCGCACCCGACGAAGACGCCATCAATGTTCCAGGACTCAAAGGAGGAAATCTCGGAGGGAAATATGACTGGAAATTCCCAACCGTACCGCAGGTGGCTCTCAAGAATCGCACCACTGTGGTCAACAGGGGCAAAGTCCTCGGCGGTTCGTCCGCCATCAACTTGCTCAGCTGGAACCGAGCGGCGGCTGTCGAGTATGACCAATGGGAAAAGGTTGGTAACCCGGGATGGAACTGGAAGTCCATGAGCGCCGCCATGACCAAGGCCGAGAACTACACCGGTGGCCCGCCCGGGTCAGGAACAAAAGGACCTGTTCACGCCTCTGTGAGCCGGTACGTGCCTGAGCATCAAAAGCTCTTCGTGCCCACGGTAACCGGCGCCCTAGGCATCGCGGAGAATAACAGCTCTCTCCAAGGGAATCCCATCGGTGTCATGTTCCAGCCTAGCAGCGTCAACCCGACGAACTACGTCCGGTCATACAGCGCCAACGCCTATCTGCCACAAGCGGGACCCAACTTGGAAATCCTCGCGAACACGCTCGTCGCCAAGGTCAACCTCAAGAAGCAAATTCGGACCGGCAACACCTACCAAGCGACGGGCGTCACCTTGGCCAACGGCACCGTCATCCTCGCCTCGCAAGAAGTGATCCTCTCCGCCGGCGCCATCCAGACCCCCAACCTGCTCGAGCGCTCAGGCATCGGCCGCGCCTCAGTCCTCCGCGCCGCCAATATCACGCAGCTCGTCGACCTCCCCGGCGTCGGCGAGAACTACAACGACCACTTGCGTCTGCAGCTCGTCTACCAGCTCAAGCCCCAGTACCGCGGCTCCGACCTGCTCAAGTACAACAACACCGCAGCCGCCGAAGAGCTAGCGAAGTGGCGCGCCGGCATCCCCTCCATCATGGACGACAAAGCGGGCGCCTACGTCTTTGCCAATTGGGAGCAGGTCGCAGGTAAATCTGAAGCTGACCGTCTCGTGGATCTCGCTCGCTCCGTTGCGGCTGCCAGTGACCGCAGCAGCACAACGGGAAAACCAGGCCTAACAAGCAAACTAACCCTCCTCACCTCCCCCTCCGTCCCCCAAGTAGAAATCATCTTCTCCGACGGCTTTGCCGGCGGCTACCTCTCGCCCTCCGACCCGCTATACTCCCGGGTCCCAAAACCGCACTTCTTCACCCTCCTCGTCGCCATCCAGCACCCGCTTTCCACGGGGTCAGTGCACATCAACACCTCCTTTCCCCTCACAGGCAACCCCGTGATAAACCCCAACTACTTATCAAACGAGTACGACATGGCCTCCTGCATAGCCGCTCTCAAATTCGCTCGCCGCATAGCCTTGTCCGAGCCCTTGCGGAGTGTATGGGAGAACGAGTACAGCCCGGGGTTGGATGCCGTGAAAACAGATGACGATGATGAGGTGTGGAGGCGGTATGTGATTAACACAGTGCAAAGTATTTTCCATCCGACCAGCACGGCGGCGATGCTACCGAGACGGCAGGGAGGGGTGGTGGATGGGAGACTGAAGGTTTATGGGACGGAGGGGTTGAGGGTGGTGGATGCGAGTGTGTTTTCGACGCAGGTTGGGGCGCATGTGCAGACGGCGGTTTATGGGGTGGCGGAACGGGCGGCGGAGATGGTCAGACGGGATTGGGAGGTGAGGTGAGGTTGATGAAGAGGGAATTGAGGAAGAGGGAGTTGAGGAACTGGATGGTGATGAGTAAGGGTTGGTTGGCAATACTGGAAGCAACAAAGGCATGTCGTGATATTAATGACATATTTTGTGCATTTTGTAAAAGAGAAGACGGACTTTGTTTGGAAGAGAGAAAGCTGGTGGTTTGCGGAAGGGCCAACGTACCTAGTCTCCACAGTAGGTAGCTCGGACCATATAGGCACTCGCTTCTTTCGAAAGTTTCAACCAACAAAACAGCTGCATGGCGCAGCGGAAGCGCGCCGGGCTCATAACCCGGAGGTCACTCGATCGAAACGAGTTGCAGCTACACAACAACTTCTTTTTTTCATTTTTCTTTCAATACGAACGGCTTCTGTTTCCCAAGTCTCTTTTCTTATCTTTTTTTCTCTGCCTTTTCTGACCACGCAATATCCTAAACCCTTACCCAGTCACATCTCGAATCTCATTCGACATTGGACGAGGACCCCGACGCCCTGCTTCATGCGCGCTGCGCGCGCTGCAGACATGGATGGCACCGGCTGCACGATTACCTCTAGCGCGGATGGGGGACCTCTTCCGCTTGGTCGCTCCTTGGCGAGTAACATGATGATGAGGGGCAGCTTTCAGGTGATGCTGTTTTGATACCACCCTTTCGTCTTTTATCTGATCCGGTTATCGGGAGATATCTTGCATTGTTTGAGGCGGGTTTCTGTGTTTTCGTAAGTCTGTGATGGCAGTATATAGAGAAGGCTTTCCGGCTCCTCAACAAGCTCATGAACACAGATCAAAAGTACATGGCCAGCATGATCTTGATGAGCGGCAGTGCACCCTCAACATCAGCAAATCGAGAGCAAATGGGGCAATACGAAAAGCAGGAATCCCGCACCAGCGGAGTGCCATTGGAGTGGGGGAAGAGCTCGCTACGGCTGTGGTTGGTTGGCGCCTGGTTTTCACATTGCAGTAGACCAAGACATGAATGGTATGCTGCTCCAAGGGTTCGGATCCCGCTTGTGATTGTGAGTGGGTGGTGTGGTGCTTCAAAGATAAAGAAGAGGCAAGCAAAGTTCATGAGACCCCTGAAAAGGCATGTATCTTCCGCTCTCCCGTCTCTTAATTCCTCTTTTCTGTTTTCTTCCACCCACATGATGCATCGCGGAAAGCTGCTGCGGAGAGAGCTCTAGAGAATCGAAGAACGAAAACCGAAGAAATCGGTGGTTTCGTGTGACGCCGGAATAAAAAGAGTCTCAACCACTTGTACAAGAGGTGGTTACACGAAACGCGCGACGTCCTATCTCGACCTCCAATACAGCCTGTAAACAACTGGGCAATCCAAAGAAAAACATATCCAATATCAAGGCCGGAAAGCTGGGACGAAGCAGACGGGATGGATGCTCCAACAACAGGCCCTGCCCATGCAGATGCAAACTCTGACCCACCAGACGCTGCCATCATCCCAACTTCAAAACAACAGGACAATCCTCGTCACGATGAAGAAACAACAACAGCATCCGCCGCCGCCGAGTCCAGCCTGTTTTCCAAGGCCATTCTCTGGTCGCAGTCGCAGTGGCAGCCGCAATCGACGACGACGCCTGGCAGGTCCGGCAGTAGACCACGACGACCGCCATCCTCCTCCTCCGGTTCCGCTTCTCCGCACCGAATAACACCAAGCACAACACCCCCCCACGACGACAACGAAGTGAATTACTATCATCCTACAACTACCACCGGATTTGACGATCGCGGCCATTACAGCCACCGTCGCCTACCTGCGTATTCTCATGACACCACCTTCGGCTTCACTCAACCAGACATCAACGCCACCATGTCGCTTCTCATAGCAGTCGCCAAAGCTGCCCAGTTTACCGATGCCTTCTTGACCGGTCTCTTGGTCCCTCTTATCCCGACGATTCTGGAGACCAGGGCGGGAGTACACCACAAGCATGGTATGTTCGATTCAAAGCCAATTGCGCCTTTGATAAGAAGACATCATCGGGCTGACCTTTTTTCTTCCTCCGCTTTTCAGTGCAGTTTTGGACATCGATCCTTATCTCAACGTATGGTGGCGCATTCGCAGCTGTATCTTGTAAGTCGCTAACTAACCTCTCCATCCGGCGACACAAGCCTTGCCCGTGTAGGTGATACTGACAATTTTGCTCTGTTTGTTCAGCATTCGTCCCCCACCTAACCCGCCAAGGCCCTCTTCTTTGGGTCCTCCTCTTCGGCGGCCTTGGTCTAGCAGCGGGCTCCTTTGTCCTGTTGCAATTCCACTCCAACCTATTCTTCCTTGTCCTCTCCCGTGCCCTACATGGTATCGCAGGTGTGGCGATCGCGAGAGCTAGCTCCAGCTTGGTCGCCGGTGTGGTCTCGGTCTGCAGCGAAGACGAGGAGGATGAAGACGACGACGGAACCACTGCTGTCGACGTGTTGACGTGGATGACCCCGGCGTTTATCCAGAGTTTTGCCATTTCGGTCGCGCCGACGTCCGCGGGATTGCTGCATGGTTTCTTTGGCGGGCAAGCGGCCGTGTTTACGCTGGCTTACGCGGTTATTGCTTTGACGGTTGTGTTTGGAGGTCTCGTGGCGGTGGTAACGCCGCCGGGCAGGTGTCCTAGGACAAGAGGCGATCGACATGAGGCAGAGGGGCTTCTTGCTTCTCAGGAAGACTCTCAAAATTATGGGACTCTTTCCTCCCGTGGAGGGTATTCCTCGAGAGAAGTATCTCCCGGTCACGTCTCCCGTCAATCGACAAGACGACCCAGTTTAGCGGCCTCCGAAGTCACTGTCCCTCAGGAGGGAGTGCTAACCCCCGCCGCTTTGCGCCTCATTGTGCCCATGGGAGGATACATCGCTCTCAGTCTCATCGGTTCAGCGCTACAAAGTGTGCTTCCGATTTTCGTGCAGCGAACATTCGACTGGCCCATGGCCGCCAGCGGCTTTGTCTTCGTTCCCCTTTCGGCTCCGGCTGCTTTGGTCGGCCTCTTAACGACCCCGCTTACGACTCGGTACTCGCAGGCTTCTCGGTTGCTAACATCATTTGGTTTCATCGCGGCTGCTCCGGCTTTTACTTGCTTGGGCGGGTTGACTCAGAACAAGATGACTGTTCAGACGGCACTACTGGCTACCCTTGGCTGGATCTCTGTAGCCTTCGGTCTCTGCGGCGAGCCGCTCGTGAAAGAGATTATTGATGCGGTCGCAGGTGGAGAGGATGTCATTGAGATGGGAGGCCTGTCAACAAGCGCAGCAAAGGCTGAGAGTCTGCCCAGTCTCGCCAATGCCTGGGGCAGTTTCGTTGGTCCGCTTCTTGCTGCAACCGTCATGGGAGTTTCCGGGTGGGGAGGGCTGACCACAACATTTTCATGGGTGTGTGGGTGCGCTGGACTGACCGCGTTGTTCTTCTTGGGCGGGTTGCTTACCGATGCAGATTTTGAGAGCGCTGGAACATCGTCAGCAGATTCCTCCGACGAGGAGGCAGCACCTTTGTTGCAGGACAAGGGTGATCCGCCCGACACGTCGCCTTACTACCAAGATCCCCATACAAGCCAGAATGGGGGTCTTGGTAAACTTCAGCAAAACGGAATCCTCCATGCCCCCAAAACGGAGCAGAGCAACATGACATCGGGATCGAGCAGCTCCTCGGCTACCAAGGCCCGCCGCCGAAACTTCAGCGTAGGCAACTTCTCCCTCGCCACAACCACGCAGTCCACTCTGCCACCAGGCGAAAGCTTCCAGTCAGACGACTCAGCATCATCCAACGTCCGCTTTCAAGCATCCTTCGAGACCGACTTGCCGATCCCGACCCGTCTTCAGAACCCCGAGCGTCGCCTTCTTATGAAGATGGTTCCTCACCTGCCGGGAACAGATCCGCTGCTGGCTTCTGGAAACCGCTACGCGGTCGACCACTCCTCCGAACAGTCGAACGAGAACGGCGATGAAGAATCTATGGGCCCAAAAAGCAAGAAGCACGTGGTGGTATTTGAAGAGGGCGCGGCCCCGCCTGAGCTGCTCCGAAGCCGACCGCATTATATCGTAGCCATCAACCGCGATGGTTCACCAGAGATATTGTCGACGGCTGATCCGAAGTTACATGATCATGCGATGCACATCACGGAGGAGACGACAGACGAAACGGCCGAGCAAGAACTACCGGAGGGGTCGAGGCGGTACGTGGTGGTCTTGCTGAACGAAGGTGAGACGGGGCTGGAAGTAACTGACTGAGTCTGAATGCCGGGATTCGGTCAGCGCGAGCCCAAGTCAGATCCGAAAGAATAGCAGTTGATAAGAGGAGGATACATACCCGGGGCGGAGAAGGATAAGGCCCTCGTTGTTTCTAGGTTACGGTTTCTGCGTTTGCATTGTTCGCTCGGGGTTCGGTCGTTTTGGGTGTATCGCAATGCATGTTGGATTTCTTCGTCATCTTACCGCCATGTTTTCATTTCCGCATCTGTCGTCTTTCTGTTTGCATCATGTTAGCCAGCAAGATACCTTCAACTTGACAATCCAAGAGTTTGATATCCACGTTGACAAAGCACCTTGATGACCCCTCATGTGATTGGGCAATCGTTCTTGCGTGCCCGGCAGCTCAGGGACTGCCCGGCTTCCCCTGTTTAGTTGATTTACAGTGGGATGGTAATCGGTGGGGTGCGGGGTGTTAGCGTTCCGGCCTGCTGATCCGCTAAACCTTAACACCGAGGTTGGACCTTGAACCTTATCAATGCCTGCCGCAGCTGCATGTCCGGGTAGCTTCGATTCGGGAACCTTCAAGACTGGGAGCATCTTCCTCCCGTTGTCATCTTTTTTTTCCTCAGCAGCATTCCCACTTTCTTCATCCACGTTCAGAAGCTACACGATATCGAATACCCTGCCCTTGTGTACCTGCTATAAATAGTTTGATAGTCAAATTGTTCACCGGATTTACCGCCAACACGCGCAATGGACGAAGACGATCGAGAATATGGCAGCTCCGACAACGAGCAGGACGAGCTCATGGAGGACGCCGATGACGCCGAGAACGACACCTACGGCGAAGACTTTAACGAAGACGACGAGGAAGAACAAGAAGAGCAAGACGAACCCGAGCGGGATCCAGAACCCGAACCGGAAGCAGAACCCTTTGACGAATCCCAAGCACAAAACTCCCACGACCCAAACGCACCCGACCAAGCCACGTCCCAAACAGCTAGACGCGTCTCCGCGACACCCTCAGGGTCAGGATCAGGGGCGAAATGGCGACCAACGATAAGACCAGAATACATCACAGCTTCCACTTACGACATCGTGCCTACCATGGCTGCTCCACAAGCCACCAGCATCAACGCCATAGCCGTCACCCCCGACATGCGCTACTGGTTGACGGGCGGATCTGATGGCTACATCCGAAAGTTTGACGGTATCGGCACCATCAATGGCAAGCAGCAACTCACGGTCGCCCAGAAACACCCATTTGTCGACAGTGTTGTCAAGTCGGGAGTGCTTATGAGCTATTGGGACAACCAGGAGTGGACAGGACAGAACACTAGAGATGACGACAGGATCCTGTCTCCGGTGTACAGTTTGGCAGTCCACCGACAAGCCTTATGGGCACTGAGTGGCTTAGAAAGCGGTGGTATCAACTTACAGAGCGTGAGACATGATGAGGGAAAGAGGATACACTGCTTGCGGACGAATGGCCACACCAATGCCGTTAGTGTGTTACAACTGGCGCCCGACGAGAAGAGTGTGCTAAGCGGAAGTTGGGACAAGACGGTGCTTGACTGGGACCTCAACGATGGGTCGGTCATACGGCGGTTTGAGGGCAGCGGTGGACAGATATCGGCTATCGAGCTACGACCGACTTCGGGTGCCCCGATCCCAGCCGAGGCTAGCGATCCCGAGATTATCACGGATACTTTCGAGAGTAACAACTCGAAGCCAGTTATGAACGGCTTTTTCTCGAACGGGGCAAATGGAGACATGGATATGACGGGCCAAGCCAGCGCGAACGACGGGGATGCGAATGATGTCCCATCCCCAGAACACGAGTCGCTGTTCGGTAGTCCCGCTGGCTCTCTATTCGGGGACAACGAAACAATAGGCGGTGGGAATGCCTTTGGGGATGATGAAGACGACAATGAGTTTTCCAGAGCTATGGGCATGGAACTCAAGGAGGAACAGAACAACCAAGGGCACACCGACGACTTCCCCATGGGCGACGCCGAACCTTTAACGGACACCAACGCTGCCCAGGGACCCGGGCCTGCTGCCAACGGGCCAGCCGAAAACGGGACCATAAACATGGACATATCTAACGGTGATTCCAGCCACACAATGTCAGACTTTGGACACCAAGCAGCCGCAATCCCCGAACAACAAAACCAACAACAACAACAACCACAACAAGACCAGAACCCCGTCTCCCAAACCGACCACGAACCCATCCCCTTCGAGCCCGTCGCCCCCGCCACCCCCAGCATGGTCTTCAACACGGCCCCTTCTCCCGCTCCGCAAAACGACGACACCCAAACGGCCCCCAACATCTTTATGGCCGCCTCCATCGACGGCACCATCCGCATCTGGGACCGGCGCGTCCCCGACCCCGTCGCCCGCATCGGTAACCGCCGTGGCGTCCCCCCTTGGTGCATGGGCGCCTGCTGGTCCGTCGACGGCAACTGGATCTACGCCGGCCGACGCAACGGCACAGTCGAAGAATTCAGCATCCACAAGGCTCGGGGCGGGTGGCAGCCCGAGCGTACCCTCAAGTTTCCCAACGGCAGCGGAGCAGTCAGCTGCGTGCGGCCCATGGCGAACGGGCGACACATTATTTGCGCGTCGCACGATATTCTGCGGCTGTGGGACCTTCAGGGCGAGACGCAAGCGACGAAGCACTCAAAAGTGCCGTTTGTGGTTGTCCCCGGTCCGCCCAAGGCGGGCGTCATTTCAAGTCTGTATATCGATCCGACGAGCAGGATCATGATTTCCGCGGCGGGTACGAGGGGGTGGGATGGCACGTCGACGGAGGTGTTGATTGGGTATGAGATTTCGCCGGTGAAGTAGAAGGACACCGACGAGCGCAAGCGCAAGAAGAAATGGGAGGGAAATTACAGCTGGGCTTTTGGAGGAGGGAGATTTTACTGATACAGTATTCTTTCTTTGGTGTTTTGCATTTTGGGTCATTTGGGTTGTCTTCTGTCTTTTCTTGCTTATCACCTTCTTCCTAATTCACCGGACACCCTTTTCTTTCTACTACGATTTGCTCCCTGGCTTCGCCGTGGAGGGGCTCTATTCTTGTCCGAGAAGTCAGTCGGTCCACACACAGTAAGCGGACTGACTCTATGGCCAAAAGGCCTATATGTATTTGGACCCCTTTGTGCTTGTCTGTCAAGTTTGGAATCCTTTTGTCTCTTGTTACATCATGTCTGGGCGGGCGTTTTATGTTTAGTTCGGTAGCGGTTGGTTAGGTATACTGGTCCCACAGCTAAGTATGTATTCTAGGGGTACCTGTATCTTCAGATAAAAGTACACCAAAAACCCAGATCCCATCACCGTCATCATCCCCTTTACCGCATCTGGTTCAACAAAAAAAAAAAGAACCCAAGAAGTAAGACAGACATGAAAGAAAAACAAAAAAGGAACTAGGCTACCTAGCAAGCAAGTTTCGCACCAAAAAAAAAAAAAAAAAAAGCAAGAAAAGAAACATACAACACCTGGGATTCGCTGGTCGTCACCGACCCAACTACTAGTCAGGCGATATGGTAGCTTATCTATCGGAGTCGAAAGGATATGAACCGGGTCTTTTAATCACGTGGTAGGGTCAAAAAACTGAACAACAACCTCCCGTATCCATATCGTTCGGACGGAGGCATTATAGTGAGTGGGGAGCCGGCGCTAAAAAGATGAATATAATTGGGCGGATTACGAGAAAAAAGTTGACCGTCCTGACACTGCGGCTAGCCCCGTTAACGTTTGTCAAAGCGCAATATCCGCGGTATGGGTATACTAGCACAATTCTCAGTCGCGGCCGTATAAGCTCCTCTTCCGGTAGCTGAACCTTGGACTTCAACGAAAGCATTTCTTTGGCAGTATGAACAGCTGCTTTATGTCTTGCTGTTGGTGCGATCGCCGCTTGGCGTCGGTTCCATGCACCCACAGGTCCCAAAGGAAATGAAAAGTAAGGCATCAATGCATTGTCCGCTCAAGGACACTGGTTATCGCAACGGCTTGGTTGTTGACAGCACTGGCAGCCTAGGCTCTACTGCAATTTGCAGGTTCCACTCGGATTTACAGCCCTACCCGCGCCACGCCCGCTGCTTGGTACACTATTGCCAATCCTATAGACCCGTGACGGAAAGCCACGACCCTCGCCCAAGTCGAGTTATTGATTGGCGCCCTGAAGTCTCTAGGTCTAGAATGCCCAGCCTCAAAAAAGAAATGTCGTTTGGGTAATTAACGTGTAATTGGGAGGGAGCCGCCAGCCATCCTACGCCTGATAAGGTGATAATACAGAAAGCCCCATACTCCATTATGGCCTCGAGAAAACACAGTGTTCTAGTTTCTTTTCCTTTTTTTGTCCTAGATGGCAAGAGAGAGGAATTTCCGGCACTTTCATAAACTCGATTCATTAATCATCAACCATAGCATCCTCACCGCAGTCAAGACGTTCCTTCCTCAGAGCTACGATGCCTCGACGACTGCGCTCATAGTTCCAGATGTGTTTCAAGCGACACGGAAATGCCGAGGATAGGGAAGGTTCTAAGGACCAAGAGCAGTCTCGCCCTGCACCTCTGCTCGAGTTGCCGACGTCTACACAGCACATCCCCGCCACTCCCTCTACGTCCTCCCTCCCCCTCACGGCCGCTCTGTGGGAAGGAACAGAGATCAAGGATAAACTATTTAAATGATATCGAACAATGCCATATCGTGACTATCAATCTTTTTTCGCCTGCTCATGTGGGACGGGCAAAGAGACTTTTACACACCTAGTAATACCGGATTCCTCCTATATATAGCTATGTGATGGTGGTCATGGCTGGCGCTAGCCAAATGCTGGTATTTGCCATATTTACTGGTGTCAGGGCAACCGATAAGATCGGTCTTGGCAGTCCAGTGGATATGAATATCGACTGAAGACTATATTTTACACTCTTCAGAGTACGCCATCACCTAGTCTACGAATGTCTATGGACGTTTGACCAATGGGGAAGAGCAGAAGGGTAGCCGCCTCCTCAGTTGGGCGCTAAGATTGGAACGGCTGTAGGAGTATTGCCTGGCGGTCGAGTTGTAGGAGGAAGGAGTTGGCGGAGCCGACGACTAAGGCTAAGTCGGCAGAGAGTTGCCCACCCTTGCTTGTCCATTGCATGTATTATGTTGAGCGTCGGTTTGGGTGTGTCGCCAGCTCTGTAGACCAGAATAAAACATTGACTGCCAACTCGGATGACAGTCGCAATTGTTTGACAGGGTTGGCCCCAGACCGGGCGTGTGCCTTCGGCCATACCCGGCCTGCACAAAGCTGCTCGGTCTATGTACACGCTTCCTGCATCCAGACTATCCCTGTAACCTGTAACTTGGATTATGTACACACCTGTGAATTGACATGGAAGAAAGGTACGCTGATCAAGGGCAGGAACATCAGCTGCAATATTGTTTGGACTGTGCAAAGGAGGCGTGGGAATGACAACGACAGGAGGATGTTTTCGGATACTGTACCTCAACTGGGTTGTTCAATGTTGCCAACCGTGATGCGGTACCGTAAGTGGTAACTGCCCGCGTAGTGAATCCTTTTGACCAACCTGTAGGGTGAACAGTGCAACATATGGATCGCGACGTTGGAATACGGTGAGAGATGGAGGAAAATAATACTTGGGAAGTAGAAGTAGGAGTGAGACAGTTCGGGATGGATGTCAAACGTCAGTTTACGACTCTGACAGATGGTAGGTACCTAAATAGGATTGAGAGGTCAATGTACTTTAGGTGATGTATACTTGTGCGTTGCATCAAGGGGTATCTGTGGGTAAAGGAAAGGAGGCATGTATGAAAGGAATCGCGATGTGGTTACGTCAGCTGTGTACTGTCATGGTGGGTAGGTGTACATAGTATAGACACTCCTTGCTGAAGGAACCTTGCTGCATGAACCTTGCCGAAAGCATGCGGACCATCCCGCTGCCGGGTCCGGGGACTCAGGGAGACAAAACCAGGTACATAGCACGGGTAAGGCTGAAGGAACAGCGGTGAGCCTTGTTCGTTAGACGGGGACGAGGAGCGGGGGAGGAGACAAGTTGCAAGCGAGTCCATGATGTTCAATGATCGATTTCCAAAATGGCAATGTATAAATGATAATGAGAAGTCATACCCAAAATCGCGATTGAGGCAAGAGACAAGCCACATGACAACCAAAAGCATGGGCACGATACATATACGACCCTCCGCTGAAATTTTCACATTCACAACATCCACCGGCGTTTGGCCTAGCCTCCCGTCGGTTACTTCTATCCACCTTAAGCATCCAGCGGCTTTTGCGCCCTCACCATACGCCACCTCATATTAGCATGAATCTTGGCTTCCCTAAACTCTCGGCGAATAGTAGCGGCGTAGTTTGCGATTTCCTTCGGGGTCCACCCCAGGTAGTTGGGCATGAAATAGACAAGGAAGCCCTCAATGTCATGTGTCAGCGCCGCAGAGTAGTAGAGACCCAGCTGCTTCATCTTCTCGTCATCGGACCAGGGCGAGGCGGGAAGCTAGATCTCGGAGTCAGCTTCAGCGCGTCTCAAGGGCTCGCGGACAAGGAAAGTCTTACATAGTATTCCTCGGATGTAATGTTGGTAAACCCAGCGTTCTTCATTCCTTTTTCCATCGTGTCTGAAGAAACCACGTTGACCTCGAGCCCGGTCTTCCGCCCAACCTCTTTCCAAATTTGACCCATTGGGCCATAGCGGAATTATTAGGCATCGTTCCATCAAAGCAATACAATTCAGCATCGCCGTCAAGTTGTTCAATCCAAGCACCGGGTTTCGCACACCTATACGCCTCCTTATATAGGGCATTCCAATCCTTGATGATGCCGGTAAGCCAGCGAAGATGAATGAAGTCGAAGTAGTTCTCTTGATAGGTCCACTCCTTAGTTGCGTCATTGATCTCGAAGCAGGCGTTTGGAGGTAACCAGGTAGGTTGAATAGGGGAAATGTCGGTGCCAATTACGTTGCAATTGGGATGATCGTCCGCAAAGTCACTGTTATATGAAAATGAGATGTTAGCAATCGAAGATCGACCCAGAAATCTGACATGTCAGTCTTACATGGCCCAGACTCCTGCACGTAAAGATGGTCAGTAAAGTTGAGTAAAGGGGAGAGATGGCGGTCCAGGTTGATCAGCTTACCAGTGCCGGTACCGATATCAATAGCGTTCTTAATCTCCTTCTCATTGAGCGGGGACGTATACAGCTTTCCATCGAACAACATAACCATGGCCGCGTGGAAGATATCCAACATCTCATTTGCCTTGGCATCATTAGGGCCCCTGAGTGGTGTATATGGACCAGCAGTTAGTTTAGCTCCACAACATCAACGGGTACAGCACTCGTCTTGCTAATGGTTTCCAATACAGACGTACCAATACTCCGTGTCAGTCACAGAATCGCTATGGTAGGTTCGTCCCAGGACATTACGGTACTGCAAAATGCTGGAAGAGATCGAGGCGGTCGAACTTCCGGCGTCACTTCCTAGGGTCGATTCATTGTCCTCATCCACCTCCTGTACGTGCAGGAGACTTGTTGTTAGCATCCGCCATTCTCAAGATGATAGATGAAAACGCTGTGATCATGGATGTCTCATTCGATACTGATCAATCTATGTTGGAAGTCCGTGCCCTGGGCCGCCCATTCACTGGCCTCGCCCATTCACCGGCACTCCCTTCCAGGTATTTAGGCTGCCCTAGTTTCCGTTTCTCCTCTTCCATTAGACAACAACAATCAAGCCCTTTTTCGTTGTCGCCTTTTCCAGCCCACCGATAATCTAGCTCACTCGCTAAGAGAAGAGGAGAAGAGAGTCGTCGGACGAAGTGAGAGACAACCGTATCTATGTAGGGCAGTATAGGGCAGTGGGCCTGCGTCTGTCGGACGAAGATGCCGCCACTGCCTAACACGTCGGATGTGCGCAGGTGCGAGACTGTGAGGCTCTCCTGCATCACAAACGCCCCGTAGAAACCAAACAGAGGGGGATGTATAGATGAAACGAACCTGCTGGCCCCAATGGGCACCGGCCAGAAGTGGAGCGTCGATAGGCTCTGAAGACTCGTCGGCCGCTGGGGAGGCGGGACCAGGTGTGGGCGACTTCGCGGGACCAGGTGTGGGCGACTTCGCGGGACCGGGTGTGGGCGACTTCGCGGGTGTGGGCGACTTCTTTCCCGCTGGTGACGCGGGACCAGGTGTGGGCGACTTCTCCTTTCCCTTTGGTGACTTTGCCTCGGGTGCTGGTGACTGTGCCTTTTTGAGAGGGGAACTCATCGTCGCGGAAAAGGGTTGAAAGATTGGTCTGTGAACTGCAGAGATTGGCCAAGTCGACGCTTGGTGTTTTCGCGTGCCAGCGGCCCCGTATATAGGATTTCCCGTCACCTAATTACCCCTCTTCGATATAGAGTCTTCCGATGCATAGAGCGGTCAAGAGTGAAGGTAAACTCCTTCCTTTCGAACTGTGTGCTTCGGTCACCTCTTTGGTTACATTCGTGCTTGCTTGCTAGAGACCTTTCGGTACATCAGGGACTAACAGCAAGCACGCAGCCATGCGGTTACAGCCAAAATTCAGTGTTAGTTGTCAAGTAGCCTCATGTACCGTAACGGTGGGCTTTTGCTAAATCAAGGATTCCATTCGCTGCAATCCATACGAGCTACCGAAGTGGTGGAAAACACAGTGAATCGGCGAGTTGGCAAACGTTGCAATACGCACCAGCTCCCACAGGAGGCTGGAGAGCACTTTGCTTGGTATTCTTAGATCCAGAAGATCAGGCGTGAATAAGAAAAGATGCTGCAAGTACACGTGTAGCACGGCCGCGACCACGTCTAGAAGCCAAAAAAAAGCATATCGTATCAGCGATCATGGCACCGACCTTCACTCCTCCGCAGAAATTGTTACCATGCTATCAGCCACTCTGCAGTAATTGCAGCAATGCAGATAAGCATGCATCTCATTCCATAAATTCATCCCGATTTCGATCGGGCCCTCCATCTTCCCTGACCCAACGAGCCAACCAACTTCAGTGAGAGTCATCCCAACAAGCAATGAATGATGATAAACATGGTAGTCTGAGTCTGGTTGACGACGTGCTGGGTTTGTTACTAGGAGAAGCGTTAATCCATTCGAAGGCCAACTGGGATTGTGTAGACGGACTTTTCATCTGATGGATAACATATATGCTATTGTTTCCACGTACCTTTGGTGAAGCGTGCTCATACTAGTTTGATAGTGCGTGGCTTACACTTAGGGAGTATTTCCAGTGACCGCCTATAACGGATCATTCCAACCCCCACTCGGGTATAGCCATCTTCGGGGTTCACTCCCTCTCTGAGAAGAAGGCCGTAAACATGGAAACCAGTTACAAGACGTAGAAAATAGAGTTTGCTCTTGCTAAGCAACGGAAAAATATCCGGTGCATCGAGGCTCACTTCCCCGACTGGAACGCCATCCTTTATCAGGCCAACAAGCAGGTCAGCATGTGGGCCTATAATCTGATCGCTAACATCAACGTTAACCAGCAGAGCACCGCTAAGAACAAGGGCTCCATATTCAAGCGCACCATATGGGTCCTGATACTTGGGGATTCCCACCATCTCCTCAACCTTGAGACGTTGAGCAATCATCCCTCCAGAGGAGGAACTGAGATCCACCGGTAATTTGACTGATGTCCGGACCAAACTGAAATCCACCGGTGATTTGACTGATGCCCAGGACCAGCTCGGGGCTATATAGGCAGACTCGGTGTCAGTTTGATACGCGAGCTTAGCTTTTGACCGTTGCGGCACAGTTTTCCAAAGGAGGCCTTCGGGGATAAGCGTGCTCCATATCCCACCAACATATGTGGCGCCTTGATAGAACTCCTGCGCAGCTTGTACTATCCCGGACAGCGCAATTAACCTGTCGCTTTGTTTTGTCAATGATCGTGCAGAATAATCCTCCACGATATCATCCTAGGATGCCTTGCTCTTAAGCAGTCCCTTCGTGTCCCCTAGAGGTACCCTGTATATAGACCTGGTGGTAGATCTTTTGATATTTTCCCATGGCCGTTGTGAAGTTGCGCGGAGCTCGTTACACTCCCAAAGTAGCCCTTGACTGGAAAATGAGATAACTCTTCTCGAAAGCTCCCTTTCTTGTAACGTCCAGGCGCGGCTGTTAAGGTGTCCAACTTCGATAGATCCGTCATCAAAGAAAAGTGTTTCAAAAACTCGAAGTCGCCGACGATGGAACCTCGTTTCGTGTTCTCCGAGTCCATAGAAGTCAATATCAACAGAATGGTTAGAGTAAGAACTCTGAATATCGGCAACCATCCTGCAACCTCCACTGCTATCTTTGGAGTCAAGAGCTGCGAGTGTAAGGTAAGAATGGCTGTAAACAGAAGCCATCAAGGCGGCTTCACTTGCCCAATCTCCTTCATCGTCCTGTATGATACAAAGGAAATCGATCCACAGAAATCTCTGCCTCAGGGAGCGACATATTTTTACAGAGTCTTGAAACGTCTGTGGGAGCTTTTCGAAAGAGATTCGCATCATACGTTCACTTAAAGTTGCCTTTGTCGTAGTGAGCGGGTTTTTGAGGGTGGTCCCCAGCAGTGGCTCAGTGTGACATATTTTGGCGGTTGTCCGTCAAAATAGAGGTCGTCTGCCTTGCTGGTGACTAGGCGGATATCTTCGCTGTCGGAAAACGCTTTGAGGCCGAGAATTCTGGTAGGTAGGAAGTATTCAATGTTACTAGAGCATTGAGTATGGTTGTCTCGACAATTTTCCAGCCAGACCTCGATAAGTTAAAAATTGTCCACATGCTCTCCCATTTTGACACGATCTAATTCGGCTGCAGAGGAAAGAGCTGTCAGTGCCAAAGATTACGAAAAAGATAACTGAGGAAGTAGCCTAGCCTGATTAACCCGATGTTAGAATGCGCGACTTACACTAAGGAGATGGGACCAGAGAGAAGCCAAAATCCCGCGGATTAATTATGCAATAATCGTGCTCCTGTCTGCGTTGGGCCTTCATGTCTTCAGACATGCCCATACAGTCCAATGCTAGTTTGTTTGTTAGCTTGGTACTCCGGGTATATAGGACGATATCCATCCCGAATTGTCTTAAACCTTGTAAGAACAAATTGAATAGCTAAGTACGGATTGAAAAGGCATTAATAAGATGCAATATGACATATTGAACTTTGGAAATAGTATATTAAAGGTAAGATTACGCTTTAATTATGAAACTAAACGTATTAATTAGATATAAAAACACCTAGGGAAGTTGATCCGAGGTCTTAAGCTAAGAATCAAACCAATATTGGACTGTACAAGGCATTTCGTTTCAGCTCAAGGGCTTTAAGATTCCTTGATTGAAAATTCGGATCTCGACCGGGGCCCATTTGCAGAATCGCGCACAGCGGGCATCCTCTTTCTGCTTCAAATCGCATTGACTCCAACGGCTGAAGCTTAACGCGTATATTTCTGGACTCATCTGACCAGAATGACGCCGGGATTGACGAACAGATCTTGCAAAGCTTGCTGCCTGGACGATCCACTCTCCCTTGAGAGTATGGGATGCAGAGGTGTCCATTTTCGTTTCTCGATGCTGGAACAAGAACTTCTATCAGACGAAATCGCTCCCCAATTGCTTCCTATAGTAGGCACTGAGTTTTCCTACAAGATGATGCAGCAAAGCAAAGGCTGTGAGCTTTCTGACGGCGGCGAGGTTGGATGAATATCGAGGTCGACGGCGATTAGCATGAAAATACAGCCCTATCTGTGCCACGCCCCCTGTAAGAGTATGTAACAAGCGAGTCAAGGCTGCAGCAGTTGGTTGACGTTCGACATAGAATTTATGACTAAAGAAAGAAAAAACAACGGAATATGGTCGCACGAGCCCCACGCTCCTTATCTACTCTACAGGATTGGGCCATGACACCCTCATAATTGGTACAAGCTACCAGGCTGCTGCTGGTACTGAGTATAGAAGAGCTCTTTAATAGATGCGCCTTGTTCCCTCCTTTCCCCTCCGCTCTCTCTATTAGTTACTGCATATGCAGGTATAATCAATTAAGGGAATCTTTGCAAAAAGAAGCACGTAAGTGAGCCAGCCATCCATCGTAAGCCTGCAAATACATGACTAAGAACCAATAATAGAATGGCTGGACGCCGTCGCAAGCTGGATTTAATTGTTTGGTTCTTCTATGAATGTGCCTTGGAGGAGGTGGTTTCGTGACCTGGCATGCCGAAGAGATTTCTCAGGGATCCATTGGAATTGGAGGTCTGATTTGACTTGATTTGATCCATGCTGACCGCTGCTCTAGGGCAGTGCCAAACGTGGCTATGCTCAGCCTCATCAGTTCTAGACCGAAGAGGATAGGAATATTGTCTTTATGTTAACACATACTTGCGCTTTCTTTCCACTAAACTTCTTCTCCTTCGACAACACCATCCATCATCATCAACAGTTCCGACTATCCGCACATAGTATCTCTGCCTATTATATACCCACTACCTCAAAATGGTCGACCGCGGCCTTCGGTTGCTTTCCCTTGATGGAGGCGGGGTCCACGGCTTGTCTAGCCTCTTGATTCTTCAGCGGCTTATGATGGAGGCTGCCGAAGACCACAATAAGCCGCCTAAACCTTGCGACTACTTTGACATGATTGGCGGTACCAGTACAGGCGGTCTCATTGCGATCATGCTAGGTCGTTTGCGCATGACCATCGAAGATTGCATCAGTGCTTACTGCATGCTTGCTGACAAGGTCTTCGAGAAAAAGAGCCATCGAGTTACCCTCAATGGCAAGGTCCAGGGCAGATTCAGCGCTGCCCAGCTTGAAAAAGTTGTCAAGAAGGTGATCGTCGAGCAAAATTTGAACCAAGACGAATTGTTCAAAGACCCGGCCGATTCTTGCAAGGTGTAAGTTCATTATACCAATCTGCCTGTCTTGGTATTATTCATCTGCTAACAACCACGAAGCTTTGTTTGTGCAACAAGCAAAGACGTTCACCAATCCATTGTCTGCTTCACGACTTATCCATCTCGTCGCCTTGTCCCACATCTCTATAACTCGACTACCATCTGGCAAGCCTGCCGCGCCACCTCTGCTGCTACGTCCTTCTTCGATCCCATTGCCATTGGCCCCATCGGTAAAGAGTTTGTCGATGGCGCTCTTGGATTGAACAATCCTGTCTCTATGCTCTGGACACAGGCTCAAGACTTATGGGGTGATCAGCTTGAGAAGAGATTGGCGTGTCTGGTATCTATAGGCACAGGAGTTCCTCCATTAACGCCAGTGGGTAACGATTCTGTCGGTATTTATCGAACCCTCAAGGCGATCGCAACAGAGACCGGACAAACAGCCAATGACTTCCAGAACAACCATAGGACTCTCGATACAGAGGGGCACTATTACCGCTTCAATGCTCATGGGATGGAATCTATTAGGCTTGAGGAGTCTAGGAAGAAGAAAGAAGTTTCTGCAGTGACAAATCATTACCTCAGTTCACCTGAGACTCTTGAGCGGTTGCAGAATTGCGCAAAGAATCTATCACGAAGAGAGTGTAACCCTAACCAAGAAATACAACAAATGTCAGAGAAGGACCAGCAATGCTTGAAGCACCTATACCTTACCAATCCTCGCGATGATAAAGTCCGCATCGAACGGACCAAAGGCGGCCTTTTGCCAGACTCGTATCGTTGGGTCCTCAATAACGATGACTTTCAACAATGGCGTGACGACCCACAGCACCGACTGCTCTGGATCAAGGGCGACCCCGGCAAAGGGAAGACTATGTTGCTGTGCGGCATCATCAATGAGCTGGATCAAGACAACGCGCGCCACTGCAATGTGGCCTACTTCTTCTGCCAAGCTACCAACTCTTGCATCAACAATGCAACCGCCGTACTGCGCGGCCTAATCTACCTACTTGTCGACCAGCAGCCATCTATCCTCTCACACGTGCGGAAGGAGTATGACCATGCACGCGAAAACCTCTTCAACGATGCAAATACGTGGGACGCCCTGTCGAGAATTTTCACCAACATCCTACGAGACCCAAGCCTCCGAACGACCTACCTAGTCATTGACGCGCTTGACGAGTGCGTTACAACAGACCTGCCGCAGCTTCTCGACTTCATTGCTCAGCAATCATCATCTGGATCTCGAGTCAAGTGGATCGTCTCAAGCCGTAATTGGCCGCAAATTGAGGAACGGTTGGAGAAAGCCGCAGATAGAGTGAAGGTCTCCCTGGAGCTAAATGCGGAATCCGTCGCAGCAGCTGTCAATGCATTTATCCTGCACAAGGTGGATGACCTAGCAGGGCTGAAGAAGTATGATCCAAAGATAAAAAAGACCGTTCAGGACTACCTGTGCTCCAACGCGCAAGATACGTTCCTTTGGGTGGCGTTAGTCTGCCAAGCGCTTGAAAATGTCCATCCAGAGTTTGCCGTAAAAAAGCTACGCATGTTTCCACCTGGACTGGATGCTTTATATGCGCGGATGAGAGAGGATATGAGCCAGTTCGATGAATTCGATCTTTGCAAGCACATTCTTGCTGTTGTCACAATTGTTCGCCGGCCAATCAGCCTTCAAGAACTAGCCTCTCTTGCCGAGTTGCCCAACACCATTTGCAACAATCTTGAATCTCTAAAAGAGATTATAAGGCTTTGCGGTTCATTTCTGACTTTACGAGAACAAACCGTCTATTTTGTTCATCAATCAGCCCAGGACTTTTTGCTTTCCACTGTCTCTGATAAAGCTGGAAACCAGGCTTCTCAAGAGGCTTTCGACTGGATCTTCCCTAAAGGGAAAGAAGATGTGCACTATATCATCTTCCTGAGGTCACTTAAAGCCATGTCTACAACACTGCGACGCGATATATACAACTTAAGCGCACCGGGATTTCCGAGCGACAAGGTCCAAGTACCGAATCCGGACCCGCTAGCGACGGTGCGGTACTCGTGCGTCTACTGGGTTGATCACCTGTGCGACTTGGTTTCCAGTACGAACACAAACTGGAATGATCTTTTACAGGACAACGGGGTTGTCTATACATTCCTCAAGACGAAGTACCTTTACTGGCTGGAAGCTCTAAGTCTATTCCAAGCTATGCCTGTGGGCGTTGTTGCTATTAGAAAGCTCGAAAGCTTGCTAGTAAGTACAAGTCTAACTCCGCACTAGGGACTTGGTCTAACTAAAGATATAGGGAGGTAATAATCAATCGCAGTTATCAAAGCTTGTTTGGGATGCTTACCAGTTTGCTCTGTCTTATAAGTCAATAATAGAGCAAGCTCCACTTCAAGTATACATATCAGCGCTTGTATTTGCTCCAAGCGGTAGCTTGATAAAGAGGAATTTCAGCACAGAAGAACCTGACTGGATTCGAACTAAGCCGGCTATAGAATCAGATTAGAATGCATGCCTCCAAACCTTAGAAGGCCATAGCGGTTCAGTTTACTCAGTGGCATTTTCGCCTGATGGTCAGCGGCTCGCATCCGGTGCGGAGGATCACACTATCAAGATCTGGGATGCGGCGTCGGGGAGCTGTCTCCAAACTTTGGAAGGCCATAGCGATCGGGTTCGCTCAGTGGCATTTTTGCCCGATGGCCAGCGGCTCGCATCCGGTGCGGAGGATCACACTATCAAGATCTGGGATGCGGCGTCAGGGAGCTGCGTCCAAACGATTAAGATCGGCACTATAGTAGAGTACATATCGTTTGACCATACTAACCGTTATTTACTTACCGACGTTGGACGTATTGATATAGCTATAATGACTACCAAAAGCCAAATTGTGCTCGATAATCCAGAGAGACATGGCTATAACTTAGGACCAAATAGGTCTTGGATTACTTGCAACGGCCAGAATGTACTCTGGCTGCCACCAGAACGCCGAGCTCGAAGCTCTGTCTTCCAAGAGCGGATAATATCCATTGGCAGCGCAACGGGACAGGTTTCATTTATCAGTTTCTCGCGAGACATATAATGTATTTTAAGTCTCTCCCAACTACTTTCCCTCTATTTCATTTTTCTAGCGTGTCACCAGAAGGGTATGGGAGGATAGGTAAATTTAGAAGAATCTTACAAATTCTAGCATCTTCTACTGATATTGAGATGGCGTTCTATTACGAGGAGGCAAGACTATTCCATCCCTTCATCCTCCTTTCGCGGGTGCCTATGCGGATCAGATACCATGGGATTAGCCCGTGACTGCCTAGTCATGGCCAAGGTTGGTACTATGGTACTGAGGCCTCGATTGCCCTCGATTAGATGAGTAATCCCTTCCTTAGTAGTACTTGGGAGAGCCAACACACTTATAGTAGCGTCGTCATTTTCGCTATACCATACGCTTTATTCCAAAGCTTTTTCGGATGCAGGAACACTTGTGATCTATTACGCGGTGGAGTCGGCTATAGGCCTAGGTTCTTAGGTTCTAGTCGGATTCGCCTGCCCAAATATCTCGGGTTCTTACGCTTCGTAGTGTCGGCGGGGACGTTTTAATCACGAGAAGGACGGCTCCCAATCCATCGTCCTGCGAGCGTAGCTGAGGGATGTTGCAGTAAGGGCAAAGGGAATAATGGTTGAGTATTTCTAATCGTCGGCCTGGATTTTGTGTCGGCTGTCGATGCGCTGAGGTTGAAAGATGCAGCTTCACCCAAGTGTGCGACGGTGCTGAATGGGCACAACAGGTACAAACGTCCACTCCAACTTAGTCAAGTTTACCTGGGAAGCTCGTTAAAAACGAGACACCTAGTCACCGTGTGCTCCCATAGAACCATGGTATCGAAGCCTAATTTAGAATTAACCTTCAATGTGCTAGCCCGCCTCATAGCCTTAGCCGCGCTTGGCGTGAGTAGGTGGAAACGGTGTATTTGGTGAGCTTGGCGTGAGTGATTGGATGAAAACGCTTCTGGAAACGCCGGCGTTTCTACACCTCTGCCGGCGTATGAAAGGTTAATTTTTGACTTTTGCCACAGCGTGGCACTTACAGAAAAGTGCCCAGCCGCTAACCTCTGTTCCCCTACTTTCTGTAGGATCGACGTACTCGCCCTAACATTCATATCCCGGCAGCATTTTTGGCCGAGTCATCCAAACCCCTGAAAAAACTACTCCCAGAGAGAATCTTCCGATTGGTAGCTTATCTATGGGAGAGCGGACGGGATCCCGAGTTTTCTACCATCTATGGTCGTATGTGCTTTGTTCGTGCTTAACATTTGCTTATATCCTCCAAATTTGTTGTGGTGGATTTTCCATCATGGTCAGTCACAGACGAGTAAGTAGGTACTATAAGTAAAACTCTCTACTTGTACATATCACAATCAAAAAATGGAGCAGAACATACTACATACTATCTTGTTACGTTACTATTCAACTACATACTGAAACCCTCTTGCTCTACCTCCTCGCTCTACCTCCTCGATCATGGACATGAGAGCCACGTAAACTCATCCGTCACCCTTGAATGTGCACATCCAGGATGGCTGACGGTTCCAGTCATCACCAAGCAAGAAAACAAGACGCTCCTGTATCCTTTACCCAGATTTCGGACAAAGGAATCAAACCAATGATGTCGAGCATGTTCTCATCCGCCGTCCGCGATCTCTTTACCGAACTAACCATCATTTTTGATGCAAGATTACCACTCTTCCGCTTACGATCCTCCTCAGCCCACACAATCGTCGCCCACCTAATATCCTCGAGCTTCTGAATTCCTCCCCCAACATCTTGCCCAAAGAACAGCATGAGTCTTCCAAGCATAATAATCTCCCCTCTTGTCAGTCTCGGGTCTTCCACGTACTCCATTTCCCTGTCGAAGAGAAACTCTGCAGGGACACACTCCGCATCAACCGGCTCATTCCAACCACGGCAGTTCTTGTACCTCTAGTACCCTTTTTTTCTCTCCTTTTTTCCCATTTACATGTCTGTTTTCTTTTCTATTCTTCCTCCTTCCCGGCCCATGTTGACAGTGAGGTCGTCGGTATAATTGGGTGATCCAGACATGAAAGAGATCTCAGCCACCTGAAACCGGATGACCTTGCCTCTGAAAGACTGAGGGACCAAGTTCTCGTCATGAATACGGAGCCATAATATGGTCGAAAGCCTTGTATAGACCAATATCGTAGAACACACACTGTTTGATCAAGTCGAGGTATCAAATCCAGTACTCCCCTCCCTCCCCTTGCTACTCAAAATCAATCAGCCATTTCTCTTCTCCATTATCCTCCAATTCTCTTGTCGTCTCGTTTGCCATGCCCGACTCGGGAGCAGCAGAGTTGTCTTGCTCAAACTCAATCAGAAGTTCGGGCTGAGCGACAGCGGCGATGTTCGGGAACTGGCTCGATGTAGGCGCAAAGATTGGGCCAGCACCAGAGCCAGCACGCAAAGGGATCCCAGAACCAGTCGCCAGAGCGGTTGTGGTGGTCATGGCCGGCAAGTCATTCGGAAGCTGGAGGGTTTGAGTAATAATTGGACCAGCACGAACACGAATCCCGGAGGTCGTGATGCCCGTTGGCATCCATTTATCTTGCACATGATGACGCTGGCTGAACCACTTCTCGTTCCTCTTCGCGAGTTCTCCGTCAAGCTCTCTGTCCTTTTGCTGGATTACGGCTTCGGCATTCTTCCAATTGTCATCCAGAGGACGCAATGGCATCTCCCCAAGATGACTGTAAAGCCCACGAGCAGGACTCCCCGCCGATGTACCACTCTTGCGCTTGACTGGCTCCTCATGTCCAAAGTCGTGAGCACCATGTTGGAGCAAAAGATCTTCGATGGTCTTCCCCTTTGGTGAGCTTGTATCTTGTCTCTGCGCTTGCTTGGCCAGCGCTTTTTCCTGTCTGAAGCGCTCACAGTCGTGGAAGCATCTTTCGCCGCAAAGACCGTGACAAGAGTGCCCACATTCAGGAACAATTCGGAAGCATGGGCTGCTGCAGGGAAGATTTTCATGCGCGATAGCATGACATCTCAGAGTGCAAGGATGGCCACAAGGCCTAGTCTCGAGACATCTCTCGTCACAGCCACCAGCGTTGTCGGCCCAGTCCTCTAGTTCCTTGATCCAGATCTCGTTTCCATGGTTCTGGCAGACCAGAGGAAGTCCAAGCTCTCGGTTGACCATGCCCTGATCGGCAAATCGATGGAAGATACTACCCCATAGTACCGATGATTCGATTTTAGCCTCGAGCAAGTTGGTGACGTTGCCAAATATATAGAACCCTTGTCGAGCACGACTGATGGCAACCACAGCTCGGTGTTGGTTGTCCAGGAAACCAATGTTGCGCCCATAGGCTGGAAGAGGGCTACGAACCAGGGACAAGAGAACAACATCATTTTCTTCACCTTGATACGAGTCCACTGTAAAGACGTTGAAGTAACAACCAGTAAGCGACGGATGCCCTTTCAGGTTTCTTAGGAGAAGACTTCGCTGGCCCCTATAGTATGTCAAGATGGTTATCTTTTCACTAGACACACCATTAGCGACAAGATATACAAAGAAGAGGGTGATCATTTCAGCCTCTTGGTCGTTGAGTTTGCTGTTGTCAGAGTTCGTTTCCTCAACCCATTCGTGGTCGAAGAACCAGCAATTGCGCCCACCCATCCCGGGGACATCCGGACGTGCTTGCGGAGATTGAACACTGGAGTGGTCCTGTAGGTTTTTGTAGAATGGAGAGACTATGTGGCTCAGCTCCGGCCTCATACGACGCTGTTGGTTGAGCATGATGTGATTCATGTCAAGGTTGACGAGCCTTTCAAACAGAGAGACGTTCAAGTTGTAAGGATGTTCACCGAGCCATCGAATGTCGCATCGAGGCGACATCTGTGCATGGTCACCAACCAGAACGAGCTGTTGAAGGGAAGGGTACAGGGCCGAGGTAATGTTGCCTTCCCTTGTTTCGGCAGCCTCTTCGATAAGTAGGGTAAGGGGCTGAAGCCCGGCCAGAAACGCGCGATATTTTGTAAGGCCGGTTGTTGTGCAGCCGATGACCGCAATATCTTGTGAGAAGACCATGTCAATATCTTGCCGAGCTTTGAGTGCTCTGCGCTGCTTGCATATCTCGACGTATTTGGCCAGTAGCCCAGCCAGCGTCGGAGTTGTTGCTTGCACCAATTTGGACTGGAGATGTTGGTAAACTGCGCCCCTCCAGTCTTGGGGTATGTCAAAGAGGTTGTCATTCTCTCTGAGCAAGCGTTGTGCACGATGATTCCAGCTTTTGAAGTGTCCGGGCTCCCTGGTCCACGATGTATTGTTAGTATTCTTGAACTCAGAAACGGGTGGCATATAAGAATATTGGGGAGTCGTCAAACTTACTTTCCGGTCCATACATGCATCAGTTTGACTTCCCTGCCATTGATCCTGTCTGCGTCTTCTTCATCGTACGCGATGTTCTCTACGTCGCGCTCATAATCGAAGTCCTCGTCAGCTTCCAGTGTTTCTGATACTAGAGGCTGCCTGTCGCGAATAATCTGGGCCGGGATTCGAGAGTCTCCCAGCCATAAGGAGAAAGGACCAAGCTTCTCCAGCTCCGGGCTTGTCTCCATTTCTTCATCGTACAGAGATTCCAGCTGTGCTTCGGTAATAATGCCATGTGCATGAAGCTCGCGTGGGTCAATGAGACTGTCCCCAAAAACACTGTTAACCAACGCCTGTACTCTGTTGATGTTGGTATGACGGTCATCCTCCAGTTCTCTGAACCGCTTACCACCCCCACCACGGGAGCATTTGCGGCGTGTCTCATACAAGCTGTAAGGCCTCATATCCTCTCTATCACTTCTTGAGCCAAGACGCAAAATCTTTACGTTCGCGTCAAGACAATGGCCAAGCAGCTGATCCAAGGCATGATTTGTCTGAGCAGCGACAATAAGGGGCGGGTTGCGTCCTGGACGCTTCCGGCGACTCGCAAGCATAACTTTGATTGCTTCCACCGAGGTAAAGGTTTTTCCTGTTCCTGGAGGGCCTTGGATGATGGCCAGCTCCTTGGAGACCATTCGATGAAGGGCGGATAGCTGCGAGGGGTCGAGCAAGCTGATGTCTTCCACGTCTGGGAGAGCCCCAGAAAGTATGTTGAAGTCGCGTAGGGATTTGAGCTTCTCAAAGTCTGCAAGCGGTTGGCGCACAACAGGAGAGAAATCCATGATAGGGTTTTGGTGTATGAAGCTTGGTGTCTCATCTTTCTTATGACTGCCGGTGATGTACTTGTCGATAGGAGTACTAAGAAAATCATCATTAGCCTACATGATACATCGCAGCTTGGGTCTCGATTGCGACACATACTCTGTCTGGGCAGCCAGTTGCAGGCCGACCAAAGAATGACGCGAGGATTCAAAGTAGCCGTGTCGGGCCTCAATCATGACAAGTTCGAGATCATAATCGAAGACGGCATCTTCTGGGTTGCCCCACATGAGGTCGACGAGTGGAGGGGTTTGATCAAGGCCAAACAAGTACGGCCTTTGGGCAACCACGGCAACCTTGCAGATGGTCTTGAACTTGTCGGCTTTGGTGGTGAGGGCAAGAAGACTGCCGGGCTTCAGGCGGCCGGACTTGAGCCATTTGATGGCTCGCTGCGGCATGAACTCAACGCGCGCAAGAGGTCCCAATGCTGTCATGACGTACGACTTGACGCGGACCTGGGTATAGACGAACTTGTGCTCATCGTCATCCTGGCGCAGTCCGTGGTTACTGTTGTAGATGTAGTTGTTGACTGCGAATCGCAAACCTTCGGTGCCCTCGCGACGAAGGATCTCGTATTGAGCCTCCAAATAGTCCTCCTTCGACTTCCAGGGCTGCTTTACATGATTTTCAGGAAGACCTTCGGCTTCTTTCTGGAGTAGGAGGATTTCCTTGGCCGTGGGGATTTCGGGTTTCGACCTCCATCCGTCGCCATCTTCAAGCTTGACGAAGACATTGCTGCGGACGATCTCGTCTCTCTGTGTAGACTTGTCAGAAATCTGGTTAACAAAGAGCGGATAGAGGTTTCGTACCGTAGCGCTCACTTGAATCCACTCGTCGCGGTTGGCCATGTTGAGAGAGTGTTGCTGAAGTGGTCGCGTCAGGCCAGATCAAAGCGGCGGCCGCTGGGGATGAGGAGATCGAGATCGAGACAGAAACCCGTCCAACGTTGACGACGGTCAAGTGATCGTGACAGATAAGGTTCAAATGGTAATGGAGTCCAGAACTGGAAGATGGACGCCGAATACAAGATTAGAGGAAGGAATGAAGAAGCAAAAATGCTTCGACTCAAGATTGTCCGGCGAATCACGGATGTACTAATATCCGACAAGCGGCCTTGAACTTTAACGGGTAGAGATGTCAACGGCCACGAACCTGAAGTAGAAGAACCTGGGGAATTTTGAAATGTAATTTCATTGACACTTCAGCCGAAGAAGGAAGGAGTGGGTTGGGTAGAGGATGATTTCCACGTAATGGTAATGAAAAGACCGTTTGTATTGGAATTGGAAGGAACGAATGCCGGCCGGGGTTTCCAGGCATCTGGGAAATTTCTTCTTATCAGGCGGAGAAAATCAAACATGATGAAGGCCAACATTTGACATAGAACATAAGACGAAAAGGGAAGTTTTCCTGGCTCGCCCTCTAATTGTTTGTGAAGTATTCCTGCCTGAGTTTGTTCGTTGACTTCTGGTTTTCAAGCGTTTGGATATATCAAACTGCAAAGTCCTGATGCTTCCTCCATGCGACTGCGATGGAAGAAGTCCCGGCATGATGTTTTGTTCCATCCTGCACATGAAGGCTACACATTCGGCTCTTTGTTTGACAATCTGATTGTCGTAAATTTGGTGGAACATTACCGCAAAGAAATCACAGAAATCACATTGCCGATATCACTATCGACATTCCCCATCTCAACGTGGTTGACCCAAGGTGGGCACGATAATGTAAGGAACCACAAGTTGTCGGGGTCTCTGTATTATCAACATCATGGCAGTATTGAAGCCCAAGATGAACAGTTCATGAACGTTATTTTGAGACGATATTTGATAAACTTATGCTCTAAGACACTCATTTCGTCAGCAAGACGTTCTGTTCCAGCAGCTAGCAGGATGATGTTGAAGCCATGGCCTGAGCTGACAGGACAAGTCAACGATTCCTGGACGAAATATATCAGCGTCAGTGTGTCGGTGTGGACGGTATTCCGGGGCCGCTCGATGTGCTAGCCATGTTCCCACCGTCCACCTATATGCCAGGCCTTGTTCGAATATGTCTGGTACGGATAAAGCCTAGACAATTGGAGAGCATAATGTGCGAAGCTGAGTTTGGACGGGAAGTTGAACTTGGATACCGGAACACCGGGAAGATAACTTGTGTATTCGGACATGCTCTGGGGTCATACCACTCATCCGAGCCGTCCCTTAAGCTAGCACGCAAGGCGCCAACTCGATGAACTTGGATCTATATCTTCCAGACGACCTGTTGAAGATGATTGTATTCGTAGGTCCATATAGAAGGAGTATAGGCGCACCCTTTTACTATCGAAGGGTTAGATGGCTCTGGAACTGTTAATCAGATGAACCGTGGAATTACTTCTTACCTATCTCGCCTATTCACGAACTGGCTGCAACAACATAGCCTCACAGCCTCGGTCTCCCTATTAGACCTCTGAAGAGCCGACATAGGAGCTCATATGATTCGTTCCCTGCTCACCAATACTCGTCCGGATACCACAACACCACCTCAACTCTTACAAAAAGCCCCCTTATGACGTCAGGGGCGCTTCTGAGTAACGGAGAAGCCAGCCAACCCCTTGACCAATTGAAGCATTTGTAGATGTTCCCGTTGGTCTCGGCGTGCGTGGTAAAAGGGACGTCAAGGGCCTGTCCTTTCAATGGACCGATGGAATGACGCGGGGGGACAAGAGTACCTTATACCTACCACTTGAGCCGCATGCCAACCGACCGTTGACGACAAGAACGGAACACGATCTGCGGTCTTGTAACCCGTATGACAAATGCGCCCCTATCAAACAAGCCGTCTCGGGCTTATGAGCGCCGTCTCAGGGAGGATCAGAAGGATTTCCTTCAAGATCACCGGCATGAATGACGAACATTTGGACATTGTGCGTGCCGGAGATGTGATCAAGCCCAAAAAGCACCGGCTAACTCCCGTCGATGCCGCTTATCAGTCTGTCAATACTGTGTATGTTTGAGGATCTGACATGATGCATGTTGATCCACGTACATCGGCGCAGTGTCGATTATGGTTGTAGCGAACGTGGTGATTATCCCCATGGTGCGGGATGTGAATGCTCCAAGTGCCCAGCGTGGCCGATAGGGGCTACGTCCGGATGACAAAGAAATCGGAGAGAGGATGCCACTCCGAGGCTGACCAGGCCGGGGAGACGGGTTCTCGGCTGGTAAGGGTAGTTGGGCGATTCAGTTGGGGACCACGCGACTCATGCAATAGGGGTCTGCTGAAGCATTCGAATCGAAGGCTTTTAAACTCATCGGAATGCAAGCTATCCGAACGCGTCTTCCAAGAGTTTGGTAACGAGATATACCTGACCCCGGGCGCCAGAAGAGGGTGGGCCTTGGAGCCGAACTTGGCTTGACATCTGGCCTTGATCTGGATGCTTATGTAGACCTAGACCAGGATGCAAAGTAATTGCCTTGATGTTTATTATACCATAATTTTCAGGATGGAATACGATGTTGAGAAATTGCGAGTAATCATCTCGTCGTCGTTGCAGGCGGTGCGGTTTCTTAACTGCGTGGTGGTTTTCCCTTTCTCGCACAACGCGAGACGGAATTTCCTCGGGCGGACACAAGACCTGACGGCGCTAGGCTACTTTAGGTCAAGCGGCAGTGGGACGAGCCAGGATGACGCTCAACTACGTCATACAAGTGGGAATCCTGGATCTGATCTTGCCGGCTCGTGGAGACGCTGGATTGTTAGTGAAGCGGAAAGTGGCACGAGAGTGGATGCCAAAGCATGGAACAGCGCTCAAGAGTCAGACGCAGCTTCTTGCGCTTGTGCCCAATCCCATCGTCCAAACCGTCCCAATCCCATCACGCGTGGTACACCGCCGACAAGGGCGGCCCCTTCTACATAGTAGACATGGTATTCCAAACAACATAAACAAGAATTTATTCAGCTCAGCTGTGTAAGGCGTCCAGCGTCGGCGAACTTGACCACGCTCACGGATTTCTAAGCCTACAAGCACGGGGGCATTTTCAAGCTTTCAGCGCTATCGATGTGTGTCTCAATATCGCGCCGGCCACGAAGCCCGCCAAGGCAGCCATTCAAGGTCCGTTCAACTCCGGGCAGGCGTCTGTGGCGCGTGAGCCGACTGGACTGAACTTGGACTCAAGTATCGCGCCGTCCGGTTAGGCTCAACAGCTGCGTTCTAGACAGGAGTGTGTCTGGTCTCTTGAATGGCAGGTAGCATGGCATATGGCATGGCAGCATGGATAGTAGTCTGATGTAGTGTAGTATGCGTGGTATGCGCCCGATGATGAAAGAACCTGAAATGATGAAACCGGGAGTCTGAGCGGGAGAGAGACGAGCGAGAAAGAAGGAACACACACACCCTCCACTCCGACTCGGTCACTCCCAGTCCTGCCAGTCCCAGGGCAGTAAAAATAAGAACAAAACCCCTCCATGCCCCGTGGCCCTTTCCATCCTGTTCCCCCCCACCTTACCAAGCACAAAAGTCAATCTGCCTTCCGCGCGACCAACATCTGATTGAGAACTGTCCTTTGTCATCATCCGCCTTTTCCACCATACCTACCGTAACGAAACCTCGTTCAGTCTCCAGGATCCTCCTTCTTTTTACGTGCGGACTTGCAACTGCGTCACTGCTTTTGCAAATTATTCCTTGGTTCGGTCGCGTGCAGCTACTGTGACCTCAATTCCAGCCAATAGCAGGGCCCGCTTGTCCCAAGTCAAGCCTCCCTTCTGATTGCTGAGGTACCCTCTACCGCCCATCCCTCCATCGTCATTGACTTCCGGCAGACGGTTAATATCTTCTCGACACCAGCGCGCGTGTCTGCGATCGTCAATTTCAACTCTTTCCATCCCCGGAAACCATTTCACAATACAGAGACAGGAACGTCTTGTCCTCCACCTACAAGCCGCGCTCACCCTACCACCTATAGCACCTCCGCGCTCATCTCTCCACATCGCCCTTTGTAAATCGGCACATTTATCCCGCCCAACACTGCCCGACCCCGCAGACGACCGCTGCACGGAAATAGGTCCGCAGAACACCACTCGAGACACTCGACAGTTCTTCACTGGTGAAACCGCTTCTCGGCAGCCTATTGATATTGTAACGACGCATACCTAGTCTGGACTGCGAATATCAGCCCATCTGATCTCACTAGCTAGCCCAAAGTCTCCAGCTCTGTTCAGCACCAGCTCAGCACCAAGGCGAGGCATCCAGGTGCATCCTCCCACCGCTGTTCACCAGCCAACTCTCACAAACTTCAACCAAACCGCCATCTGATCAAGAACAAGGCGTCAGCCCAATTAATATCCGACAAAATGTCGACAATACAACAGTTGAAGAACTTCATCCGACACGGTATGTTTGCTTGAGATGCTTGCTTGCACCTGCCCACACTCAGTGCCTCTCACCTACCGTCTCCTCGCGCCCACTCCCCCCTTCCCTCTGGCAAGGAATCACAAGCTAATATAGGCCTTATCAAACAGGAAAGCAAGCCCGCACTGCAAACCCTGAGGAGCCGGCGCGGACAAAACATGCCGACCACTCTACCACGCATCATCACCACCAGCCCACAAAGATGGCGGCCCCTGTCTCAGAACCCAACCTAGGAGGCTCTCCGCCACGCAACCACCAAGCGCCCGTTCAAGATGCCTACTCGACCACGCAAGTTGATGGCCACAACCGTGTTGCCCAGGCTGGCCATGCCGCTGCCCATCATGCCGAGGTCGATCAAAACCTAGCAGCCAAGGCCAAGTCAAAGACCAAGATCCCCGACGAGAACATTGCCAGGCTTGTTGCCGAAGAGAACGCGAGCAAGAGCAAGTTTCCCAAGTACCCCGGCCTTGAGCGATGGGAGCTCGTCGAGAAGATGGGCGACGGCGCCTTCAGCAACGTTTACCGCGCACGGGATTTGGAGGGTAACGCGGGCGAGGTAGCCATCAAGGTCGTTCGCAAGTTTGAAATGAATAACATACAGGTACGTGACAGCACACCGGGGATGCCCTCTTCTTCCTCATCGCCATCCCCGTTTCCTTTCGTCTTTGCCGTTTTATAAGGTTTCAATACCAACCTCCAGGGCTCACTCTAGAGCAACAAAGTTCTCCATCCGGACTTCAAGCCAAAGGCGCCAAAGGCTGCAGAGGTGCGAGAATTTCTCTTTTGTCTATTTCCATTGCTGGTCGTCAATGTACTCTCCTCTCCTCATATGTCTCGACTGCTTTGTTATTGACGACCTGTCCCTACCCCGATCAAGCATTGGGGTAGAGACGTGCCCGCCTGCTAATGTTCTTATGAGGGTTAACCATGACTGTCAACAGCGAGCCAATATTTTGAAAGAGGTGCAAATCATGCGCCAGCTTGACCATCCCAACATCATCAAGCTTGTCGACTTCGCCGAGTCTCGCCAATACTACTACATCATCCTTGAACTGGCACCTGGCGGCGAGCTGTTCCACCAGATTGTGCGTCTGACGTACTTCAGCGAGGATCTCTCCAGGCATGTTATCACACAGGTAGCAAAGGCTCTGGAGTATCTGCATGAGGAGAAGGGTGTAGTTCATCGGTAAGTTGACCCACATCATCGTGCCAATCGTTGGTGAATCTCTGCTCACTCCTTGAACAGTGACATCAAGCCCGAAAACATCCTCTTCAGTCCCATTCCATTTATCCCCTCGAAGCACCCGAAACCCAAGCAGCCAGGTGACGAGGACAAGGTTGATGAGGGCGAGTTCATCAAGGGCGTAGGCTCTGGTGGAATTGGTCAGATCAAGATTGCCGATTTCGGCCTGTCCAAGATCGTATGGGACAAGCAAACCATGACTCCGTGCGGCACTGTCGGGTATACGGCACCCGAGATTGTCAAGGATGAGCGGTACTCCAAGGCCGTCGATATGTGGGCCTTGGGTTGCGTTCTCTACACGCTTCTTTGCGGCTTCCCACCTTTCTATGATGAGAGCATTGAGGTCTTGACGGAGAAGGTTGCCAAGGGCCAGTATACCTTCCTTTCGCCATGGTGGGACGATATCAGCAAGTCTGCCCAGGACCTTATCTCGCATCTTCTGTGTGTGGATCCCGAGAAGCGCTACACGATCACAGAGTTCCTGGCGCATCCTTGGATCGCCGGCTCGGGTCCTACGCCAAGGGACGAGCGGAAGAACCCGGTCACCTCAGACGGTGTGCTGCGGGCCTTCGATGCATCCAAGATTGTGGATGGAGACAGACGCTATGACTTCCGCTCTCCAGGTGCTGTCAATCTCCGCGAAGTGTTTGATGTCGGCTATGCCGTCCACCGCCAAGAGGAAGAAGGCAAGAGACGTCATAACATCGGAGCCAAGGCGGGCGTTTCTCGTCTGGTAGGCCTTGACGAGAACTCCGACGAGGGAGAGGATGTTGCTATGCATGATGTCGTAAACGGCAAGCAATACCATACATCTCTTGAACAAAGCATGCGCAATGCCCAGATCAGGGATCAACAACAGGAGCAACGCGGTAGGGACCGCGAGAGGAAGGCTCACCCACCCCCAGCGGCCGCTGAGCAAAGAGGCTATGGTCAACACTCCGCAGCTGTCACGGCTGCCGCCAGACAACAGGTTCGCGAACGCAACCGACAAAAGGGCGCGTTTGAGCTCAATCTGGATGGTGCCACTTTGCTCGGACGGCGCGGAGTTAAACCGTCTGCTCGAGTTGCATAGGGTACGACTGAGCAGAAAGAAGGTGACAAGCCAGAGGCGACAAAGCCTGACGAAAAGCATATCCAAGAGACATGTGATGATGTCTCGCTTGCGAATGAGGCGAGTTCAAAGCTGCAGATAAGCGATATGTAGGAGTAAGGAGATCGTCGAAAGGATATTCAATTCTGTTGTGCATTTTCAGTAGGAGGTTGCTGGCCTACGGAGAGCCAGCAATAGCATGGGGCATTTCTCAACCTTTCCATTCTTATCCCCCGTTTTAGCATTTTTCAACGTTCTGGGAAGCGTACCATCATGTTATTTTTCTTGTTGTCGATGAGTCTAATAGGTTTGACCGTCGATATGGGAGGTTTTTGGTCATCCCATCTCATAGCTCTACATTACGGTGTTGGGGGCCAATTGATACTTTTACGATTACGATGCTTTATTGAGCCCATGCTTGTCTTACTATCAGCTTTGAGTTGTGTGTTAGTGCCGAGGGATGCAGCTAGTGCTGTTCACGATATCGTGGTGCCGTCTCGTGGAGAGCATGCAAGGGAGGGCGCTTTGGAGTCGCTTCTCGTGGTGACGTCGCAGGAAAAAGAAAAGACGAGATCGCCGAAATCTCCGAACTGCGTTGTAGCTGGGATAAAAAAAGGCTGTCTCAGCCTGTATGCTTGCACCGTTGAACGCCACAACCTGGAGCGTGGCGACGCTAGTTGATGCTCGTGTATGACCCTACATAGGGATGAGACAGCTGCACGTTTTGTCTCTCTCCAACCGACTTTTTGATCACCAAGTCGTTGTGGTCCGTGGTCCAGATCACACTCCCTTTACTATGTCCTTGCTTACAATTCCGTTTATGGAACAAAATCCAGGGTATTTGCCTTTCCAAGACCGAATTCGAGAACGCGATGAAATGTTTAGACTTGATATTCGCCCTTTTGGCTTGCCAGGGACTTTGGCCCGTGTCAAGGGACTGTGTATGTATCTCATTGTTCTTAAGGGGCTGAACACTGACCTTCCATCATGCGTATTAGAAAAGCAATGCCAATGTTTCCTTCCAACAGTGTCTATGTGGAGGAAAATCTCCGGGTTCAACCACCGTCAAATTTCGAAGACAGGCACTAATGTACCTCTTGCATCCAGAGATTACACCATGGTTAACCAGATAGACATTGGAACTTTCCAGACATGCCGCAAATTGCTCGGTTGCGAACAAAAAAAGGAAGGGGAGACAGCTTCGATTGCCCTAAGCGAAGGGCGAGATCTGGAACGGAGAAGAAGCAAGGTGTAATAGCCTCAACACCGGAACCCAGGGAAATCTCTCGTTGCTCGATGACCATCGAAAAGTCTATATAACACAAGATGAACAGCCCATCATCGACATAACTTTTACTCCTCATCACTCTCATCTTCTTCTCTACCTTCACTACCTTCACTCTAGAAAGGACACTCACTTCTTCCTTTTACCCTCTCCCTAATTTACACTCCTTAATTCTTTCTTCGCAACAACAACAACAACAACAACAACAAAACACTCCTTCGATTTCATTCAAAATGGCGTTGAACCTCCTCCCCCGCATGCCCTCCCTCTCCGTCCTCGCCGCAGCCGACAACGTCTGCCGCATCGACCTCACCGTCCTCTTCCCCGACTGCGCCTCCATCGAGATCGGCGTCCCGGCCGAGCAGCCGCACTCGGTTGACGTCCAGCCTTCCACCATCTATGTGACTGTCACTCCTCCTACTGTCACTGTTCCTCCTCGTGACGACCACCCTCATGGTGGTCCTGGCGGACACCCGCACTGGCCTGTCACTGCTACTACCACTTGCGATGAGGAGGGGCTTGTGACGGCTATGCCCATCCCTACTGGTAGACCTCCCTTTGGACCTGGTGGTCCGGGTGGTCCTGGCAACGTTGGTCCCGGTAGCGGTGGCCCTGGTGCTGGTAACAATGGACCGGGCAATGGAAACAACGGCCCCGGTAACGGTGGTCCTGGTGGTCCGGGTAACAACGGACCTGGCAACAGTGGTCCGGGTAACGGCGGTCCCGGTAACGGCAACAACGGACCTGGAAACGGTGGTCCCGGTAACGGCAACAACGGCCCCGGCAATGGTGGTCCCGGCGGACCTGGCAACAACGGCCCCGGAAACGGAAACGGCGGCCCCAACGGTCCCGGCTCCGGCAACGGCCCCAACCCAGGCCGCCCCTCTACCACCCTCGCCACCATCACCCGCCCTGCTCTCCCCACCTCCACCAGCACCTCGTGCCCTCTGCCCCCCTTCCTCTCCATCTCCACCACCCTCACCGACATGCTCGACCTAGACCTCAAGCTCTACATGGACCTCTCCTCCCTCACCTCCGGCGTCTCCTCCATGTTGGAATCCGTCGTTCCCGGCCTCGGCGAGGGCCTCAGCAACCTGATGGGAGCCAACAACCTCCCCGCTTCTCCTTCCAACCCGCCCACCACTCAGCGCTCTCGCTTCCGCACTTTGCCCTGCGGTACATCGCTTGGAAGCTTGCCGGGGGGCAATACTACTACTGTCCCCATCAACGACGACAACACTGATGGTCCCGATGGAAATGGCAACGGCAACGGTAACGGTAACAACGGTAACAACGGCAACGGCTCTGGTAGCTCGGCAATCGAGGAGTGCATCAAGCGCTGCGAACAAGATGCTATCACGACCAGTCTCGAGCTGATGAACCTGAGGGATTGCTTGGGCGTTACTGTTGATCGCAAGACTACCGTGGATAACTGCTTGTACTTTGTCGGTCCTAAGGGCGAGAAGTTGCCTATTTTGGACTTGGGGATTGTGGTTGATATGACTGGGCTTCTTGGCGAGGACGCTTCTGGTGCTGAGGGTGTGGAGAGTGCGGTGAAGGATGGTGAGGAGGTTGCTGGTGATGCTGCTGCTCCTGCGGTTGATACCACCGTTGATACCGCTACTGATGCTGCTGGCGATGCCGCTGCTGGTGCCGTTGACACTGCTTCTGATGCGGTCGACACTGTTGCTGATGCTGTTGCTGATGCTGCTGCTCCTGCGGTTGATACCACCGTTGATACCGCTACTGATGCTGCTGCTGGTGCTGCCGATGGTGCGGTTGATACCGCTACTGATGCTGCTGGCGATGCGGTCAACACTGTGGCTGATGCTACTGTTGGCGCTGCTGCCCAGTAAAGAGATTGATCATCAGATCAGATCACGAGCTTTGGCGAGCTCTGGAGTTGGGAACTGTGTCTGGAGGATGGTAATGGTACTTACAAGTGTGTTGGGTACATATGTGATGGCCTGGAAAAAGGGACTGTTTCTTTTGTTTGTTGCTTCATTTCCTTTGTTACTCTTTTTGCATTCATTGGGGACACTTATTAGAGGTTCATGGTCATACACTCTGACTCTGGGAAAAGACTGCTGTCGGAGGACGGCAGATCTGGCACCATTGAGTAGACATTTACATAGTATCTAGCTTAATTATAATCACACTTGTTCCTTTGCACTTTGGCTTCTGTTAAGCGTTATTACATGGAGCAGAGTTCATTGTAAGCCTCAAGGCAAAGAAAGTCACTTGTTCATTATCATCAGCATATGTGGAGGTATATTCCCCCCAACACTACATCCACCACCCCATCAAAACCAGCAAAGGCACGACTGTCTGATAGCTACCCACCCGGTACTTAAGGTCTGTGTTTGGCAGGTACAGTCATCAGACCACCGTGGGAAAGACAGCGTAGTCGTCAGGGGTGAAGCGCGCCACGTCTGTTTCGTAACTGCCCTCTTCCTTAAAAGAAAGCGGTTCGTTCGGGCGGCTTCGAACAACTTTTGTATTACTTTTTTACCCTCTCATCTTTTTGACTATTTCCTGTAGTTGCTCGCCACTTAAGGATTGCATTCCTGGTCTCCTGTTCGTCAGTTGTTGCAAGAAGACATATCCGTTGAGTAAAGGAAATCGGACCTTGACAGCTATATCCTCCTCAATTTGGCGCCTTAAATTTTCCAACCCATCTCTTCATAATCTCCACCGCCTTCTCCTGCACCTTGACCACCTCCGGGTTAATCGTATGTCCAGCCCCTTTCATCCCCGCCTCTGTAAACGCATCATCGGCATGCTGAGCGTTCTTGATCAAGAAAACGGGTGCATCCTCGGTCGATTGCAGCGGTCCTCCCGGTCGTAGTTCGCTGGACATGGTGGTTGATCTCCATGGGTCGAACTCACTAGAGTACACACTCACGTGTTAGCAACCAACACTTTTCCTTGTCTTCATATCGGGAAAAGGGTATGTATGTATTGTGTACTTAGAGGGATAGGAAGGATATGAAACTCACCCATTAGTCCAAATAACTCTCCTCCTCTCCTTCACCCTCCCCCACCCGCCCGTTCTCTTATTCAACATCTCCGTCGTCTTGCCCTTGGCACTACCGTACTGGTCGCCATTCTCGGCGGTGGGGAAGTGCATCTCGCATTGGCGTTGCCAGTACTCGGGCGTCAATTTCCTCGACACTATCGAGATTTGCTTCTTTTGCTGCCCTTGAAAAGAACAAGTCTTGGGCGCCCCCGTAGCCCATGACGCCAAAGGTTCGTTGCACAGGAACCAGTACCATGTCCGCCAAAGGTTGCCGAGCGTGCGGGCTTCGAAGAAGGGGTTGAGCAGGTCGTGCGTGTTGAGGCACCAGAGAGGGTCGTCTTGGCCCCAGACGTCGAAGTAGGTGCATGCTGTTTTGGTGAGAGGGGTTGGTTAGTGGTTTGAAATAGGGGGGATGAAAAGGAGAAGAAGAAAGGGGGGGGTTTATAGGTGGGGATGGTAGATAGAAAGAGCGAGGGGGAAGGAAGGAGCGAAAGAAAGAAGGAAGATAAAGATAAGAAAGGAAACGAAGGAACGAACTAGAATCAAGAAACTTTTGCACAAAATAACGAAGCAAAGTTCTTCACCGGCGCCGGGACCGTGCCCAGCAAACCGCCGTCGATGGTATGATTATCGGCCACCACGGCATTGCATAACCGGAGGATATCTTTGTATCCTCCCGTCTCTTGACTTTCCCATAGGATGAGGCTAAATGCGCTGGACCCTGAGTTGCCTGGGGTGCATATCCCATCATTTGATGGACGGGTTGTTTTGACCAGTGTTTGTATTTGTGTTGACTGTCACAGAGCAGAGAAATCATACCGGGTGCTCTAGATCTGCAAAGTAATATGGGGTAGTGGTACAACTGCTGCGTGAGCTCTGCCGCTTCCCGGCAGTGTTAAACTGGGACGTTTGGGGTTCTGGGAGAACTTCATGGGGGTAACATATCTGATATTAATGAGGTCTTTCGAGCTCATTGTGATCACGTGTCGTAGTGCGGGGATGCCGCACAATATCTGTCAGTCGGGACACAGAAGAAAGGGCGAAGGTATAGGTGAAGTGCACAACCGAGGAACATCGTCAGAGTCGGAAGAAGTCGACCAGGCAAAAGGGCGAACAAGAAATTCGAGGTTTGAGTTCACCGTAGGCAACAGGTTTGTTGGTAGAGCGCCATTCCGGCTTGATCATGACTGTTGTCTATTATTTGCAAGTCATATACACTATAAATACGATATCTGTTTATATCTCCCGAGAATAACCTTTTCCGATATTCCCATTCGTAGAAAACCACGCCAAATGCCTTTTCCTTTTCTCTACCCAGATTCGCCCAAATTCAAAAAGGAAAACTGCTTAGTGAGCACCACCACGACCACCGGTAGCACCAACCGCCAGAGCCTTGAGAACCTCAGGCTGGATCTGCGGCAGAGGACGACCTTTCTCGGTAGGCTTAGGGACATAGTTGATCTCAGAGAGGTAAGCAAGGAACTTGCCGACCTCCTCCCTGCCAATACCACTGCCAGTGGAGTCATCAACGCCAGTCCACTTGTCAGCATCAGCCTTCAGGACAGCCACGGCGTTCCTGTCGTCCATCTCAGGGGCACGAGTGTTGGCGGGAAGGTCGTTCATGCAGAAGTGGTAGAGCGGCATGAGAGCGTGCTGCTCCTGATCCTTCACCAAGGAACCGGCAGAAACAAACTTCTCGAGCTCGTCCTTCCACTCCTCGTAGCTAGTCTCGGGAGTCTTGTAACCGTAGTACTCCAAAATGGCGAGGTACTCGTTCATGCGGAGACGAGGATGGGCGGTGACGTGGATGACGTGCACGCCGCTGGGGATGGGGTTGAGCGCAGCAGCCACGACGGTACGAGCGACGTGGTTGACGGGAACGGCGTTGACGGTGTTGACGATGTGGGGACGCGAGGAAATCTGGATGCAGCCCTTGAGCATGCGGACCAAGAAATCATCGACGTTGCACACACCGGTGTTGGCATCACCCAAGATGTAGCCAGGACGGACGACAGAACCCAGGAGACCACGCTTGCCGGCTTCGCGGACAAGCTGCTCAGAGACCCACTTGGTCTGACCGTAACCAGTTCCGAGACCAGTACGGCTGCCCTCCATATCGTCGGACTCCATGATGGCACCCCGTCCGGTGCTCACCTGCTTGTCGGACAGGTCGAAGTAGTAGTCCGTGTCGAGGACACTGGTAGAGCTGACGAAGCAGAAGGCCTTAGGCTTGCCCTCGTTGCAAAGCTTCATGGCGTCAACGGTGGACAAGACGTTAGCGGCCATCATATCGTGGTAGCGCCTGACCCAGTGAACAGTGGCGCCGTTGTGAATAACAACATCCACCTTCTGAGCAAGATCCGCCCAATCGGCATCATCAATGCCAAGGTTGAGCTTCGCCAAGTCACCGACAACGGTGCTGAGTCTTCCAGTCCACTCATCATTCCAGAGGCCGTAACCCTGGAGAGAGCGACGGAGACGCTCGAGTGCCGCCGTGGAGTCCTTCACACCACGGACGTGGGCAATCAGCTTGACGGTGCGGGCCGTGCGGTCAAGGACGTCCTTGACCAGGTAGGAGCCAAGGAAACCGGTCGCACCAGTGAGGAAGACGGTCAACTCCTCGGAGCCAAGCGCCGCGGGATCGGCCGAGAGAAACTTCTCAGGAAGCTGAGCCAAAAGCTCATCCAAAGACTTGGCGTACTCATCCTGACCAGCCTCGGCGGTGACGCCGCTGGTCTCCTCTCCGAGGAGCTTATCTACCTGAGCACAGAAACCAGCGAGGCTAGGGTGCTCGTAGAGAATGTTGATAGACACATCCCTGCCAATCGCCTTACGAATGTTCAGGAGGAACTGCTGAGCCAACAAACTGTGACCACCCAGATCGAAGAAGGCGTTCTCACGCTTGATGGTCTGGGGGTTAAGACCGCTAATCACATCAGCCCAGAGTTGGGCCACGGTGCGCTCGGTCTCGGTAAGCGACTCCCAGTTCTTGAGGTCCTCCTCGGAGGCATCCTCAACACGCTCAGCCACATCGGGGAAAGGAAGGTTAGGCTTGTCAACCTTGCCGTTGGGGTTCAGAGGCATCTTCTTGAGGACGACATAAATGTTGGGGACAGCGTAGGTAGGCAGACGAGCGCCCAGGTGATCGCGGATCTCGGCCTGCATGCGCCTGTACTTCTTGAGGTAGACGGTGACGGGACCCATCTCGACACCCTCGTCCTCGACATCAGCGAGGCCACGGACCTCGAGCCACTTGAGCCATTCCTTGTGCTCAGGGACGATGTAGCTGACAAGAGTCGCCTCCTCGTTACGATCTCTCCGCACAAGGGTCTTGCAGTCACGGATAAGAGGGCTTTGGCTCAAGTTGCTGTCAATGTCGTTGAGCTCGATACGGAAACCACGGATCTTGACTTGATCATCGGCGCGGCCGACACATTCGACATCTCCAGACTCAAGGTAGCGTCCAAGATCGCCAGTGCGGTAGAGTCTGTCTCTGGGACCCTTGTAGTACTTTCTCCACGGCTCGTTCTTGTTGAGCTTGGCGTCCGCCTCAACCCACTTGTTGTTGTCGACAAACCAGTTGTTCAAGAACTTCTGGTCGTTCATGGCCTTGTCGCCGAGATAGCCTTCGGCAAGACCGGCAGCACGAACGTAGATCTCTCCAACCTCGCCAACCTTGCACTGCTGCTCGCGATTCTCCCGGTTGACGACCAGGAGCTGGACGTTTTGCATGCCCGTGCCCGCAGGGACGGTATCCTTGAGCTCTCTTTCGAGGAAGTCAGGGTCCCTGTTGCGGCTGGGAATCTCGAAGTAACTGACAGCACGCTGGGTCTCGGTAGTGCCGTACATGTTGATGATGTTGGCATTCTCAGCCAAACGTCTCAACGCACGACAGTCGCGGGTGGTCAGAACATCGCCGACGAAGAAGACATGCTCCAGGCTGGGGAACTCAGCGGAAGCGCCACCAACGAGAATCTGACCCATGGCGGGAGTAAGATGGGTAACGGTGGGATTGTGCTCCCTCATCCACTCAGCAAGCTTCTCATGCTGGATATCCTCGCGGGATGGGACAAGGAGCTGGGCGCCAAGGAAGAGGGGGGTGAAGATATCGCGCTGTACTGGGTCGTGGGCAATGCCGGAAAGGAGGGTGTATCTGCTCTCGGAGGAGAGGTTGAAGCGCTCAGCCATCCAGCCGAAGTACCTGACCAGACTGTAGTGACGACCGAGGACACCCTTGGGGCGACCCTCACTTCCGGAAGTGAAGGATAGTGTGGGGTTCGAGTCGGGACCGACGATGACATCGGGAGGCGCGGATGCCAATTGCCTTACTTCGGCAAAGATATCCTTGCCATCGACCTCTCCACCGTAGAGGATACCATCGTCGCGAAGGCGCAAGTCTGGTACGTCGGTCTTGAGCTTGAGCTCGTCGTCAATGTATTTCTGGACCAAGGGGGCCAATGGGCCGTTCTCGTCTGTGGCACGGCCAATTCGTAGGAGCGCACTGGGCTGGGCGACCTCGAGGTAGATCTGCTGTCTTGCCGGGGGATAGGCAGGGTCGAGAACTGTCATGGTTGCGCCAGAAGTCTACATATGCAAGGTACCCAGTTAGACACGAATGCGGCTGGTACCATGTTATCACAGAGGCACTACTACATACCAGAATACCCATGAGGGCCACCACCAGGTCGACGGAACGATGGGCCCAAATCATGACGACATCGCCATTTGTGATGCCGGCCTTGTGCAGGTACCAGGCTAGTGTGTTGGAGGCCTCGTAGATCTGGCGGTATGTGAAACGTCTCTCTGGTGTTGTGGAAGTCTTGGTCTCGACGACGCATGTCCTTTCGGGGTGCGCCTCGGCGTTGCGTCTAAAGTGCTCCTGGATGGAACCGACATATCCGGACCAGTCGAGGTCGATTGTGGGATCGGGTAATACGGACGCCATCGTTATTGTGTTGTGTGTGTGTGTATGAAGCCGATTTGCGTTAGGAGCCAAGACAAGACCGAGGAGAGTTTCAAGAAGAGTAGCGGGGAAGAGGAAGAAAAGCGCCGGTTTCGCGATATTTTATTTTTTGGACGAATGACGCGCCAAGGGTGATTCAGAGGGCCTAAAAGTCGAGCTCGTTAAAGCAACTGTACAATCGGTTAGTGCAACTGTGTGGGGCCATACAAATCGCAGGCTCGAGGCTGGAGGTCGGCCGAGCCAAGACCCCAAGCTTGGCATCAACTTTCCGCGCCCGCAACCATCACCAGAATCATTTCAAGACCGCAACAACAACGCTCAAAACTCAACCTTTTCGAACGACCAAGACATATTCACACGCGGGGGCTCTCACCGGCCGCCTGCACCCCCGGAACTAACCCTAACACCAACTAACCCTAACCCTCTCTATTAACTTGGGCGTCTTATACCTTTGCCCGGGCGCTTGTCTCCACACAGTCGCCCTGACGGGCTACACAGTTGCTTTAACGGGCTCCCTAAAGGTTTAGTGACTTCAAGTGTGACTCAATGGTGCAAGTTGTTTCCGTTGGTTGAGATGTTCTCCCTGACTCCGACGTCGGCTGGGGGCCACTAACACTCATCATCCAGTCTGGAGCTCCAATCACAGCTCCACAGCGAACGGAATTATGGGGATATAGTGGGGTCAAACTTGCGAACCCCCCCCCCACAACTTTAATTCTGAGCTGCCTCGCGTCGTCCGCAACACCTTTCCGTGGATAGGAACTCCTTGTTGTCTTTGATGGAGATGGCTTCGACTCAACTCATTTTTTTGGTATGAGTCAGACTGGTGAATATCGTCGACCGAAACCCGACAATTGGCAGTTGGCAAACACGCGCCTTATACTCTCCTCAACTCCACAATGCCGAACGGCTTTCTCACCATGATGATTTCTGCGGTGGGCTCAGAACAATGTGCCAGATTGAGCATCTCCACCAACTTCTATGATGTTGGGATCACAAAAAATTGAATGCGTCAGGGATCAACCGGATGACCTCTAGGTCCACCGCTCACTGTCTCTTGTGTCCTTCGTGTGAGCGGCTGCTCTGAAGGCCCGCTCGTGGCCCGTTAACATGACACATGTTGTTGACAGGTATTTCATCCGATGTATTGCGCCGACTCTTTTTCAGCCATGGCTCTCTTGACCTCCTTTCCATTCCGCTCCGAATGATGCACTACGTTTACCAAGGCCGCAGTCACAGCCTCAAGCTTGAATCACCGACGAGCTGCTCCTCCACCGACCAAGAGCGTGGAATCATTTGGGTGTGCGCATCTCGTATTTCTTAATGGCAAACACCAGAGGCAAGGGGGGGGGGGGGGGGGGGGAGGGGGTGCTCGAGAGGCCGTGGTTGGGGTGATTCAGTCTGGAGTCATCTGAAGACTCTTCTGTGTTGTTCTATGCCAGTCAGTGTTTCATTGCTGATTGACGGGTTAGTGAAATTCTGCTGGAACAGAAAAGAGCGGAAGTTGAGTTCAAACCACGGCTTCCACTGCCCCTGCCATGTCCTCAACCATTCTGCCCTGTTCATCCATACATCATCGTCTATCGCTTCCACATGTCACCTCAAAACCAGCACATCATATGCTATGATTTATTCCGCTGGCTTTTGCTGGGTTACTGCCCACCATCATCACCCACACTTCTACAGCGAGACCCGCGTCAACTGCTTTGGCCGTCTCGCCCTTTGCATCTTTCCTTCATCGTTAACTCTCTGAACGTGTCTCCTCCGGCGTCGAGTGTTGACCGAAATCCGTACCGGTGTTTATTTGGGTGGTAGGTCACACTACCATAGTCGAGAAAGCTCATTGTAAGTGAGAGACCGGGTTCTGTTAAAACAAGCCCAGAGGCTGGCAGACATCTCTTGCCTGCCGTTTCCCCTAGATCATGGTGGACAGCTTGCGAAAGCAATTGGCGGAACACGAAATTCAAGAAGAGGTTTTGCAACATGGCCTCAAGGTCAGCCTCCTCGACATGCCCCGTATTACACTCCCGAGTTACCAAAGAAACATACAATACCAGGTCCTTCGCCAGTCGCCCGTCACATATCCAACTGTCTCAGCTGATCTGTCGGTCCCGGCTTACCTACTGCAGTCAGAGAAGCTCCCAATTCTTCCCAAGTGGTTACGATGGCATGTCCTCTTCATTATCTCATTCATTATATGATCAAACGCAACGACAAATGCCTCTTCAAGACTGTGGCCCCGTGGCTAAAAGTCTCAAAATCATCCCAAGTCGTCACCAAAACCCAGAAGCTCAGACCGTCCAACCTAGGTCGCCATGCCCTTCAGCCCAAAAAGGTTTAAACCAACGGGACGGTCCGCTGTGGAGTCAACCAATTGCCGCAAAAGCTGGGACCCACCTGCGCACTCTTGGCATCGCAGGTCTTGGCGTACTGAGAGCTCGAGCTTGACATCGATCACTCAGTCTTCTCTTCAACTGTCACTGTTTGTATGACTCAGTTCTTCAAGGAACTGTAGAACTGGGAGCTTCAGGGCCGGGGTATTGGGTGAAGGTGTAGCTCAGAGTTATAGTTAACGACCGGAAGGGCTTTTGGATTTATACGGAAAATCGGCAGAGTCTACTGGTGTGGACCGAATTCGTCGTGAATATTTCTTGCCTTGTGAGGTTTCCTCCTTTACAACACAACAGCTTTCCACGCCGAAAAATTCCTTTCATCTGATGTGGACTGTACGTCGTCGATCAGTCACGCATGCGAATGTGGGAGGATGTACGTCTGACCATCTGCAAATACACGTGGATTTTGTACGGTTGCAGATCGAGATGCATGAATACCCATGTATTAAGCGTTACGGTACAGACAGTCACGGAAACTCTTAGAGAACGGTCAAAAGGTTATCAGGGGTAGGTATCAGAATACAGATATAGCCGGACAAAGGTAGATCTGTGATGCTTGGTAGTATTGTTGGCGGTTTGTTGCCATTGGGCCAGGGATCATTAACATATAATCGAGGCCACCGAGAATCTCGTGTGCTTCACTATCACCATTTGGATCCATTCTCAAAATGATAGCAGGTGCTGATCCTCAGGAGTCAAAGGGTACTTGAGAGACGGCATCACAGGACAGAGCATAAAGTCAGCGTCAGCGTGTGAGGAAAAATTGTGTACCCATCTCAAAATGGTATCCGCCAACAACTCTGTGTTCTCCAAGTCTAAATTCTAGTAATTATAGACAAACGCCAACATGCACATTCACATTATCTCCTGACTTCGTAATAAATCGCTTAAGCAGAAAGAGCCTTGAGGTCACCAGCGTTGATCTTGCCGGCACCGACGAGGCGGGCGGCCTCCTCGTTCCAGACAGCCTTGATCTCGTCAGCGACCTTGAGGCCGTTGAGCTTGCCAGCGAGGGCAGCAATCTCATCGGGGTCGATCTTGGCCTGGATGAGCTCGACATCACCGAGAACGGCATCGATGGTGGCGACGGAAGCATCACCCTCAACGAAGTAGTTGGCATCCTTGACGGAGCCGCGGAGGACACGCTTGTTCTTCTTGACAGCGTTCTTGGCAGCCTCCTTGGCCTTCTTGCTACTCTCACGGTCGGCCTTGGCCTTCTCCTCGGCCTCCTTAGCGGCGGCCTCCTCAGCAGCCTTCTTGGCAGCGGCCTCCTCAGCGGCCTTCTTCTCGGCAGCCTCCTTCTCGAGCCTCTTCTTGTTCTTGGCGGCGTTGGCCTCCTGGCGGAACTTCTTGATACGCTCATCGGCGGCGGAGCAGTCGTCGAGCAGCTTGCGGAGACGAGCGTTGTCCTCAGCCTTTCTCTTCTTGCGGGTGTTGAGGTTCTTGCGCTCGGTGTGGCGTCTCTGGTCGCGGGACTCGCTGTCATCGGGAACATCCTCATCGAGGTACTCGAACGACCTCCAGCTGTCGAAGTTGTAGAAGAAGTTGTAGAAGCTCTCGACCTCCTCGCGGGTAGAGTTCTCGTTGCCGAAGCTGGGGACGGGCTGGGTGTTGCTGAAACGGCCCTCAGCCTTGAAGACGTTGCTCCAGAGCTTGTAGAAGTTGCCCTTCTGGAGCTGCTTCTTGGTGGGGGGCTCGACATCGGCCTCCTCATCGACGGAATCGAACTGGCGGCGCTTGATGGGGTCGAGGAGGACCTCGGTGGCCTTCTGGATGCACTTGAAGAAGTTGTCGTCCTCGGTGCGGCCGGCGGCAGCCTTCTTATCGGGGTGGTGCTTGAGGACCTTCTTGCGGTGGGCGCGCTTGATCTGCTCCTCAGTGGCCCTCCAGCGGTACTTGGAGAGGCCGAGAACCTTGTAGTGATCTTGTTGCTATACACGAGCGCAAGCAAATTAGCTGTCAAGGTCCCGCGCGGCATGTAGCATTACACGTTGGGCACCAACCTTCCAGTCCTTGGCATCGCGAGAGAGCATCATGGGGTCCTCGGGCTCGCTGAGGTCGCTCTCGTTGTCCTCCTCAACGTTCTTGGCGCGCTCCTGGGCCTGGATGCGGTCATCCTCGGAGAAGGTGCGCTTGTGGCGGGCGCGGCGGGCATGGGCGAGGAAGTGAGGGCCGACGGGCTCGATGGTGCGCTGGGTAGCCTCATTCTGGGCGATCTTGCCGATGGGCTTGAAGTCCTTCTCGGCGGTCCAGCCCTCGAGGAGGGTGGGGAGAGGAAGGGGAACCACAGTAGTCATTTTTTGCGGTTGATGATGAGGATGGTGATGGTGGGTTGGGAGACAGTGACAGGTGGAAGCTGGTATAGGCGGGCCCCCTCTGTTGTTTTTTACGGGATTCTGGAAATTTTTCGATGGCCAAGCTCCCCACATCTTGCTTATCGGCCGCCAATCACGATCCTCGCAACTCCAAGTCCACTCCGGCCGGCAAACCTACCCGGTCCTGGGCGACATTTTTGGAGGTCGCATTGCCGTCACTGCAACTGTTTTCAGACAAGCCTTCGATCTACTATTTACCTTCTTTTGACCCTGCATTCCCTTTCCTGACGCTCGTTTACCAGCGAAATTGTCATCATGTCTGCCCTCCAAGCCTACCGTCACCTCATGCGCGCCGCAAGAGTTGCCTTTGATGGTACGATGTTCCCATGCAGTCCCCTTGATGCCCCCGGCGGCCTATGTAGCTAGCTCCCCGGACTAACCGGCTGTGCTACTGTTATAGGCGATGCCCGCACCCTTACCGCCGCCTATGAGTCTATCAGCCGTGGTTTCCGCGAGAACCAGAACCTTCCCGCCAACGATCCTACGATTGCGCCCGCGATTGCGCATGCCGAGGAAGTTGCCAGCTTTTTGAGATCCAATGTCGTCCAGGGCCGCAAGGAGGGCGAGTCCTATAGTGAGTGGAGTTTAGGAGTGCTGGAGTTCTACAAAGAATACGGGTGCTGACTGCTTGTTCCTCACAGAGCTACGGATTCACCAGGACACCGAGCGCGGCGACAACGATACCATCAAGTTGGGTAACCAGAGTATCAAGATCGGCGAGGAGCACAAGTGCTGCTCGGCATAAGAGAATACAAAGTCATGGCTGGAAAACACAGGGATTTTGGAAACTCAAGTTCGTGAGAACGTAATGGAACAACAGGACAGTACTGTTGCCCGTGTATATGTATAAATCATCTATGATACCCCTCAATGTAGAAAAATACTGGGAGAGACCATGCGATATTAGGAAATGCAATGTATCCGAGATACCCCGAGTCCAAACCCCCAAATCATAATAGCCTCCGAACGCCTTGCAATACCATGATTAATAAGCACTTTTCTGTCTCCGCTTAGTTGCCAGAAAGACTGGCGTACTGTACGTCTGCCGCACCAGGCGGCGCTGCGATGGTGAGGTTGGATGCGTCGTCTTTCTGCGCTCCTGATGCGCCACCCTGAGCATTTCCTCCCTCAATCGCCGATCGGCCGCCTGTCTTCTGAGCACCGCCAAAGGCTGACCGACCATCTCGTAGCATCTCCGAGCGCTCTTCCTTGTTCATTGTTCCCAAGGCCTTGGGTACGCTCCATCTAACCCTCAAGGGGCATCCGGCAATGACAGCACGACCCTTGCACTCTGCCGAGGCCTTCTCAGCAGCTTCCCGGGTCTCGTAGTTGACGAAAGCGGCATGCGACATATGTGACACAACCAGCGACTTGATCTTCCCGAACGCCTTGAAGAAGTCGCGGATCTTGAACTCGGGTAGATCATCTTCGATACCGGTGACAAAGAGCGACATTATGCTCTTATCGGCCGGCGGCAGCCAGTCCTTGGGTCCAGGAGGAGGCGCCGGAGCTGCGTTGGGTCTTCGTCCACCACCGGGTCTGGCGCCAGCAGCTGCGGCCGCCCTGGAGTCTCTTGTGCGAATCGGACCAACCCCACCAACACCAGCTCCCATAGCAGGATTGCCTCCCGTCGCCCTTCCTGCGCCGCTCGACGATCCGCCAACAGGGTTGCCCTCCTCGTCGACCTCCCTGCCCTTCCTGAAATAGGGCTTGCTTTGCGCCAGCCTCCTAAGCAGCTCTCTCGCTTTCTCGTCCGCCTTCTCGTATTCCTCCACACCAGCTCTTCCTTCTTCAATCGCGCGCTCGTTGTTTTGGGCAAAGTACTCGCGGTTGATTTCGCTCTGAGGGCCCGGGGCCACCAGCTCAAGGGCCTTGTCTCTGATGATGATGGGTAGACCGAACTGAAGATCGAGGATGCAGCATTGGCAGGCGTTCTTGAGGCGGGCGCAGGTGAGGCAGATGTTGGTGCGCTTCTTGCGGGCGTGGGCGCGGTCGGCGGCCCAGCTGAAGACGGTAAATGGGCGGGTGCAGAGCTTGCATTCGGCACCGTAGTCTTCCTTGAGCATCTTGACGTAGGGGTTCTCGGGCAGGCAGTTTTCGCAAACGGAGGGGAAGTCGGTCGCCTCCCAGCCGGAGCGGTTGAGATCGTGTTTAATTTGCGGCGGCATGTCGGGATTGATGCAAAATCTTCGTGGGTTGAATACGCGTTGAAGGTCGGATGGTGACGCGATGGTTGGCGGCGGGTGGTGTGCGCAGTGGTGATGATGATCTTTGGAACTTGCGACTTTCAACGAAGGTGACTGCTTAATTGAAGTTCGGGCCCTTGTCCAGACGTTCGTTATCACTCTTATCGGTCAGTGTGGCGTAATTAGGTACGCCACGTCTTCTGTTACACGCGTTACAGTACAGTGTGCCCGTAAGAAACCGAGCCGTGGCTAAGCTAACCGAGCATCCCCCACAACTCGGATTGGTATTCGTATTCGGGATTTTGAGCGCACGGGCGCGAGGGGCGAAAACGTCCCAAGCTTTCACGTGGATGTCGAATTCGAGTTCGCATGTTTTGAGTGCTTCTTCACCCAATTCGCTGGCGCCAAGTTTCATGGTCACAACGGTTCAACCCGAAAAGTTGAAAAGGGGGTGGATCTTTCAGATTGGCTGAAGGCATTTTGTGGGGCGCTCGGACCAATTGGCGATTGAGATTCGCTAATCTGGATGGACTACAGCAGCTATCGCATGCTATCGTTGTACACCCTGGCATAACTCTCATCCAGGGGTAATTGCAAGGTGCCAGCGAGCTCGAGGAGGAAAGGGGTCCGGGGTCCTTGTTTTTTGTTTATATGGAGGATCCCGACTGACCGCAACGTGTTCCTGTCTTCTGCTTGTTCGTGCCTATCCCATCTTCACTTCTTTCCCTCATTCAACAACTTGCGAGATCTTCTCCGCCCTCCTCCGCATTTCCTCCCCGTTCAACACCACAACCACCCGCCAAAATGCCTTCCACACCAGTCGTTGCCCTCGAGAAGGAGGACCACCAGCGTGATGCCGAGTTCAAGAAGGTCATGCACGGCGACTCTGCCAAGGCCGCCGGCGGTGTCGCTGCTCTGCTGAAAAAGAACACCGAGGCTCAGCAGATCGCCGTGGACGAGTACTTCAAGCACTTCGACAATAAGACTGCCGAGGGTGAGACCCTGGCTGATCGCGAGGCCCGTACCAAGGAGTACGCGACCTTGACCAGGCAGTAAGTTCCCCGCCTTGCCTCGCAAGATTCTTGCTTTGTGCGAAAACATGGAGACTGACAATGTGTTTCTTGCAGCTACTACAACCTCGCGACCGATATTTACGAGTATGGCTGGGGCCAGTGCTTCCACTTCTGCCGTTTCTCGCCCGGCGAGCCCTTCTACCAGGCTATTGCCCGCCACGAGCACTACCTTGCTTCCCAGATCGGCATCAAGAAGGGCATGAAGGTTCTCGATGTTGGCTGCGGTGTTGGTGGCCCTGCGCGCGAAATCGCCAAGTTCACCGACGCCCACATCACCGGCCTGAACAACAACGACTACCAGATCGACCGCGCCACCCATTACGCTGTTCGCGATGGTCTCTCTGGCCAGCTCAAGTTCGTCAAGGGTGACTTCATGCAGATGTCTTTCCCCGACAACTCCTTCGACGCCGTTTATGCCATTGAGGCCACCGTCCACGCTCCTAAGCTCGAGGGTGTCTACGGCGAGATCTACCGTGTCCTCAAGCCCGGTGGTGTCTTCGGTGTCTATGAGTGGCTCATGACCGACAACTACAACAACGACAACGTCGAGCACCGTGACATCCGTCTTGCCATCGAGGTCGGCAACGGTATCTCCAACATGGTGCCCATCAGCGAAGGTCTCGCCGCCATGAAGAACGTCGGTTTCGAGCTCCTCCACCACGAGGATCTTGCTGACCGCAACGACCCCATGCCCTGGTACTGGCCTATTGCCGGTGAGATCGGCTACATGCAGAGCTACCTCGACTTCTTCACCGTCGTCCGCATGACCCATACCGCCCGCCGCATCCTCCACGGTTTCGCTGGCCTCCTCGAGACCGTCGGCCTTGCCCCCAAGGGTACCAAGAAGACCGCCGATGCGCTCGCCCGCGGTGCCGATGGTCTCGTCGCCGGCGCCAAGAAGAACCTCTTCACCCCCATGTACCTCATGGTTGGCAAGAAGCCCCTCAACTAAAAATGTGCTTGAAACGATACCCCATATAATCATTTCCATTTCTTTGTACATTTTTTTAGGCGGGGATATAGGGTTTACATCAGGGTCATCATGAAGCGGATAAAAAATAATGACACGGAGGGACGGCAACAAACTATTGCATTTACACGCTGATTTAATCAATAATTGCCGGTCAGGCCGGGATTTTTGTTCGAAAGGTTGGATTGGCTGCAGCAAGAGCCAGCAAGGGACCGCACATTAGAGTTGGCTAGGTAGTTTACGACGTCGTGTACAATGACCTGTATGAATGAACCTAATATACTCTGACTACTGTCTTTGAAGAACAAGACAAATATGCTTCCTTTCTGTTTGTTTGGTGAATTTCGTTGGCTTTTATATCATTTTGAAGTGTCGTACAACCAATACGCAACACCGAAGCCCGGACGGAATAAAGAGCTGAGTGACACGGTAGCATTTGTGTGACACCGACTCCGGCGGCTCATCTCACTCGCTCGCTGTGTTCCTGTTCTTCTGCGGCGCGGCTTCGGCGCGTTGTGTGTTTGCCCCAACGGACTTTGCTGTATTGGTTATAGTAACGTGTTAGACAGGTTCTTGAGATGCGGACCTTCTCCAACCTTGAGGGACCGGGGAGAAGCACTATGGCGCCTTTCCGTGAAGCATAAAACCTCAACTGTGAATATCAACTATGCTAGTAGTCTCGGATCAATTCTTTTCCTTTCAAATATAAGTCTGGTGCTGATATTCGGGACCCTTCAGGCTATGACGAGGCTGACGAGGTCTCATGCTAACGGACTTGGCAGGGGTGTATGGGGGAGGAGGGGCAGCAATCCACTCTCAACGCCGTCAGATCCACGACGACGAGGCAAACAGTTGCCGATGTTTTACTATGCCATTGCCGCCATCTTTTGGTAATGCGTCTTCGCCATCATATAGTAATGGAGTTTTGAACCCTCTGTATAAGTTTGACGGATGGCAATTATGGGCCTTACATACTGCCAACCATGAAAATGCTCCGATGCCAGCCGGCGTTGCCCATAGCTTATGAGCTAGGCGAGCTTGCTTATCGTGAGCGAAGCGGGATCGTGAGGAGTCGCGGCGTTGCAAAGTTGTCTCTCCAAAATCGATTGCCTCCGCAGCTGTCATTGCAGTGGGCCAGGGCTTTGTCGTCGAAGACATCCAGGGTGTATCGAGCCAATCGAGGGGCTAGGACACCCGCGAAACTGTCATGGATGACCCTTTGGCTAGGCCTTTTGTAAGCTAGCGCGGAGGAAGCGTTGGGGTTCAACGTTCCAGTGGCAGCTGTGAGAAAAAGCTCGACTGCGGCGTTACGAAAGCTGGATCCAAGCTCCCTATCTTTTGATGGCGGATGGTGCAAGGCCCAAAAAAATCCCTCCCGCTCTCTGGAAAAAGCTGTGCTTGCTTTTCTGATCATCACCATCCCCAACCTGACACTTTGCTCTCAACAGTCAGCCAAGTGCCTCTTTCTTTCCACGTCCTCACCTCTCTCCCTTTCCCGGCTCAAAGAGTTGCACGCTGCAGTCGACACCGACGGCAGGAAACTATCAACCGGCAACCCGTCATACCCAAAACCCTTCATTCCATTTACTCCGCATTGTCGGCTAGTCAGTGCACTGCATTATTTCTGACCTGAGTCGGGACACCCTCTTTTTCTCCATATTTTCTCCAACCCACGAACAACCAAGCACCCAGCCATGTCGCGCTATCTCCGACCCGCAGTCCGCCTGGCTGCCACGGCCTCGCGTGTCCAGGTTGCCCGTCCTGCCGCCCCGTCCTTCTTCAAGCCCGCCTCCGTGACCGGTCTCCAAAAACGGTCCTACGCCGATGCCCCCTCCGGAACCAAGGACTACACGGTCCGCGATGCCCTGAACGAGGCCCTGGCTGAGGAGCTCGAGGCCAACGACAAGGTCTTTGTCATGGGTGAGGAGGTTGCTCAGTACAATGGCGCATACAAGGTCACCAAGGGCCTACTAGATCGCTTCGGCGACAGGCGTGTTATCGACACACCCATCACCGAGATGGGCTTCACCGGTCTCGCCGTCGGTGCTGCTCTCAGCGGTCTTCACCCCGTCGTAAGTAAACCTCTAAGAGGGGACCCATCATGACGCACTGGATCAGCCATGACTCGAAAGCCGCAACTTCCCTGTCACTAGAGGCTTGGGTTCGTCCCAATCTGTAGCCCTACAACATCGGTTCAGCCCTACGGCTGCGAATACGCGCCAGGACAGAAAGGAGGACAGCAGAGAAACAGAAACAAACATGAAGTAGAAGCATACAAGCTAACCATGTCCCTCTTCCCCCACCTCTAGTGCGAGTTCATGACCTTCAACTTCGCCATGCAGTCCATCGACCACATCGTCAACTCCGCCGCCAAGACGCTCTACATGTCCGGCGGTATCCAGCCCTGCAACATCACCTTCCGCGGCCCCAACGGCTTCGCCGCCGGTGTCGGCGCCCAGCACTCGCAAGACTACAGCGCCTGGTACGGTTCCGTCCCTGGTCTCAAGGTGTTGTCCCCCTGGTCTGCCGAGGACGCCAAGGGTCTTCTCAAGGCTGCCATCCGCGACCCCAACCCGGTCGTCTTCCTCGAGAACGAGCTCATGTACGGCCAGGTCTTCCCCATGTCGGAAGCCGCCCAGAAGGACGACTTCGTGCTCCCCATCGGCAAGGCCAAGGTCGAGCGTGCCGGCAACGACCTGACCATCGTGACCATGTCGCGTTGCGTCGGCCAGTCGATTGTCGCCGCCGAGGCGCTCAAGAAGAAGTACGGCGTTGAGGTCGAAGTCCTCAACCTCCGCTCCATCAAGCCCCTTGACTTGGACGCCATCATCAAGTCCATCAAGAAGACCCACCGCCTCATGACGGTCGAGTCCGGCTTCCCCACCTACGGTGTTGGCGCTGAGATCGTTGCTCTCGCTGTCGAGTACGGCTTCGATTACCTTGATGCTCCTCCCCAGCGTGTCACTGGTGCTGATGTCCCTACCCCCTATGCCGAGGAGCTCGAGAAGATGGCCTTCCCTCACGAGGCTCTTATTGAGAACCACGCTGCTAAGCTTCTTAAGCTTATCTAAGTGGTGTGATATGAGGTGTGTGTGGGGGTTACGTTGGGTGTAGAAAAGGCACGGATGGGATGGGAAAAATACAAAAGCTATAAAGACCTTGAGATGATTAGACTTAGCTTTTGAATGTAATGATTGTGAATGCATTTGGCAAATGGCCTGGTGAACTTTTTGTAGTTGGGAGTTGCAGGTGAGGAAATGGGTTGTGGAATACTGCTATTCCTATTTTTTGGCGCCTTCATCCTCGAGGATCAAGAACGTGATGGTGACCTCGGAGGGAGGTTCTCAGCAGAGTGAAAAGCTTGCTAGAGTGATCGGCTTCTACTAGGGATCAAAGGTGTTCCGAACTCTCCGCCACATTGATGATCATCACAGAGCGCACGATGATGACAAACCACACTCAAATGGATCATGACCACAACTTTGTATCTTTGCTGCCTCATGACGTGCACCTGGTCTTCTTCAATCTCTCTGTGCTTGTCATTACGCTCATCTCTCTGTAACGACAGTGTCCTCCGCCCGGTCAGAGGTATATGCATATCCTTCAGATACATGGTGTAGTAATTCTTCCAGAATCCGATAAACGCTGATGATACTTGCACCAAGTATCTTTAAAATTCTTCAGTTTCCTTCCATGCTTCTCTCGGGTATCCGGGTATCCGTCTCTACCAAACTTGTGAAATGCACAAACATACATGATCGCTTTTTCTTCGAAACTCTCAAAACAGAAAAGGAAATTGAAAAGCAACTGATCCACCCCATTGATTCCATATCTCTTGTTTTTGTTCTCCTTGGATTGCGTCCTCACATCAGATCTTAGGTGAATGAGAACCAGCTCAGACCCGGATCCCGTGGAAATGGCCAACTTCCAGACTTTGACAAGCACGGAGAGCTGGCTGTTTGAGGGTTGGCGAAATAATGTTGGGTTAAGCTTTAAATGCCCATCATCAGTACGACACCGGGCAAGACAACACGCCTGGAGGCATTCGCAACCGAAAACATTGGCCAAACTCCTTAGGTCTAGTGTTGAATTTGAGACTCTCCACTGCACGGTCCAACACCGCCGACAACCTTTTTGTCGGGATTCTGGCTGAAGAAGGTCGTTGCCGCCTTGCCCTTGGGGCACTGCTTGTTCGGGTTTCCTTCGTCATTGGTGACCATGACCTTGGTGCACGGCGTGAACTTGTTGGCACCGTCGTACATCCAGCCCGCGCAGCCCGGGTCGCCGTTGAAGCAGCGGTTGCAGCACTCCTTGCCGGAACTGGCTGGGTCGTAAGTGGCCTCGTAGCCGCCAACCTCGGTGCCCATCCAGGCGAGGTGTTCGATGAAGGTGCTGGTGTCGGTGCATTGCTTGGCTAGGTTCTACTCGCAGTCCTTGTTAGCTGGGGTCGTTTTTGACGAGAGTAATAGGGTGGATGGAAGTAAACTCACGGTTGAGGTCGGCGAGGCTGCGGACGAAGTCGAAGTTCCGGTAGCCGATGACGAGGGTTCGATTGAGGAAGTGGCAGAGGCCGTGGACTCAGCAGGCGTACTTGTTGATGTTAGCGATGTGGACGTTCCTGGTGGATATGGATCACTCGTGTGGAGGACAGACTTGTTGTGGTGGCCACTAAGCATGCCCAGGGCTCCAAGAATGGCCAAGATGACGGCGATGATGCCCAGGGTAGAAATACCGCCAATCATCCACCATAGCTTCGCGATTCTCTTGTACCAGGGCTTGTCGCTAGGCGGGACCCAGATGACCTCGGGCTGTTCATCCGCGGTATGTTGCGATTCCTTCGTCTTAAAGCTTCCTCCGACACTGGCCAGATTGGCTCCTCCATGTCCGCCGCCATTGTTATGTGCCTCTTCCAGCAAGCCGGGATTATGGTCGTTGCTGGCGGCACCGGTGCTGACGACGAACTCGGGAGGTGGATTGGCCCAGGTCTCGGCGAACTGGTAGTCCTGGCCGTAGGATTTGAGCGTCTGGCTCTGTTGCGAAGTCAACGATGGACGAGCTCCCAAAGCCGGTTGGTCGCTCGGCCCAGCGTTTTGGCCTTCTGATGCCATGGTACGGATACTCTGGTGTAATGTCCTAATCCTGGGGTCCTGGTCAGTTGGATATTCCACACTCCTTTTTGGCCTCTTGATCGCAGAATCCAGTGGAAAAGCAGATGCGGAAGTCAGAATTGGGTAAGAACCGCTGAGGTGGGTTGCAAGAAACCGCTTCGGCGTCGTAAGAGGAGTCACACTGGGTCCTGGAATGACGGGCGCTGTCTCCTTACCTTTTCGTCTGTACAATATCACCTCGTTGGTCAGAATGGATGCGGCAACAAAGTCAAAAACCGTCGGGTGGCTCGCGGTAACGTAGTGACGGTGACAAGTTCAGGTGTGATATGGAAGAAACACCAGAGTTTGACAAGCCCCTCGTTCCGTAGGTTGATGTCTGGCCGTCCTTAGGTTCCAGGTATTGGTGGCCGTGGGTATTTCCAGAACGAGTCCGGTCCCGAAAGGTTCCAGGTTTGCGACGATATCGGGGGTCGTGACGTACCTGAAAGATTGTTTGAAAAATTCTAGACTCCTTGGCGAAGCGTTCCTTCCTTTCCTGCTGCTAAAATGAAGTGGGAGTCAGTTTGTAAGTTTCCACTTCCATCCGACTGAAATGACAACTTGGCAAAGAGGGGGGAAAGTGGAAGGGAAAGAGGAAAGGGTGTCGCAAACACTGACGGATTTGGTAGGAGTTGCACCCTTTCACGTCCACTTCACTCAGCTATGGATCCCGTCCAACTGAACTTGAAGTGAAGGGTCAATGTTGAATGGAAAAGAGGGAAGATTGCCAGTGTGCACCACCAAGAGGAAACGTTGACTGAGTGCCGGTGGTATTAGCGTGTAACTCGCAAGTAGTCGCACAATAGCCGTTCGTGCCTTCCCAGCCCGTTCTTGACAGTGTACGGGTTGATCATCTATGACACAGGTCTGAATCCATCGTTCGATCTCGTCTCCCCAACGCCACTCTGGACACCTTGAACAGGGAGGAATCGCGACAGAAACGGACAGATGGAGGAAACGAATGCGGCGATAAACAAGAGAAGTGAACAGAACTGAACCTTTTATCGTCGACGCGATGGCATACTGACCGGTCACAATACAATGGATTTCCCAACCAACACGAGCAAAGGGCAAAAAAGCATTCCCATCTCAGTCAGTCGCCCGTTTTAAGAGACCAGCGTTGGAGGAAACACGAGCAAACCACTGGAATGCAAACAACACCACAGCCCTTCCTCTTTGTTTCGCCATTCTGAAACCTCAAAACCATGCTATGTGCAACTATCCGCCCGTCTCGGCTCACAGAGTACCTTTACCCCATGAAATCTATGATTGAAGAAAAGAGAGGGAGAGACGGATGGGCAATCAGTGAAGAAAAGCTCAAGTGACTGACGACAGGATATCCCCCTGAGACATGTCGTGACCAACTCGGAAACCAGCCAAAGCGTCATCACGCTTGAGATGAAGGACAAGGTAAGCTGGTAAACTGAACATTGAATGAAACATTAAAGACATCCTTGGAGATAATGGCAGATCTGTTAGCGTGGTTTCCCGTATCGTAACGACCACATCGCAATGTTAACATGCAAGACGAGACGGAGTCAACAATGTTGTTGATTGTGGATGACGGACACTGCGAATCGGCTCCTTCCGAGATTGAACCCTGACAAGAGCCTCCGCGCAGCTGTCAAAAGCCCCCTGTCCAAGTGTCAAGGAGGCAAGGGGGCGCCAAGGCTTGGCGTAACCCTGAGTGAAAAATGGAGCCGAAAGCGCTCAACGCACGGATCACCATCTTGGTTTTAAGGTTCCCGAGAATCCATCTGCCAAGCAAACCTCCGATTCCATATCGGGTCTTCCAACATCGGTCATCCTCCTCCGGGACGGGAGAAGGCCATCGTCACATCACACCTCAGGAGCAAGTGATCAACACTGCGGTCGAGGGACAGCTACCCGGTATTCCGCACCTTGGTTCGCTTCGTGGTCCATGGTTGCATTTTCGGATGTGGTTCTGATCTCTGCGAGTCGCATACTCGGCCGTCACCATTGACCTGCCACTGCTCAGCTTCACTTGACCCGGATCAAGACCAAGCAAATCTAATACATACAAAGCCTCAACGTCCAAAATCCTTCCGTGATACCGACAACGATGGAATGAGTGCCGTGACCGCCTTGTTGTCGTCTGGCTTCGATGCCTGTCAGCCAGTTTCTTCTACCGAAGACTTCCTGTCTTGCCCACGACGACCCGCCTCCTAATCTATCGGCCTCCTTTATCCTGAATAACCTGGCTCATATCATTGGCCCTGGGTGTCCTATACCCCCATTCTTCAATATAATCTTCCAAGAGTCTTCCATCAACGCTGTGCCACCGCCAATCAGCCAACCCCAGATTATTTCCCCGGACCCCACGACGCCGCGCAGACGCCATTCTCTAGGATATGATACATGTCATTTACAGCTGGTCAGCCATCAAGGAGTGCGATCATCCATCTACATAACCCAATCAGTCATCCTCGGTGGTTCTTTGACTAACACCTTAGCCTACCTTCCATGTAGCTCCTCCACCACTGATTCCTGAAAATGGAAGCTCCATCAAGCTTCACTTACCACCCACCTCCCTCCGTTTAATTTATTCCAACCCTCGTTAATGCCACTCCAGTCTCCTCAAGTCTCCGTCGGACCGCTAGCCGTGGGCACGCATTGAGCTATTGCTATGGCTGCCCAATGTCACGAGAACATAATCTCTTTCCCTGGATATTACGTGCCGTGGAAGTTTTGTCATCATCATGGAGTCCGGGTGTGGCTTGGAAAATTATGCGGGACGGAGAGGAAGTGCCGATGGATACCAAGGAAGTTCAGCGTCGCCCAATCTATCTTGTCCCGGACTCCGGGACGCATTACACTGTCTGGCAGTGTCGCTGGGAAAGGAGGGAACAGGTATAAGAGGCAGAGGCATCTCACTCCTTCTGGCTCGCTTCCCGTTACCCACTCATCACTCACGACCACTGTCAACAATCACAGGCGAACATACCCTTGACAGCCAGCCATCATGCGCTTCGACCTTCTTGCTCTCTCGGCCTTCGCGCCGCTCGTTGCCGCCCACGGTGCCGTAACCAGCTATATCATCGGCGGCACTACCTACCCAGGCTATGAAGGCTTCTCCCCTGCCAACTCCCCCAAGACCATCCAGTTCCAATGGCCCAACTACGATCCGACCATGACCGTCTCCGACGCCAAGATGCGCTGCAACGGCGGCACCTCCGCCCAGCTGAGCGCCACCGTGCAAGCCGGGTCTAACGTCACCGCCGTCTGGAAGCAATGGACGCACGAGCAAGGTCCTGTTCAGGTGTGGTTGTTCAAGTGCCCCGGTGCCTTTGGTTCGTCCTGCAAGGGCGACGGAAAAGGCTGGTTCAAGATCGATGAGATGGGCATGTGGGGAGGCAAGCTGAACAGCGCGAACTGGGGAACTGCGTTGATTGTGAAGAACCTCAAGTGGAGCAGCGAGATTCCAAGGAACCTGGCACCCGGGAACTACCTGATCAGGCATGAGCTGTTGGCCCTGCACCAGGCCAATACGCCGCAGTTTTATGCCGAGTGTGCGCAGATTGTGGTCCAGGGTTCGGGCAGTGCGGTTCCGCCGAGCGACTATCTGTATTCGATCCCGACCTATGCGCCGCAGAATGATCCTGGCGTCACGGTATGTTCTAGAAGCCGAACCTGATTGGAAGTTTTGGGCATGAAGAAGCTAACGCGAGACATCAAGGTCGATATCTACTCGAGCAAGGCCACGACATATACCCCTCCCGGTGGTCGCGTTTGGTCCGGATTCCAGTTCTAAAAGAACTGGGCGTAGCTGGATGGCCCAGCAGTGGCGATCCAAATGATCATGATTAAGTGCAAGTGCCTCACCAGCATCCTAGGGTTGATATGTAGGGTCTATTATCCAACAAAGTCTATATATAGTACATACAAGTAGCACAGCGGGTACATAATGATAAACCCTCGAGAAAAAACTGACGCCCTGTCTAAGACGCTGGAGCTACAGCCGCTGGGCCATCTACATTAATCCCCCCCAACTTCGACCTCCTCTTCATTGAACTCCGGCTCCTCTACTTCAATATCGCCTTGGTTCCCACCATCTCCGACTCGGGAACGTCCCTTCGCAAACCCCAACACGCTGTACCTCGCACCCGCCCCAACGTAGATAGTTCTCCTCCCACTCAAATCACTTGCAGACGCGTCAATTCCAGGTTCAAGAAGAAAGCGCTGAAGCAGGGTTGGACGGTCGATAACATCACCGGTGGGAGGTGGCACGCCGCACTGATTATGTGCATTGCTACCCCAGACGTAAATCTTCCCTTCCTGATCGACTGCGATGCTATGTTGTCTGCCCGTCGCCACCTGATTCCATCTACGATGCTCCCAGAAGTAGTGCCACTCGGCAAACTGCGGAGCCTGCCCATAATTATTCCCCGGCGGAACGGCGGGAATCACCGGCTCATTGTTTTCGTTCACCCGCCCCATGGCGGTCGGCACTTCATGTTCGTCCCCCCACGTTTCCCCCCACCCGTTCCGCCGGATCGCGAGCCCGTATCGGAAGGCCCCGGAAATCGCCTTGATCGCCGACTCCGGCTCGTCATCGGCGTGCCCGATCCCGCTCAGCCACGGCGCCTCCGTCGGGTACAGGACAACCCTCGCGCGCCCGTTTGGCACATCCGGATGCTCGGGCGTTGCCACGAAGGCGGCTTTCGACAGAGGAAGCGTCGTCTGCATGTCGTCATTCTGTCCCCAAACGTAACACAACTGCTCCTTCTTGCGGCTCCCGCGCGTAAGCGGCTTCGTTACCGCAAAGCTGAAGTTGGCGCCGCAGGCCACGTACCGGATGTTCGTCAGGTTGGCCACCAAACCCGGCGCAAACGGGTGGTTCATGTTGCCGTAGGGATCGTGGGGGTGGCCCGGGCGGGGGTCTCGTATGTCGGCGCGGCGAGGCGAGAAGCGCCGGCCCAGGATTTCCATGTCCGGAGCACCCCACGAGTAGACGAGCCCCGATTTGGAAAGGGCCAGCACGTGGTTGGAGCCGCATGCGATCTGGATGATTTGTGGGTTGTCCGTGCCGGGGAAGCGGATCTTCAGGGGCGACTGTTGGTTGCGCCGTGCCCGTTGTTCGGCCCACTCCATCTGGTTGGGGTGGAAGGCGTAGAAGTGGTGTACGTGGTGGAAGCCGATGAAGTCGTTCTCGCCGATGTAGTACTGTTGTGCGGGGGAAAGATGAGGTTAGTTAATGTTGCTGGAGATGAAGGAGGGCGGGGAAAGACAAAAAAGACATACCTCGAAAGCACCCCATCCATAGACCTGACCCGTTTCGGTCAAGGCAAAGGAGGCATAATCGGTCACGGCCACCTGAGTGAAGACGGTGCCGCGTTTGATGGCGATCCAGTTGATATTGCGAGGTGTTTGCAGAATAAAAGGGACTCTCCGTCCTTCTGGTGAGTTTGGATTCGGGTCCACGGGCTGAACCGTATACCAAGGCACCCACCTGCCGTCGTCGAGCTTGACCCGGTCCGTTACCCGGCCGAGGGCACCGTGCTCGTTCGAGCCCCAGGACAGGACCCGGTTATCGGCCGTGAGCGCTAAGCCGTGGTTGTTACCCACGGCTATAGCAACGGTTTGGTTATACTCGCTTAGATCAATGTTTCGCGTCGGCTGTTGAACGACCGTGCGGATTCTATAATCGGGACCCATGCACAGCTGACCTTCGTCGTTGGCCCCCATGATGTAGACGTCCATTGCCTCCCTAGGGGCGCGGTTGATGATTTCTGGTTGTGGAGGCATCTTGGCTAAGTGTGTTTCTTTCACTCAAATGTGATCTTTGTAGTGTCGCTGTTCGATGAACACCATGGCTATGGCATCAGGGGTTTTTACACCTACTTATGCTGTACAGAATTTCGTGATGGCCAAGGTCGTCAAGTACCGAGTAGAGATCAAACAATGGCACCTCAACCGAACATCTCGAAAGAGGGTTCTCGAGGCGGCATTGTTCAACCCATTTTTAGTAACCGAGTCCATTGTGCTAGCCCGGGACTGAAGCCCATCTTTGTCTCGGCTCTTTCATGAGCCCGCTTTGTGGTGAGAATGTCATTGTATGGTATTCTGAGCTTTGTTCCCTGTATTTTGAGTATTAGACGGGATTCTGGAAGGCCTCTTAACAGTTGAGTATGATTCGGGGAAGAATGTCGGATTGTAGCGCGGATGGTTGATGAGTGGCTACGGAAGAGTTGAGGAGGAAGCTTGTTGATGTTGATGCCAAATTCTCCCAGCGTGTATCTATCCTTGTTAGTGTGGGACAACCACCTCGCCATCTGGAAACCGAGGACACGTATAGTAAAACAAGACTAAAAGACGATCACAGAAAATAGAACTAGATTAACGCTCATAACTAGTATTGATATACACTCCGGGCTCCATTGAAAAGACTTCCAGCGTTATCAGACGTTGAGGCTGCAATGAGTGGAAGAACCGGGCTAACATCCAGACCACCACCGCAATTGCCTGTACCCATGCGGATCATACGGGTTGCATTCACGGGTTAGGGTTAACAGAGCAACCCCTCCTTCCCGTCAGAGGCCCCAAAATTGCGCGGCCCGGCAGCGGACCCTTCTGGGGAAACCAACGTCATCGTCTCAAGTTCACAATCCAGAACGACTTCATTCTCGATATCTGTAAGTGCACACCTCACATTGGCCCGGAAGTAATTTCGCACCATCCCCCTCTTTTCCAACCACTGCCGAACTGTGTGTTTCGGACCTGCTCCGGCCCATCGAGACCTAGCAGCGGCCAGCGGGTATTATCGGAGCTGCACCGGCGTGTCTTCCGTGCATCTGATCCCGCCACCTTAAGTGGCCTCTCACAAGTGTGACTAAGACCTGGACTGCCTCTATCAAAATAACTTTTGCAGCCATCGAATTACATCCCCAAAAAACAACCACTCACCAATTGCAGATCCAGGACTCGACGCAACCAAAATAATCGCCCATCATGATTGACATGGCTCTCGACCACGGCTCGCTCGAGCATATCCTCCCCGTCTCGTGGAAGTCCCAAATAACAGCCTGGCTCGCCGAGGACACCCCTTCGTTCGACGTCGGCGGCTTCGTCGTCGGCGACGCGCCGCGCACCGCCACTCTCTGGGGCAAGTCACAGGGTATCCTGGCCGGCGTGCCCTTTTTCAACGAGGTGTTCAAGCAGTGCGGCTGCACCGTCGAGTGGCACGCGAACGAGGGCTGCCACGTCGAGACTCACGGCGGAAAGAAGGCTTTGGCGACGGTGAGCGGCCCCGCGCGCGGCCTGCTCGAGGGCGAGCGTGTGGCCCTCAACATCCTGGCCCGCTGCTCCGGCGTGGCCACCCAGAGCCGGCGCCTGCTGGTGAACCTGCGCAGTGCCGGGTACAAGGGCATCGTGGCGGGTACTAGGAAGACCACTCCCGGATTCCGCCTTGTCGAGAAGTACGGCATGCTCGTCGGAGGAGCCGACACCCACCGCATGGATCTCAGCACGATGACCATGCTCAAGGACAACCATGTGTGGAGCCGCGGCAGCATTACCGAGGCTGTCAAGGCGGCCAAGGCGGCTGGTGGCTTCAGCCTCAAGATCGAGGTTGAGGTGCAGAGTGAGGAGGAGGCCGACGAGGCGATTGCTGCCGGTGCCGACATCATCATGCTGGACAACTTCACTGGTGAGGGCGTCAGGGTGGCGGCTCGCAGCCTGAAGGAGAGGTGGGCCGGCAAGCAGCAGTTCCTGCTTGAGGTTTCCGGTGGTTTGACTGCCGACAATGCCGAGTCCTACATCTGCCACGGTAAGGTTGCCGAAAGATCATTCATGGGTAGCAATGTTGCTGACAGGAGGTTAGATATCGATATCCTTTCGACAAGCTCCATCCACCAGGGTGTACCGCACGTCGACTTTTCGCTCAAGATCAACGTTGACAAGGGCACCGGCCCTGAGATTTCGAGCTAAAAAACCATGTAATGAGTTTTTGAGTGTACGAGTTATTGGTATGATACTTCAAGAGTCAGGCATGTAGTTATGCCCGACGTTGATGAGCTGGCTGTGATAGGCCAATTCGACCACTGTGCGTGATGCGAACTCGGAGGAACTGGAGTCGCACAACAGGAGAAGAACTCCAACCGCGTGTTATCAAAAATGTCATAGACAGACGTTCAGTAATCATATTACATCTGGTGTGTACACTACTGCTTTCCGCATTTCCAGTTTCTTAATGGTATCATTGTGGCCGCTGAATTGCTGTGCCTGTGGGCTGCACCATTAAAGTGCAGGGTAAGTGACAAAATCTGGCCCTGCTCGAGAAGGATTGCCCAGTCCTCACCATTTGGTAGGGCTGTGGTTGCCTGCTAGAGGCGCCGTGTCCCCACTATTCCCCGCTGTCAGAGATTGCAACCCGACCGGTCTACGGCGATAAGAGGTCCCCGCCCCGCCCCGTGCCGGACCATTCGTTTCGGGACCTGACAAACCCGCCAGTGGATGATGTAACCAAGTCCAGGCCCGACGTCCACTGTAACCTCAGCTGGAGCCTCATCTTCACCTTTTCCACCAACAATCATTTGAATCTCATTTCATCATCTGTTTTTATTCTATTCACATTCATTCCAAGGCGAATCAACACGCTCAGTCTCATCCAAGTTACACATCCGTTTCTACAAGACATCGACCGTTTGCTCATATCTCAAACTCTTATCGCCGAAAATCCGTCAAAATAGGCCGACACGGGGATCACGGCCTCAGCGCCAAAGGAACACTTGCAGACTACGAAAACGACGACGATTTTGTCGGCTTTGACGATTTTGCCGTCGGCGGGAAAACCCAAAAGAAACCCAAGAAGCCCAAAAAGCCAAAGAAGCCACGAAGGAAAATGGGTCAAGAATTTTCTGCCGTTCCTGAATCGACCAAGCCTGAGAACCTCTCAGAGCGCAGCCTGCCCGCGGTCGCCGACTACATCAAGTCCGGCAAAGCTCGCAAGGTTGTTGTCTTGACGGGCGCGGGTATTTCGACTGCTGCTGGCAGTAAGTTTTGTTCTCAATATTGCCAAGTAACATACAACATTTTTGCTCACCCGCGTTTGCAGTTCCCGACTTCCGCTCTCCCGAGACTGGTCTCTACGCCAACTTGGCCGCCCTGGACCTTGAGGAGCCCGAAGATGTTTTCAGCTTGCCCTTTTTCAAGGAAAACCCAAAGCCATTCTACGTACTCGCCAAGGACCTTTACCCAGGCAAATTCCACCCTACCATCTCGCATGTCTTCATCAGCCTCCTGGCCACCAAGGGCCTACTGTACCAGCTCTTCACGCAAAACATTGACTGCCTGGAGCGCGCCGCCGGTGTCCCTGCCGACCTGATCGTCGAGGCCCACGGCAGCTTCGCTTCCCAGCGCTGCATCGATTGCAAGACGCCCTATCCAGACGAGAAGATGCGCGAGCATGTCAGCCGTGCCGTAGTCCCCCACTGCGAGAAGTGCAACGGTCTGGTCAAGCCGGACATTGTCTTCTTCCACGAGAACCTTCCCTCTCTATTCTTCGACAGGAGGCACATGGCCGAGGAAGCCGATCTCGTCATCGTCCTCGGCACAAGCTTAACCGTCCATCCCTTCGCCGGTCTTCCCGATCTTGCCCCCGTCGAAGTCCCCCGCGTCTTGTTCAACATGGAACGCGTAGGGTCCCTGGGCTCTCAACCTGATGACGTCCTCGTCCTCGGAGACTGCGACACCGGCGTGCGGCAGCTGGCTGATGCGCTCGGGTGGCGCGAGGAATTGGAGGCTGAGTGGAGGAAGCTGGTAGGCAACGAGGAGGCGGACAGGCAACTGAAGGGTTCCTCGAAACGCCAGGTCGAGCTCCAGGATGAGGTCTCTCAGCTGGTTCATGACGTTGACAAGGTACTGCACGTGCATGATGTTAGCAGCGGCAGTTCTTCGCCTAGCCCGGAGGCTGTTGCGGAGAAGGAACCGATCGCGGCAACTCAGCAAGAAGTCCAGCAGAGTGGACCTGCCTCTGTTGAGGAGAGTGTTGAAACGACAACGGGGACAGAAGAGGTCAAGGTTTCCAGTGCTTGAAGGGAGGAAACGAACTGGCGCAGGCGCCAAGTAGGAGATGGCTTAAATTTAGGACGGTTGGGCCTCTGCGACTTGGATATGCGATTGTCATTTTGGGCTGCTTCCGCATCGCGGTGTTTGCAACCCGAAACGCTGTCACAGCAACGAACATCCAAATCAGCAAACAGTCGAAGGGAGATGGCCAATGACGGGATGGTCCGTTGAAGAAGTCGAATCCGACCGTACAATATTATGCTACGGCAAAGTATCAGCGACTGATGGCGTTGGTAGGGTATAGGGAATTGGGTATTGGGTATGAGAAGGGTTCGGGCTGGCGAGTTGGTTCGCCTGTATCACGCTAACTTGGTTTTACTGTTGTTCACAATCAAAATACCTGTTCATGGTGTTTGCTTACAATGATCATTCCTGCAAACTACTGGAATGGCATTCCAAATCCTCTGGAGACCCATCTTTGTTCTTTTGACTGTTCATGTCTGAGGCGCGGTCATCAACCCCCCCACCCCTATCAACACCACAGGCAACTGAAGCGCACATTCAAAAAGACCACATGCCTAGTGACCGATAGGCCACGAACTTGACCAGAGTAAGTCCTAATCTACCCTGCATAGAGGAGTAATGTTTCATCTGATATTACGACAGTTTCCCACTTCCATGTCCATGTTTTTAGTGTTATTCCATTGTTCGCTGATCAACATCTCCGCTCAGCAACTGCCACATGCATAACGCCAGCACTTTGCCCCAAGAACAGCTGTACTGTTTATTTACTAGGACCACTCTGCATCGTTTTCTGCTCGCAGATGGTGTGTTTGAGGGGTCGCGTACTGCACACTCGCATTGCGATATGCAACAGGCGAAGAACGCATATGATGCGTCGCGCCATGTATAAGAAACCGCCTCCCCCCTCAACTTCATCCATCATCATGTTTGAGTTGAGGCTTGTTTCCAAATCAACACCAGCCAAGCACAGCACGATTGTTGACCCAGAACTACGTCCACAACGTCGCCTCAAAGACCATAATGTTTTCATCCTCCAACCGCCATAACGCGGCAGAACCAAGCTACGCCGACGTCTGGGAGGACACTGAGACGGAATCGTGTGGCAGCCCGCTGCCTCGTGTGATGAGCTTCTCTCGTCGGCCGACATCGGAATTCAACCGTCCCAAACGAGGCATATCAGCTATCGCCAGACTTGTTGCGGCAGAGAGAAAACAGTTCAACCCAAATTCGAAGCCTTCTCTCTTGACCGCGTTGCTCAAGCCCTCTACAATCGTCCAACCGCTCGTCTCACCTACGACCACGAAGGACCCCATAATCTTTCCGACTAACAAACCTGGAACAACAAGGATTAGTCGGGGCCTCGAGTCTCTTCGAAGTTTTCAAGACCTTGGGACATCGACGGCCTCCAACGCTCCCATCCCTGCCGAAATCCAAGTTGCTGAAGCGCCTTCAGCGTCCTCGACAAACACCCGCGAGGAGCATGACCTCTCACCACCATCTCCCCCAGCGTCACTCATTGCTGAACCCTTTGACCCTCAAGAGTACCAGTACGACAAAAGGTACCGCCCAAGCATCCCTTGCCATCAACACCAGTGGCATCCCATCCGCGAGTCCCAACCGGTATACTACGCCTTCCCCGCCTACTGCCCACGAGAGCCGCCGTCCCAGGAATCCCCTTTCCTGGCACCCTCTCTGTCCAATTCGTCATCACCACAGAAAGAATGTACCCACACCCGCTCTGACAGCGCTATCGCTGGAATCCCTCTCGGAGCTCACCACCCTGAAGCTGAAGCCAGCACCGGAGCCATAACTATAGCCGGAACCGCAACAGCCACGCTCCCCCCGCCTATCCTTCGTTCACCCACTTCGCCGACTTCACTCTTGATCTCATGGACCGCCAACGTCGACGCCTACCCCGACCCCCCCGACCCCGACCCCGACCAAATCAACCCCTCATCTCCTGCATCCCCCTCAGCAAAAACTGCAGCAGCCCCCGCCTCCCCCTCTTACTGCACCCGCTGCGTCATACCCTTCACCTTCGACATTTCGTATCTTGACCAGGACGAAAGCTGGGAATGCTGTAACTGCGCTGCTAAGAACATCAAGTAGGAATTTCATTGTTCTAGGTGTAGGGGGCATGGGAAATGTGGGGGGTGTTGGGGATGTGAGGACGAGGATGCGAACAGGATGTGGATAGGGGAGCAGGATGGCATTGTGAGGGTGGTGCTGGGGAGGAACTTGATTTTGACGGAGTGGCTTGTTGGGGTGGAGGAGGAGGAGGAGGGGGCAGATGGGAAGGGAAAGGGGGCCATGGAGAGGGTGTACTGGTATTGAGGATGTTGGGTTGGAAAGTATTGAAAAATCGTGGGTCATGGGAGCTGGAGGAATTGGAGGATTTTTGGCGACCGCGTCATATTCTCTTTGCGACATGTTTTGGATGACAATGGTGTGTTGGCTTTGTAGGAAACAGGTCTTTGTGATACTTGGATTGCGTTGTTTTCCTTTTTCGAACAATGAAAGTGTTGGAAAGGACATTCAAACAAAGGGAATGGATATCTAATGGAGATCTATTGTAGCTGGATCACACAATAACTCGAGCAATAGGAATTCGTATTCACTTGAATAATTATCCACATTGAGGATACTGTTTATCTGTGCTGTAATATTCGTTTGAAGCATTGAACTGTTCCCATTGTCAGCGCATCTGTGATTCACAAGACCATTTCATCGGGTACCAAGACAGGTCCACCGCAATCTAGGGGTTCTATTCACGCTGACTTTATGTAGAAAAACACCTTCAAATGTGGTGAAGAGGCCTCTGAGCAACGGTTGACGCACCTCTTCTGACCGTTGGCCTGCGTGATGTGATCATGCCCATCAGGTATCCTCGCCGGATCCGAGGATCTGGTATATCAGCCGTGGAAATCTCGGCTCTGGTACGACCGAGTAATCCTCTCTTCACGTTCTACATCGAACTCGCGTCATATTTCGCTCTAAGACCCAAATATTAGCACGATCCCAACACTCCGCAACTGACAGCCGGCACCACTTCGCCCCCACGAAGAAGTCTCAAAAAAAAAAAAAAAAAAAAAAAAAAAAAGAGGTTCGAGCCGAAAATGTCCGAAACAGGTTGGATATGCTGCAACTGCCAAACCAGCAACTCGTACTAGGAGCACTTGTGCCGGTTCTGCAGGATCCATACCAAATGCACCCGCTGTAGCAAGTACACGTCTACCGAGGCGTCCGTGATCGCATCTTGGGGCTATCCGCGGGGGTGGGTTGCTGAAACTCGGAGTAGCGGTTCTACGTCCGGAGGAGTGCAGCAGCATGCGGGAGGGCAAGGGTTGCTTTCTAGGGCGCTCGCTAGTGAGCGGTCTCACAGTGGCGCGAAGAAGGCATCGAGGAGGAAGTGAAGAGAGGGTATGCTGGTAGCTGTTAATTCACCAAGGCCGATCGTGGGTGGCAACCTGAGTTGGCTTTGTAGGAACCGGAGATTTGGGGGGACTGAAGGAATGGGAAGCATCTTACACGGTACCGTAGCGCGAAAATGGGGAGAGCGTGAAGCTTTGTGTTGTTAGGGCAACTAGCCTTTGCATAGAAAATGGGTTTTGCGCGAGGAGACTTCTGATAATCTGAATGGTCAAATTATTTCCTATCCTATATCGGTGTTCTGAAATGAAAGTCCAAAGTCCACCGGTTGGTGGTTCCTTCCCGAGACCCAAGTTCCCAAGACCCAAGTTCACGATAGTTCTTTCTCAAAACCAACGCTCCCATCATATCAACGAAATCCTTTTACATCCTTTCGATCAGTTGGGTCAGAGATTCAATAGTTTTCGTCGCTCTTTTTGTTGCTGGTTCGATTCCGCTGGCGGCCGTACATAACCAATTGAGGCAACCAACCCCATTCACGTTGTAATGATGATTCGAAATAATGAAGCTCCTCACTCGTCGTTTGAAGAAAGTATCTGTTTCTCTTTATCAGGCCATCTCCCTGTGATAGCGGCCGTTCATCGGGTATCAAGTCATGATATCCAAACAAAACGTGGGGACTCTTCAGCCTGACTTCGAGTTGCGAACGCTTCTAGATACGGGTTGGAGACAACCTAGCGGTGGTTGACACACCATTCCGACAATGGACCACCAAATGATGCGATGCTGAAGATACTTGCTTCTACTCTGGTGTCGACCATCATGTATATCAACCATGGATTCCCCTCCTCTGTACGGCCTAATCGCTCTCCATCTGCATCGTATATCACTCTCCAGCCGTGACATAGTATTTGGCACCAACACCTCAAAGATATCTCAAACCGACACGTCACGAAGCAATAAGCGAACCAGCCAAGTCGATAGGAACCAAGTCACCCAAGAAATCAGGAATAAAAATCAATCCCGAGTCCAAAATGGCCTGGGAATGCTGCAACTGCAAAACCAACAACACGTCCTAGGAAGGCCTGTGCTGGTTCTGCAAGATCCATATGAAGTGCAACGACTGCGGAGCGGGCACTTCGTCGCGTAAGCCAAAGTGTGCGAGTGCGGCGGTGGCTGTCGGCAATGGTCATCGTCGGCGATCGTCGGTTATCGGCGGCGGGGGTGGGTGGACTACCACTGCTGCTATGGGGGCGAAAGAGAGTGTTGGTTCCGGTGGCCATGAGCGACGTGCAGGAAAGAAGAGTCACCACGCTGAGGAGTGCAGGAAGTTACCACTGTGGCTCCTTTGCCGTTGGAATATGACGGGGATAGGGATAAGGAGACGTGGAGGAACGAAAAGCGTGGGTGGAAATGTCTTGAGATGGGCTTTCTCGTCGATGACCGACATGATTGAGGTATGCAGCTTAGAATTTGAGCGTGTGGTAGGAAGTTTGACAGGAGAATGTTGAAACATGGCCAACATTTTTTTTTTCCCCCGGGAGGAAATACGATCAGGATGGCAGCTCGGGAAAGAGGGAGGGCGGAACTTGAGAGTCTTGCTATAGATTTATTCCTGCATAGCCCCATGCTTTGCAGCTATAAAACCCTTTCACCGAGCCTCAGTGCATGTGCATAATGGCTGTACTGTTTTGCGTTTATGCCGGAGTTCGAGTGAGTTGTAAATTTCTTTCTCATTCCCACCCACGTGGCGAACAACGCACATGGAAGGAAACCAGGTAGACCGAGAACAACGATGCAAAAAATACCTGTACCGGCCATTTTACTCATGAACTTGAGAGGCAGTACGCGTTGGCAAGATATTGCTGATTTTCTCATCATGTGAACTTGGTCCGAAACGCGCAGCTGGTTGGGTGTCAGGAGAAGCATACTCCGGAGGAGAAAATGTGTATATGTGCATCGCAGCTCGGACAGTAGCTCTCACAGCCGGAATTGCGTGATTGACCGATAGCATAGAGAAGATGCTTTCAAGAATTCTTCAAGGACTAGTATAAATAAAGCTCCTCTCCATTTCTCGAGAGTCCGTTTTTTTCTTCAGACATCCATCTCCCAGACATCTCGCCATTCTACCCTGACTCTCATCTTGTCTTCACGAGAACTTTATACACCTCTCCCTCATTCATATCACACGACAAAGATCGCTTCCAGCCAACAAAATACAGGTTTTCTTCCGAGCAGGGTCAGTTCGAAGCCGCTTTGCCATACAATGTTCAAAATTCTGACCGAGTTACTGTAGGGGAATACCGCGGATCAACACAATTCTACCCAAGACCACAGCATCGACGAGCTATGCCCACCACAAGAACACGGTCACATAAGAAGAAGCTCCCAAAGAAGATGCCGGTTCCTGAAATCATTCTCGCCATGAGGCGTCTTAGCACCGGCGAGCACGCCCCTGTTTGGGAAGAGGAAGATCAGGACATGCATGATAGCGGCTGCGACACTGCTGATAAGCCCCGATCACTTCTGACCGAGGGGCTACGGAAGGAAAAAGAGAAGCCCATCACCACTAAGCTTGGACCTACTCTTCAAAATGGCCAGACCAGGAAACGGAAGCGAGTCACCTTTGCTGACGCCGCACCCGCTCCGGCCATGATTGCCCAAAATCACACGATGTCCATTATTGACAAGCTCGCCGAGGCGGAACCCAAAAAGAGACCGGGGCAGAACCCATTCACTGCCGTCGTTCCGGTCTATGCCGTGGCCATTGGCACTACGGGCAACTCCGACCCGAGGAAGCCCATGTTGAACAGCGAGGTTGGCATCAACGAACCTTCGGGTTCACAAAATCGCATGCTGTCCGACTTGATCAGGACCCTCGACCGCAAGAATGGTCGAAGAACCCGGAACGCCCAAAAACATTGGCAGTAGCCTTCCCCTAAGCATCAAGCAGAGTTGGACGCCGCAACATCTCTGCGAGACGTGCAGAAGAATCAGATGAAGAGAAAACGGGGCTCGGCTTCGGCTTCTACGGAGCCCGAGGTGAAGAAGACGAAATACACTCCTACCGATGATTCGGACGAGGAATCCCACAGCAAATGGCCCAAAATTCCCGGCCACATCTGGAAGGCCACCACCGCATTCCTCGCCAACACCGTCGACCACCTGCCATTCTACACTTCCCCCAAGGAAAAACAGTGGCAGGAAGCAACGCTCATGTGGCAGAGGAGTCAATCAAGAAACGCATGAGCGTCCCCAGCACGATCAGGAACGCCGAGTGCCCCTAACACATACCTTGGCTTCGCCGCGATTAATCCCAGGAAGACATCACGGCACAATGGAGGACAGGGAAAAAGAAGCAACTTCGGGACCCACACCTTACGACAGGAACGCTCTCCATTTCTTCCACCCCCGTCTACTCACTGACGGCGGCATTAGTTCGGAATACGCAGCTTTTATGCCAAGCTAGTGCCGCGGAGAGTTGAAACAAGCAATCTACCGCGACCGAAGGAAGGAAGGAAGGAAGGACGGAAGGAAGGAAGGACGGAAGGAAGGAAGGAACGGATCTCGTTGCTGCCCAACAGCAACGCTCGAGCTCGACATTCACACCACTACGGGACCGAAAGGTGAAGGAAGCAGGACATGGGAAACTGAACAGGAAAAGAGGGCGTTCAAGCTTTGGGCGATATCATGGTCATTTACAAGCAACATCACAGTTCATTTCGGTAACCTTGGGACTTTGGTTATACTTGGGAAGTTTGGAGTTGGGACACGCATTTGGCGGAAAGGCGATCGGTTCATGAAATTTGGCTGTACAGCCAGGTGGTCATTTGGGCACTTTGCATTGGTTACTAGCTACCTAGCCAAGAGGGCTTCAGCGATCGGGCAGTTGGGATATTTTATCCTATGGTGGCTTTGTACTTATTCTTGCTCTTTGACCATGCGGCTCATGATGAGACTCAGTTCCCTGAAGCAGCAGCGGAGAGCAAGAGATGGGTTGTGATTGGAAAACTGGGCATCAGCACAGCAATCTGGGAGGAGTTTGGATATGAATGAGTTTGGATTTGAACGACAAGGAATAAAGTTTGAATCTGTAATCAACGATACCGCGAAGTTCGTTCTCCATATGATGATGTCCAAAACTTTTGTGAAGCCTGAGGCAAAGCACGAAAAACAAAAAAATCACGTTCCCATCATGCTGGAACGGGGTCGTATTTTACCGTGTCAGGCAAACTCTCGCGAGAAGTTTCGAAGGCCTACTGATTTAGTTGAAGCTGTTGATGATTTAGATGGGGTGCGGACAGAAAAAGCGTCGATGCAAGATGGTGGTTGCAGGCAGGCGCTGGCGCGGGAGGTTTGGGGCCGTAATTACGAGGTATTACATATTACCGCATGCAGACAGAGGAGGAAAGAGCGATGCGGGACACTCCGGCATAACTCTGCATATAGATAACAACAGACATAAAAACCAAGATATCAGTAACTTGCATACGCCCGCATATTGATGATGTTCTTTTTGCATCTTTTGGGGGGTTGCTGCAGCTTTCAAATTGGTAGGCGTTTACCGTGACTTTCACCTTTTCGCCATATGCAACTTCGGCGTGTAAGAATTGTACCGCAGCGTTTTTTAGCCATCGCGACATGCAGTCCTGCGCCTCCTGATGTTGCATAACTGCAGCTCAAATGGCCCTGCATGTCCAACTCGGCAACAAGCTCTTCCGTTCGGAATCTCCTGCTCCAGCCACACTTCATATGTTCGAACACCTGGGAATGAATGGACCAGCAAACTATCAGCGTTCACAAACATTGAGAATAACCAAATCATCAAGCCATATTCAATCCAAAAGACCAGAAGAATTATGATTCAAACAAAAAGGGTATTAGAAATGTACCAAAACAAAAAGCCCAAACAAAGTACACCAAACTCCCATAACCAAATTACCTAGTTCGCTCCCAGCCATCATATCCTCCACCTTCCCTTCCCTCCTTATGACCCACTATCAATCTGATCAACAACGTTGATCTGGCTCCACGCATCCCACTCCCTACACACCTGCTCCATCTTCGGCGGCATCCCGCTCCCACCCCATCGCCTCCTCACCTCCTCCGGCTGAGTCACGAAGCTCGAGAAGAACCCTCCCGACGCATGCCACGCGATATGGCAATGGAACGCCCACACGCCCGGGTTCGTCGCGTCAAACTGCAGCACCAAGTGCCCCCAGGGTCTGACAATCTCGACGTCTCGTCGCACGGGGTTCGAAGGGCGGACAATCGTCTTGCCGTCCCAGTCGCCGGGGCCGGAGGAGAGGACGTAGAAGTTATACCCGTGGAGATGCATTGGGTGTCTGTGTTGCCATCATGGTTAGTCAGTTGATTGTCCAAACTCTCTCTGCTGTCAGAAAGGGGAAAGAGGAAAAAAAAAATAAAAAAAAAAATCTCACGTTCCAGGCCCCTTATTTAACACGACCAGCCTAACCGTCTTCGCCGCCCCAAAATCCCTCACATTCCACACCTCCGGGAAACTCATATTCCCTTTGACCACCATATCCAACGCCGGGTGATTATAATCCACCCTCGTACTCACACCACCGAACTTCCACAGAAAAACATCCGACGCGTTCCTGTACGCCTCGATCTTCATCTCCTTCGTCACCGCCGGCTCGCCCCTGACGGGAATCGGATAAAGCGGCTCCCTCTTATCCAAATCATCGCTCGCGCCACAATCCCTCTCCGGATCGCCCGCGTCTGCCCACGGTTGACTAGTCGGCGCTATGTCCGGGTCGGCTTGGTCGTAGTAAACGGCTGCTAGAGCGATAGGTTGCTTGGCGGCGGAGCACTTGGTCAGGTCGGAACGCATCCAAAAGGCAGACTTGGGGTCACTGCCAGCAGCGTTGGCGGTAACGAGGACATCGGCGCGCTGGCCGACAGCCAGGGAGATGGCGGTCACGTTGTAAGGCTTGACGGGGACGAAGTCATTCGCGATGACGGTCATGGTGTGGCCGTCAATGGAGAAGCGCTGGACGCCGTCGGCGCCGGAGTTCACGAGCCGGAGGCGGTGGGTCTTGCCGGTTTGGAACTTGAACTTGGAGATCCCCGCGTTGGGGGTGCAGGGGGTTTTGTCGCCCGCGGCGGCGGCGGCGTCGCAGTCAAAATTCATCTTGCCGTTGATAAGGTTATTGTCGGAGGGCACACGGGGCGAGCCACCGGGGGCGAGCATGTCTTTGATCAGATCGAAGTAAGGGCGGTGGTACCAGTCGCTAAGCATGACGGGGCCGAGGTCGATGTCGTACTTGGCCTGGGTGGGGCCGTGGACGACGATGGGACCGACGATGCCACCTGCGTATTGCGCTGAGTAGTGGGCGTGGTACCAGGAAGTGCCGTAGAGACTAGCTATGAACTCGTAGGTGTAACTTTTGCCGGGAGCGATGGGACATTGGGTGTCTCCCGGTGCGCCGTCGTCCCATGGAGTACCTTGTTGGAGGAAACCGTGCCAGTGGACTGATGTGCCCTCCTCCGGAGAAGAAATGTTGTTGAAGACATTGACGACAATCTTGTCACCCCAGTTCGCTTCGATCAGGGGCCCTGGAAAGGCGCCGTTGACTAGTAAGACGTCCCGTTGGTATCCATCCGGTGCAATGACTCCTCGGCTGATGACAAAGTCGTACGTCCTCACTGCTCCTGTTATAGGACACTCGGTGTATTGGTTGTTGCCCCAGTCGGTTAGGTTTCCCCATGGATATTGCCCATCTGGTGTTAGATTGCCCAAGAAAAATGCTAGAAGTGGAAAGAGAAACGTTCCCAGTCGTGATGAACTTGAACAAGATGACGTTAGTGGTCTTTTTCCTCATCAGGATTTTGTAGTAAGGAGTGAAAACATACCCATTTGTTTTCTCTTGGGTCAAGCTCGCGACAACACCTGTGAGTTTGGAGCTGACCTCTACTATGGCGCGTCCTATTACGCCCATGATGAAGATTAAAGGGAAGAAAAAGAAAATACCCTTTGTCCACCTTATAAGTACAACCGAGTTGTAGGAAGGAAGAGTATGGGTATGAGTGTCCAAGAAGGGCCGAGTATCCTCAACTACGAGGAACTACATCGTTACTACTTATACAAACCACCTTGGGAGACTACGACCGCAAGGGCCTACCACTTTGGCGCCATGACACAATGATCACCACAGGCCTAGTCCATGGCTGTCCCGACAAAACGCCCCGTAATGTGACCAGCACACTGGGGATAGGAAATAATACGCAGGGTGGATAGATCGCAGATGCAGTTTCGGTATCGACCCACTACCCAGATCGACATCTTCCGTGTCTGTTGCCCTGGTCGATGCAGTAAGATACACATCATCCCTGAGGACGATGATGACGGTCTGCCAAACGGAATCGTCAGGTACCATCCGGGAATCCAGCGTGGAAACTAACTTGATTTCCACAAATTCTGAGTAATAAAGATCAGCATTGTCCTTAAGCCATGTCACATAGAGTTGATGAGCTGTTCAGCTCAGCTGGACCAGCACACATAAATCAAGTCGGTGACCGCGGAGGCCAAGTAGTTTGCGGCATCGGATATAGCTGGACGAAACTCGCGAGATATTCGAGCTGTTCACCGCCAGGGATAGAAATCGAGAGACAGCTGTGTAAAGTGAAGACAACAGTCGGAGGTCCACCGCTCAAGTAGTTGGAATCCAAGTCTCCGGGAGTCTGGGGTAAGCGCTAGCGTTGAGATCGCCGCCAAGGGAACCGCGATCCAACGACCTCCAGGTGTTGAATTGTCGACGGTATGATTGGTACAGCTCACTGTTTCCCATTTTCCTGAACCGCGAGATGGCGAGCACTCCGTGATCGCTTGAAGAATGTTAACGATGATGAGAGGGGTGAAGCCACTGCTGGCCATGGCATTGAGCTATCATCTCGTAAAGTCTCCAGTAGTCGATCATGCAGTCAGCCTTCCTGAAAGGAAAGAGAGGATACTAGGTACTGACGCCCAAGCAGCGTACCGCACAGGCTCGCACGGGCTTGATGTGATTCTGTGAGGTCGAAAGTGCATACATGTATGTATACCGCATAATGCAACTCGTATTCCAGGACTGGCATAATCGTGCGGATCCTGTAGGGTTAAAGGTCTGCCAGTTGCGTTTGGCTGCATGTACGTGGCTGTAGAAGCAAATGGCAGAGCTAATACGAGTTGCGCGAGATTATACGGTATTGTGATGCAAGGGAATCGTCGGAGGCTCAATCACAACTATGATCGCCGGTGCAGGATGCAAGGAGCTGGTGAAACAGAACACAGCGCCAGAAAATGGAAAGGCTGTTGACGACCTTGAAAACCGCGAAGCATGGCTACGAATGCTGCCGAAACAATGGGACTGTTCGGTCCAGGCCCGTCAGCCAAAACGAATGAACCAATGAAATGTGACTGGCTTTAGTCTGGCTTTAGTCGATTAATGTTGACCTTACGCTTTATTCGAAGAGAGAGTCGCAGTGTTGCTAGGTCGACAAGTCCGGAGCACAGCTGGATGCATGCAGATGCAACAACACCCAGAAACCGACCCCTTTAAGACCGTGGCATGTCTAGAGGCTGGTATATTCATCTCGGAACGGATCTCAGCCTCTTTTGATGGGCACTTATTGCGGTTTCGAGCTACTGCTGTTGTCGAAATCCCGTACGGTGGCAATGATGGTTTCTCTCCAACATTTTCGCCGAGTTTGTCTCCCCATAGCCGAATTGACGACGCTCGGGTATCTGTTGGTTCACGGAACGAGATATTCTCAAGGGAGTGAGTGGCTCTTGCTTAAGATTGCAAGTGTGAAGGATTTCTTGAGCCGCATGAAATTGTCTCGGACGGTATTAGGGTGGCTTGCAGGTATTGATTACCTGGCCGTCTTCAACCATAGTGTGAAGTTCTTGAGCGCTTATCTCGTTTCGCATAATATGAGTGTTGTTGAATTCCCAATCGACCAAAGTTGACATGCTATCCAGGGTCGATGTTGTACCACAGCCGAAGAGCCTCATCATGCCGGTCGGCTTGCACAACATGCATGGGTAAGGCTGGCCTGTTTCCCATATAGGTTAGCAAACACCTACTGAATGTAAGCGCAGAAGTCCAAAAAAAACTCTTCCTGGCTCATAGCTCGTCAAATGTTGTATCAGACAGAAGGGGCCCCAAACTGCTCCACAGATGATCAGAATTCTGTGAATTTTGAACAAACCCCCAAGACGCCGTATCCATAGTCGCTCTCAAGGGCGACCCTATTATTTACACATAAAATACAGCAAATCGTGCCTCCTGCGTGGACGTTTAGTCGGAGCGGCGGGTCGGGTAGTAGGCGGGGCGGAAGGCCTGGGCGGCCATGATCATGGGCCTCCTCTGGGCGCGGTAGTAGGCCTCGGCGACGATGGGAGAGGAGTCGGAACGAATGACGCTGCCGATGGACATGAAGAAGCTGGGAGGACGGTGGTGTCAGCGGTTAAGTCCAGTAGAAAGTTCTGTATCGAAGGGTTTTCCTAACCCGAAGGTCGCGCCCGAACCGAGCATGTACTGGCCCAATGTCCTCATGATGCCGTTGGGGCCGGCGCCATATCTGAAGATGTTGACGGTTCCTGGAGAGTTGCGCACGTCAGGACATGGCTGTAAGTCGATCGAAGCTTTGGGTGATGGGCATACCGAAGATGAAGCCGATGATGCAGCCGACAGCTATAATCGCAAGAGGTTAGCGACCGGGATGCATAATATCAAGGAAGGGGAAACATACTGCCGCCCATCATGGCACCCATCTTGACTGCGAGGATGGCATCATGGTTAGCACGCTCCTTGTTGTTTTGTTATCGCAAACCCCTCTCGAGTTGTTGCCGTGGAGTCAGCCCATACACTTGTCAAAGTTGGAGGTCCCAACGGCACCACCATGCTGAGGAGGAGGAGGCATCTTGGTAGTCGGTGGTACGGGATTGACGACGAAAGCTAATTGCGGCCAAAGGAACTGCCAGAGAGCTATTGCGCTTGCGATCTCGAGAAGTGGGAGGAATTCCGCGATAGAGGTGGTTGCCGCGGGCAATCGCAAAAAGTGACGCACGGACGATTCCGGGGTGTGAACGACGACCCCACCCCATCAGCCTTGCCCGCCGGGAGAAATTGTTAAGTGCTACAGGGAACAATCTATGGTGATAAGGCTATGTAAGTTTGCTCAGGCTTAAGCCTTCTCAACCTTAAAAGAAGTACTAGGGCCTTCGTAGAGTATCTTCTTGAAATCATTCATATTGTACTATGAGTGTTTCGAACTTCTTTTACTCATTTCGGTGGCCATTGCTCTCGTACTCTTCTTGAAAGCTTTAACACTTAGCAGATGAAGCTCTAACAAAATAGGGTCTGAGCTCCAATCTGGAAAGGCAGGGATCATGGAACCTCTTTCAAGCCTTTGGAACGTCCAGACGCTCGGGCCAACAACCTCGGCGTTGTCCGTTCTAATTCCCATTTACAGGTATTTCTCACGTGATAGGGAGTTCCTGCTAGATTTAGTGACAGACTGACAGCCAGCGTAAGTTAAAACCTCGTCTCTCCCTAAATTCTGTTGGTACCTCTACTCTTTCCCTCTCGTTAACAAGAAGGGATTCAAGCTCCCGTCCTGAAGATTGCGCGTGCAGCCGCATCCTTCATCTTGCCCCTGGCGGTTGACTCGCACCCAGTCCGATACAAACACTGTATCGTATATACAGGGCACCGTAGCAGTGGCTGCCGCTGCTACTTCAACTGGACGGTATCAAAAGAACCAAGGGGTCAAACAGGACGAACCAGAGAGGTGGGAGCAAGCTTATCATTCGAACGAAGCCATTGGAGCCCCCTATCGCTTTGTGTGAAGAACCAACGACATTGAAGCTCCGTCCATCCAGACCTTTCATCTCAACAAGGCACAGCGGCAGTGCCACTCAAAGGCCCAATCGTGAGGAACGGGCGAGTCCTGTTTGGGATTTGGTGGGAAAGTTTAGTTGAGCCAGCTGCACGCATGGACCACCAGGTGGCACCGGCGTACATCACTCCCCTGCTCGTAAGCGCTTCCTCTCCAAGGCAACGCCAGGACTCTGGAAACGTGAGTCCCTCAAATTCTTGTTCAACCTCATTGATTTCGTACTATTGCCCGTCGCGTCTCGAAAGCGTGCTTTGCCATTTTCCATATCAGCCCTTGAAATCGCCGTCATCAACTTGCTGTTACTAGGTATGCTGCTTCTCGCTTGCTCCTTACTGTTAGCACCAACATCACGATCGCCTCTCGACTCGGTGCCTGCCCCTCCACCCCCAAGGGCGCGAAGTTACCAAGAGCAAGTGCGCAATCCTAACTCGACAGTCGTCGGCGGCCAATTGTCCACTTGTCCAGTCCACCTTGGAACCCCGGAATCCCTGCGCCAAAGTGCTCGACGTCACGACCAGATTACCACCGCGTACCAAGTAACATTACCTTAACTGACCCTTTTGCTTTCAACCCCTATAGTTGCCATCCGAACTGGCCAGAACCCACCCGCCCCGCGCTCCGTTCAATTAGATAGTCTTTGTCGTTGCCGTCAACATTTGGTGCAGGTAGATAACCAGGTCAGAAAGAGAAGAAAAAAAGTCGCATGAGCTAGAGCCTGCACGGAGATCGTCAGCGACAGCCAGTTCGAGCCCGCGCGCCTGCTCCCGCTCTCGCTCCCGTTTCCAGCTTCCAGCAAAAACAGGACAGTTTGTTGCAACTTGCAAAAGAACAATCTCAGAGTCCCAGCGTCGACGGCAGCGACTACACTAGCGACCAGCGACACCACTGCTCTTCCATCCCACCCACCGCCCGTATCCACTTCGCTCCATTCCCCCAGAGCCCCGTCCACGCCAGGTCTCAATGACGGCTGTCGCGAATCCCCCTAGCTTCGCAAATCTCAATCGGCCGGGATGGATTAATGGCGGCCAATCGCTAAACTCGATGAACCCTGACGACAATAGAATGAACATGTTCATGTCGCGAAAAGCTCTGCAGCGATCAAACTCCTCGTCGTCGGTTTCGTCGACGGCGTCCTCCTCGTCCACCTCGACCGTGACCTCGACCGGCTCCGTCTCGACTGCGCCGACCAACGGCAGCCCCAACAGCACCAGCAGCAGCGGAAACGGAGGAAACGCCAACCCCATGTCGGTCGGTGGAGACATCGCGCCTTGGTCGAACTCACAAGCTCTGCGCAAGAAACCGCAACCAAAAAACAACACCAACACCAACTCATGGACTAATGCCAGGCCAGAAGGAGCGTCCGACTTTTCACGCTCAGCAACAGGCCGCCCGCCCATGGCGAATGGCGTCAACGGCGCGCCTCCAACTATGCACCACCAACAACAGCAGCCATCATCACAACCCCAGCCGCAGCAACAACCGCAGTCCGCCATGTCGGCGCCGAACCAGATGATGTCACAAAACAATCTCTCGAGGCCCGGCGCCGACCAAATGGCTCCCCAACGCCAGCCCGTGCTGTCGCTGTTGTCGCTCAATGGCACCTTCGAACGCAAGACGATATCCGTCCCCTTTTACCCCGACATAATGAAAATCGGTCGACAGACAAATGCGAAAACCGTCCCTCTCCCTACCAACGGCTTCTTCGACAGTAAGGTGTTGTCGCGTCAGCACGCCGAGATCTGGGCCAACCAAGACGGCAAGATATTTATCAAGGATGTCAAGTCGTCAAACGGCACCTTCGTCAATGGCAACCGCCTGTCGCCCGAAAATCGAGAGTCGGAACCCCACGAGCTCCAGTCCCAAGACCATCTCGAACTCGGTATTGATATTGTCAGTGAGGACCAAAAGACGGTAGTTCACCACAAGGTCGCCGCCAAAGTCGAGCATGCCGGATTCGTTACCCAAACAAATAACCTCTTGGATATGAACTTTGGCGACCTCGATCCTTCAAATGGCGCCATGATGATGCCCATGGGCGGCATGCCGCCCTTCCGCGGTCGAGCTGGCAGCCAAGCATCTCTAGCAAGCAACGGGCGTATGATGCCTGGAAATATGGGTGGTCCGATACCCGGTATGGCGCAGCAGAGGCAGTTTTGGTTGAACCCCGTCACGACTGAACATATTGTCAAAAAGCTTCAAGTAAGTACAAGTCTCTGTCGTAGTTACTGATTCATCTGCTCACACTACAAAAGACGGAAATGCGAAATGCCAAGCTGCAGCACCACGACCTTATCCGAACGGGTCAGTTCATCACTGCCTTGGTCACGAAAGACGACATCAAGAACCAAGACAAGCCCGATGGTATCGAGCCTCCTAAACCGCATGTAAACGGCAACGTCCCCTTCAAGTCGGAAAATAGCAAGACCCGGTTCTCGGAGCCCCCTGCTCCTCCGCCATCACAGCCTCTCCCAGAGAAGCCAGATGTTGCCCGCGCTTCAGATGCGCCTTCGCTAAAACGAGGAATCACCGAGCGACCCAAATCACTCCCTTTCCCCAAGGACGCGAACGTTAATCAGGTTGTGCAACTTACGGAGGCCTTGAACTTGGCAAAGAAGGAACTGGACAGCAACAGTGCTCGGGTGCGAGATCTGGAAAGGATGCTTAACGAGGAACGTGAAGCCAGGTTACAGGCGGAGGTTTTGATGCAAAAGATGGCAGTAAGCCAACAAGCAGTGACAAATGGCACTAGCGTGGCAGCTTTGACGAACGGCCACTCGGACCTGGAGAAGGCTTTTGAGCCACCGACGGAGCAGTCTCAGACGAACGACTTAAGCGCACTCGGCGGCGTCGAATCCGAAAAGATCCCCAAAGCGGAAACCAGCAACATCGAGGCCATGGCGGCAGCTTTCCAGGCTCGGATAGAGTCGATGACGACGGAGATGAAGGGGCTTAGGGAGCAGCTAGAAGCCTTCAGGAATAGGGCTGAGCAGGCAGAGGCAGAGCGGGATGCTGACCGCAAGACCCTCAGTCAGTTGATCTTGCAAATACGCCAGCGGGATGAGAAGGAGCAGCAAGCCGCGGCGCGCAAATCGCGCTCGTCCTCTCGTGGTAGATCGTGCCAGGGGAGGCAAGATAAAGAGGTTGAGCAGGCATTGCCCAAGACTAATGGCGCTGCAGTGACTGGACCAACCCAGTCCGATGGTTCCTCCGAGGATCACGCTGAGGAGGTGCCCAGTTTCGCGCTGACGGACACTTTGAAACCGTCGTCCTCTTCTGCGCTAGTATACCCGCACCAGGATCGTGCGTTGATACAAGCCATGCCCTACGTATCCGTCCTTGGAGTCGTCTTCATCGGAATGGGTCTGATGGCTTACCTCAATGGGTGGCAGCCGCAGGCGAAGAACTAGGGCAGGGCGGTATCGACACTACCACATCCCACACACACAACTACGCACGCACACCGTATCTTCATCTCCTTTGTACAGTTTATAGGAACTTTTATACCTGAAGACTACCCATTCTCATCACATTTTTTGCACATGCACTTTCATCGTCTTCGTCTTTTCTCAAACCATATGTATTATGCACAAAATGCGGCTTATCGAACCTAGGCGGTAGGGCTTTTGACAACAGAATCATCAGGAGTTTTTATGTGAAATGGCGGCGGGTCTAGCGTGGTTTTAAAACATAACAAAGGCCTTTGATATCAGCGTTATTTTTTCTTCAACCTTCGTTTTCTGACCACGCTTTACCAGAGCTCTACCTGTCGCTTTCAAGTTTCGCTCTCTACACGAGCTAGCTTTCTTTCCCTTTGCGTTCTCTTCTTCTTTGGTCAAGTAGTACCTCATCAAATCAACAACGGGCTGGGGACTGTTAAGAATGCTTTTGAGGTTGCTTATTTTGTTTTACAGTGGTTTCCGGTTTGCGAGTATTGAAGCGGCGGCAACTCCTTTTCATCACGTTTTACAGCTACAGTTTACAGTAGCAAAACAGCATTGCGATCGCGGTCGATGATGGGTTGGGAGAGGGAGGGACTTGTATGTATGTATCACAACACCACAGAAATCGTTAGTAGACGCGGAGGGATGGAGGTACATCGGGAGGGCAAAAGAAGTAAATGAAGCGCAAACTATGGCTTTTCGTACATCATTTACTTGAGGTGATCATTGCTTCCACCAACACTCTTTGAGGTGGGTCGTGAGGTGACCTGCATGGGTGGCTGACCCAGCTGATAAGATAAGGGACGGTCGCTGAGCATTGACCAACCTCACTTCACCCACCTATGGGTGACCACCTACAACAGTCCACACACCACTGCGTTTCTGGGAATCATCACGCGGGAGGGGAAACATGGGCACACAATCGAGAACTTCGATCACACGACTATGCGACATGGCCCAGCTTTGCGTGTTTGTCACGGCGGTATGGTGGTGGAACACAATGACGTTCGCGCTCCCAGTAATTCTGTGTCACGACAGCGGGTTTGTGCCACGACGAGATTGATTTGGCGAACGATACATTCTTTACGACTGAAACTTACCAAGCCCATCACGCACAAAACACACAGCAGACACTCGTGCATTCGATGCCACTTTTAGGACAAGAAAATGAACGGATGGAATATTTTTTATCTGAATACACCCAAGCCATATTTTCCAAACCCTTCCTCGTTTACACGGATGGTTTCATTTAATAGGCGTTGAGTGTCCCTGCACCTCGCTGCTTCCCCTTTTTCGCCGATATGCAGTGTAGAGGTAGGTAGGTAGTATTACATATATACCGTAATTACGGTACGTCTTCCCCACCAAGACCCAGCCAGTTCCCGCTGGTTATGCACGAATTGTATTAACGACCCCAACCATCCTTTACCATTCTTTCCAAAATCAAATCATCATCACCCCTCACTCTCCCCTTCCCAATATTACCTCCTAGCGAACGTAAAATCTTTTGAAACGACTACCTACCTAGGTAGCTTGCGCGCTTCTTACCTGGACGTTATCCAGACACCGGTGGTGGTGGTGCTTGGCAGTCTGCTGGCGATGGTTGCCGCCAAACTTCCTCCTCTTGGCTGGCTTCTTGGCTGCCTGGCTTCTCGGCTGGGCGCCGCCACTTCTCCTTCTCCGGGGTGAGTGGGTGACCTCGGAGGCTCGGGGGGAGTAAATGGGGGGGTTCTGGACCGGCTGGCTTGCCGGCTGCGGTCGCTCGGGATGGCGACTGGGCGTGCCGAAGCAGACGCGGCTGGCTGTCAGCTTCGGGCATAGCTGAATCACGGCCGTCAGGAGCTGGTCTTCAATTGTATGAAGATTCACCGCTGTGGAGTCGATGATGGAAAGTGTGACCGAGAAGTTGTTTCGGCTTAATCTGTCAAGAGTGTCTTGAATAAGTGGAACCGTCCGAAGGAAGAAGCTGTTGTCGGGCAGCTGTCGAACCGCGTCGGTGGACAGGATCGGATTGATGTAAAAAAGGAACTCACCCAGCACCAGGCGCCGAGGAGGGCAGCAAGGCGGCGCACCCAGGCCATGGGCAGGAAGGCGGCGCACCAACTGGGTGAGGCCCATTCTCCAGCTCTGCTACAGCCGCCTGTGCGAAGACGGGCCAGCACGACCGGCGGAGGAAAGACGGTTTCGCAACGGCACGGACCCCTTTCTATCTAAGAGGTTTCCTCGGTGATTGAGGCTGCTGCCGGTTGCTAATGCTGTCCAGTCTCCGTTGGTGGTGACGGTGGTGACGGTGCCCTTGGAGAGCAGACGAAAAGAATGGTGCTGATATCACTGATGAAAATGATCGAAAGGAGATATATAAAGTCCGGGCAGGAAAATGACATACAAGAGGCGCAAGTCTTCAGTAGGCAACTGAGAAAAGCGACCATTTTCTGGTCTTCTCCATCAGCCTTGGTTAGCTCCAAAATTGCCTTGGCACGCCTGGGGGAGGACTGCGTCGTAGCCGCGGAGTCGGAAGACGAAGCTCTGTCGTCTTTGACATCGACGGTTCTTTTCTGCTACATTGCCCTCCTGCGTTGGGGAACAGGGTTATTCTCCAGGCATTCGATGCACCTGGTCGCGCCCGGGAGATAAATGTGATTCCCGGAACACTTCACACATAGTGGAAGTGTATCCAAAAATGCAATCCAGTGGTCGGGTGGCGTGGTCGTGCAGATATTCGGCCGGCGGGTTATTTGTCGGCGTGGGGATCCATGGTGACGGTGATTAGCGAGAAGTCCAGTGACTAGACCTTGAAGGGAGACTTGAAGTGCTCGACCTTGGGGTGCGTGAACATTTCATCGTCGCTTGCCCTCGAAGGAAATATCGCACTCGAATTTCTCACGCTGTTGGACTGTAGGCATGTCTTTGAGCGGGACGTATGACTGGATGTGAGGTGATTGGTGTTTTCATGGCTTTTCTACGATAAAAGACGAGCCAAATAATACAACAGCTTGTTGTATTTTACGGCACAAGGTTGTTGACTGAGCTCTTTGAGCCACCCTGATAGGTATACTTAGCTGATGTACGACTCATTCAAGTGTTTGAAACCACATTATTCCTCCGAAAATCGGAGTACGTTGGCAAACTGCAGTGTTCGCTAGAACAGTGGTGGGTGGCTCCTTCCGAGGGAGGAAAAGGAATCAAAATTGACATGGAAGTCGGTACCACTAGGTACGTTCAGGCCTCCTGCCCCTCTCCTCCACCCTATTCGGGCCTGGCCGCATCGAATCTGTTCTTGATTTCCCGAATTATGAACATGTGAAACAGCCACAACATTGTCTTCGTTGGGCTGCCCCTCAGACAGGCACGCTGGTCATCCAGCAGCTCTCCAAGTGTAACGCCTCGACTGAGGCGGTCTGTGACGAGCCTTCTGGCCTGCTCGGCGAGGCTGGTGCTTGGGTCCCAGTCTGCGATGAACAAATGTTAGCACCAACCGCGTAAAGGTTCAGGAGTAGGCAGAAAAAGCTACGGCTGGGCTTCGCAAGGAGGGGCGAAGCGGGGTTGGAAGACGGAGGCGGGTCATGTCATGATTGATTCTGTGAATGTGGGACGGCGCCTCGGCCAGGAATAACGACGCCTTTCATTTTGACTATGATCGGGGTATATGTCTTATTACGCCGTCTTCATCAGGTGGAATGGACTCATGGAATTTTACTTACCGCCGTCGAAGCGGATGTATCTGAAATAAGGGTCAGCTTGAGATCAGGAACGGAAAGTGATAGTTGAACCAAGTGTGGTACTTACGCCATTGTGTTCTTTTTGAGGTGTCTTTTTCGGAGGTGGGGGTGACTTTGTGGTTTGTGCTTGTGGAAGAGGATTGACGTTATCGACTGTGCTATATACAGCAGGAAGAGGTTGGGGGCCTTCGTGGGAAGATGGTGGGAAATGGGGGAGGAGAAATTGAATGCCTTTGTAGGAAAAATGTGGGAAATGGGGAAAGAGAAAGCAAAGAATAGGGCGGGGCACTCGCGGTCAGTGAAGCGTCTAGGGCGGTAAGATTTGGTCGCCCGGCAGAAAGGCGTGGCGTGTTCCCTTCACCGGACAGTTCTTGATATCGGACCACCACGTGGCCCAGCTTGAGGGACGTCCGTAATGAAAAGTACGCGTGAAAGTTATACACAGCATTATGAGAAAACCCATTGCAGACACTCACGTACTGAATAACATCCATACTACACAGTACTTGCAAACTCCTGAGTAACCTTCTTCTGGTCATTCCCTGGGTGTCTAACTTCTGCACTGTAGAACGAGAACCATGTTGACATCTCGCGAAAGGATCAAGGAGAAGAAAACGCAAAGTAGAAAACACCACCTCAACACCAAACCTTTGGTGGATAAGTACAACAGGAAACGTCGGGTCTTTCCCCCCCAATATCGCACGGCTTTTTGGATGCTCATACAAATTTGCTGAAGAACTAAAGAACTTGGCGTTTATGGCTGCTCGTTGCCGCTACGTTCATCTTCATTGCCAGTTTTGCCTAAGCGTCTCAAAATCTGAACCAGAACCATGCTGTGGAACAAATAGATCATGGTTCCGTACGGGCTAACCCGGACATATGCACTCTGCTCGCACAGTAAGTCCCAGAGGTCTATGCCTCTATGCTGCCGGTCGGTAAACAGCTTCCTGACTTGTTCGAGGACACTGGTATGTTGGTAGGGTACCTCTAAGTACAAAAGAATATCGCTGGGTTTTTCTCTCCCAACATCGAACGGCTTTTTGGATGCCCACTCATGTAAATTTGTTGATCAGTAGAAGAACTTGGCGTTTAAACCTACTCGTCTTCGCCCCGTTCAGCTTCATCGCCAGTTCCATGTCCGCCCAAACGTCTGAGAACTTGCACGAGAACCATGCTGTGGAAAAGATACATCATCGTGCCAGGCGTGCAGTCCTTTACGTAAGCACCCTGTTCGCAGAGTAAATCCCAGAGGCTTACGCCTCTGCTCTGCCGGTCGGCGACCAGCTCTCGCGCTTGTTTCAGGAGGTCGGTATTTGGATCCCAATCTGTGGAGAAGAAAAGACGTCAGCACCAACCGCATGGACATGGCTGAAGACCATTTGGCCTTGTGAGACCGAAAGGGAAGAATGGAATTTTCCTTACCGGAATCAAAGGTGATATGCCTGAGGGAAGCGTTAGTTCAAGACCGAGAAATCATAAATGGTTGATTGGACTAGGTGGAATGCTTACGCCATGTTTCTCGTTTAAGAGCCTATCTTGTTCTGGATTGACTGGTATTTTCTTGTCTGTGGTGATGTGTGAGAATTTTGTCGAGTGTGATATATACTGGAGGAAGAATTCGGATATTCACTCAGAGAAATGGTATAAAAAAAGACTGAGGGCAATGGAAGAGCAAAAAATAGCGCGGGGTCCTCGGAGGCTGGAGCAAGTGAAGCATTTAGGGCGGTAAGGTTTGGTTGTCTGGTCGAAAACCTTGGTGTTTCCTCCCTTCACTGCAGATTTCTTGATATTTGTACACCACGTGGTCCAGGTTTGGGGTGGCCAGTGATGGGAAGTCGAAATAGAAGGATGGAGAAGATATAGAAGTCAGATCACAGGTAAGCGAGGCCAGAGCAACATTTAAGGAGAGTACACGAAGCAGAGGACGCAGTGAGATAGAGAAATAAGCCACAAACGAGCAAAAATTCAATCCATGATTTACCAGAAGAGAGACTGTGACTAGGTAACCAGGAGCCTCCATTATGCGTGGTCCAGGTTTGCTCCTGAACCTATGTCCCGATTTGAATACCTAGGCCAGGGGCCATGCAGAGGACGTGATCCCATTGTCAGGGGGTCCCTACAGATACTGCAGGAGTTGACCGACTGATGTCAAGTATCCCGGCATCTCGAGCTCAGTGACAACAACGCTGTGAAACAGCCAGGCCATACTGTATAGTGGGCTGCTCTCACGAAGATCCTTTTGCTCCTCAAGGAGAATATCTCGAGTTGCGCCAGCGTCCAAAGCCTTTTGGACCAGTTCAACGGCTTGGAAGGCAAGAGATCTTTTGGAGTCCCGATCTATGTGGCACACGAGGGTCAGTAATTAGTTTATCATGTTGAGAACCGAAGGTGACAACAAGAATTAAAAACATCGGGGAATTTGCTTGCTGGCAGCCATAGAGCAGGACAAGACCGTGGGCATTGGGGAAAGTTGAGCAAATCAGGAAGAGCATTGAGTACTAACCGCGGGCAAACTCGATGAAACTGAGAAATGGCATCAGTATGATATTCGAAGCTTTCTCGACGATCAGTAGAGAGGAGGAAATGGAATACTTACGCCATGTTGAAGCACTCTGTATCCTTTAACCGTGAAAGAAGACGCGGGAAAAGCAGTTTGACGGAGGGAAAACGGTCGATAAGGGGATGTCTCGATGATTTGTTGAGGATATACTAAGATAGCTAGCCAGGAGAAATTGAATCCAGTATAAATACGACAGTGAGAAGCAACAAAAAACACCACAACAGAACCTGCCTTTCAATCATTATCCCATTCACTTCCCCAGGGGTTCCTTCCTCGTGAATGACTCGATGCTCTTCACTTGCACTTGCCATCTGACCATGTATGGGCCGGAGAACGTGGGACGATGGGTGAAGGAAAGTAGCCTGAGGATTTGTGTATGTGAAGCTTTCCTTTACCGGCCACGAGTAGTTGAGGCGTTTGTCGTTTTTTGCCCATGCTTTCAAAATAATACTACCACCAACTTCTTCCATCCCCTGGCTGCCACCCCAATGATCCCAGTCAGCTCCAATGCCGCTGACCCTGCTGACGCCTTCTGCAAGCCTGGCTTGGCCATCCTCGACCTTTCACCTTCCGCGCATGCCGTACCTTTGCCCACGCGCGTTGCTTAGTCGCTGGGGCCCTGCCCAAATATCCCGACCGTGGCGCCCATCTGCATCCCTGTGCACCTTGCACCGTTTACATGTGCCAGTTAATCAGCAACATGGCCGAGGCCGACCGCGGTACTGCCAACTAATCGCAGTGATGATCCCCATGCCTCTTCTCGCAACCCCGAAGATGTGGCTGTCCGTGAAGATATGATCTCTATCAACGAGATCCTCGAGCACGTTCCCCGGCTCATGAAACGCGGTCGTCTCGACGGCAACTTCCTCGCCCGTTGCCTGGACCCCGACACTTCTGCTGGCCCTGCTTCTTCTTCGGGCCCCAACACTATCGCTGGCCCTCCCGCTGCTTCTGCCGTGCAGCCCGTCGCCCCTGCTGCCCCTCCCTCCCCCGCCGGCGACTTCGTTACCAAGATCGAGTAGCCTGTAGCAATCTGCATTATAATCGTCTGAGGATCAAGCCAGGTAGGCCATTTTGATACTGGATATGCGATGGCCTCCTTGCACACAACTGAATTGACTGTCATGTCTAAAGCCAGAGACCTGTTATTAGATCAGGTACCAATGATTTTATGTGACTGGATTGCGGACTCACAAACAATGGCCGCCAGAACTGGGAACAGCAAAGAGACCCAGGGAAAACGCCTGAGCCCTTTGGTGTTCCACGGAAGATTCATGATGGTCCGTGTCAAAGAAGGACCAGAAAAGGAGATGGGATGGAAGAAAGGAAATAAGGAAGAAAGGAAAGAAGGAATAAAGAAAAGAAGAAAGAAAGGACGTTGGGAGGAAAGACAAGAAAAAAGGAAGCAAACAAAAGCGGCCGTCGAAATCGTTACCTGACGAAGGAGGACTCTGTGTTAGTGCTCTCGAAAGATGAAGAAGAAGAAGAAGAAAAGAAGAGCTGTGAGGTGTCGTCTCTGCAGCTCTTGGTGTCCAGCCTGCAGATCTGGAAGCAGGTCTTGGTCCTGGACCGCGTGTCCATTCGCGAGGTTGTGAAGGCGAATGCCTGTTTTATCGAGCGCCATAAGCTTAACACACTACAATCAGGAACTAACCTTATGTTTCATAGCTTCTACGCTTTAGGCTGGGGTTCTCTCGCCTATACCTACCTCTCAGGACTCTTCCCTTACCACCAACGCTCCCAAGGGATCGCAGTAGAGCAACTGACCGGCCGTATCGCCCTGTTCATCAATGCCTATATCAACCCGATTGCTCTCGACAAGATCGGATGGAAATACTATCTGGTGTACTGCGTCTGGATTGCGGTTGAGGTACTCACCGTGTACTTCCTGTTTCCGGAGACGCAGGACCGCACCCTAGAGGAATTGGCGTTTATGTGGGAGGGCCCAATGCTGCTTGCGAAGAGTACATTCGCTCCGTACGGCAGAAGGTTGCCTCCCCTTGGTCCGGTACGGACTCGGGATCATCAACGCCGCATCATCGGGTACGAAAAAACATCGGCCGGAACGAATAGGTGGCTCGTGGAGTATGAAGGTCTTGGCATCGTTACTAGTTGATTGTATCCTGTCCGGAAGTTGATGGTCCGTTGGTTTGGTAGCCTCCTCGTAAGAGGGCGGTCCTTGAGCTTGCGGAACCATTGTAGTAGGTGCAACTTCTGGCGGTGATGTAGCCGGAGGCGGGGCTGCGGCGAGATTGACTATCAGGCTCATCAAGAATGTATAGAACTGGTACGCTCTAAAGCATGGGCAAGTGAATATGAAAAGCGCACGAGCAAACCAAAAACGCACTAATAACCTTTGTACCTGGGAGGAATGAGCGTGCGCTTGTCAGGATGGAAGACGGATTCCACAAACACGCCTGAACGACCCCAAGGACCCAATAAATCCCTAGGATATCGTCGGGAGGGAGTGGCGAAGTGCAAACTAGGGCCCTATGGGTAATCGTATACCCATTATTCACCCATTCTTGGGTATTTGTTGATAGAGCTTCCATGCGATCGTATTGTGCAAAGCGGGCTGTAATAGGTACCCAACTTCTTATCCGTACCGCTACCGACATATATCGCTGGGCGTTCATGTTGGCCGGGGTGTTCCAAAACGAGAACATATATTGCCCATTTGCGTATATCTAAGCATTCGGAGATGGTATGATTTGGGAGTTCTTTGAATTCAGTGATTGTCGGAGGAGGCTTTCCATGCGAGAACAAGTTGCTGAAACCTGGGTCGACCGTGATAGTTGTAGACAGGCGGTCCCATTCTGTTTTGTTAGGGATGTTCTTTCTGATACTCCAATGGTCGAGTGCCGGTAGTCGTGCTTCTGCTTGCCCATCTGCGCCTCCCCAAGGAATCATGCATCCGCCAGAGGGGAGTCTGCACCGGTACTGTACGCAGGAGTGCAAGAAGCTTGGGCCATCCCGGCGTTAGTGGCGTAACTGTCTATCGTGATTGTGCAGTTGGCAAGGTCGAAATCGTTGACAGGGTCGAAGGCCACACCGCCCGGGCGAGAAACGAGGTGCTGACGATATCGAGCTGGTGAAAGATTTCGACACGAGGAAGGCACAAAAGTAGCTTTAATCGTCCAGGTCGCTCCTTCCCTTCATCTAAGCTATTACGCAAGCACGCTTTCTCGCAACGTTTTCCCACAAACCTCACCCCGCTCCAAATGTCACAAAACGACCCCATGGTGACCGATGGGCTCTGTCCCATACAATGGCAAGAACACAAAACGAGCCAGAATACTTGTAGGAAGAAACCCATGCCGCAGAAAATACGGGACGAAAGAACAATGGATTCACAATACAAACATAGGAAACCATTCACTCCAAGCTAGGTTCAATATCTTGCATCTATCAATCGTCTGAACCTGGATCAGATGAGAGAAGGAATACTCGTCGTTTCGATCCTAAAAAGTGTCTTTCTGAAGCTCTCTCTGTCTCACAAGGAATCTTGCACATAATGCCAGTGGTAAGCACAACGAGATGGCCAATCTCAGGAGGACGGCCTTCGCCAGAGCATAGAGATCTGGCAGGAGCAGCGGGAATGGATCCAACCCTCGCCCGCCATCTCGGCCCAAGATGATTAGCCACAATTGCCCGCCAAACATATCCTCAAAGGTTGGACCGTAACCCACCGGGGCCTACTCTGCTGGTCCCCAATCCCTGCCGAGATCAACATGCCACTACAACGTCTCCGATTCGTAGCTACGGAAGCCGCACTCGCCATTATGCTCCATGCCGGTGTCCAAATCAAGACGGACGATATATTTTCTGAGATCCTACTATGGCCGCGGACGGACATCCCTTGGGGACCTTTGTGCTCTCACCCAGCCATGTGGAATAAACCGGTGAACGTCGCTGATATGACCCAAGCCCAAATTGATGAGACTAAAGCGCTAAGGGCGCTACATAAAAAGGAGCGTGCGCGGCGCGCCTATGCGTTCAATCGCGAAAGGCACCTTGAATCACCAAAAAAAAGAAAAAAGCGGGAGCGGGTGAAAGCATCACGCCGGTTTTATTGTCGGATTTGCCCTCGTAGTAGAGTTGTTCTTGAAAGGAATGTCACAATCTTCGCAGTAGTATCGCTTCAATGCTATGGCCTCTTCCTGGTATCTCTTTACCCTCGCTTTTGTTTCCGCACCGATAATCCTCATCACTCCCACTATAGTCGTGGTCCGGGAAGCTCTCGTCAGTGTCACCTCCAGCCAAAGCAGTAGAGACAACGGGTAACATAGTGTTGTACTCCTCATAAAGTTTGTCAGCCTCCTGCTTGCACTTGGCCAACTCGTCGCGACGCCTCTGTAACTCCTTTGCTCGTCTCTCCAGCTCCTAACCGGAGATGGTGAACTCGGTGAGTTTAGACGGGTCGAACTCGAAATCTTCATAGATTTCGTCCTTGTACTTCTCCATGTTCCTTCTTCCTGCAAGTTCGAGCCCCTCGAGGATTGGGTCGATGCCGTTAGGTAGAGGGTACCGCTGGAGGAGATCTTCATTGCGAAGTCCGTTTAGATCCTTCTGGGGCTTCATCCTCGCATGGAACCTTTCAGCCATCTCGGCTCTGGTCCAGAGAGGGAGATGGGCTTCAGACTCGCATTTGATAATGCTGAATCTGCGATTCTGCAGCCATTTCGAAACTTCTGCCTCACCCGCACGTGTGAAAAATCCAGGGTCAGGGATCTCAACGACATCGTCTTCGTTGCCCCTGCCTGGTTGCCACTGCTCGGAGCCGGGGCGCGAGGATGCATGACAGGTATCATTATCTCGTCGGTGCGACTGGCCGGGTTTTCCCGCACCCAATGGCTGACCCAACCTGGAGGCATCACCTAAATTCGCTGCGCAGGTTGGCTACTGCCACTGATCGGGGGGGAAGAATGTTTGGGTGTAACCGCTGAAGAAACGGTGGAGAGATTGCAGCCGAGGCTGGCTGACTGTGGAGTGGGGCATGAGGACATCTCGGACGGTATTCAGCTGCACTTGTGTGTAGTGCGGCTGGCCAAATGCAGTGGCGTCATTCCGAGAAAATCGATCTGGGTAGAGGACGAGGGAGAGTTGTCGGATGCGGCGATCGAGGAAGTCGGTGGTCAGGGTGTTGATATTTGTATTCGGGTCAAGGCCGAGGACATCGAAGACGTTTCACGGTCTAACCCTGAGCAGCGGGAATGGATCCAACCCTCGCCCGCCATCTCGGCCCAAGATGATTTCTCCATAGCCCGTCTTTTACTCGAACTGGAACATATTCTGCGAGAAATTGCTGAGGCCGCAGGTCCGGAAACCAGAGCGCTGTTGGCCAGAATAGGAGATATTCGGCCCAAGACAGTAGATAAAGTGGTCAGTCGGTATGCTGAAAACCTGACTAGAGTTTTGTTTCCGGTCCGCAAAGTTCCACCAGGAAAGTTTTGATCTCTTCAGGAGCCATGAGTCCGCCGTGGGCAGCTGCGGCCATCAACAAGCCGTCTCTACAATACCGCCCCGGTGTAGGGAAGGGCTTGATGGTTTTATAGTAGCGAGCCCAGGCATTCTGCCACCCTGACCGTGCCTTATTCTTGACCCAGATCACGGCGAGCATAAACCGGAAATACATAAACCTTGCCCCATCGAGGTCTTGTGCTCTGAGCCGAGGTGAATTATTGTTCAACCACCTCTCCTCTTGTAGCGACGCCTTCAAACAGACCGTCTCCGAATTATGCTGGCTGGTCAAGATGGAGACCGTTTGCTTTTGCTATTGCGCTAAAAGCTGGGTCGCTGCTGGAAATCTGACTAGAAGCAGTTAGTTCCCTGGGACAAATGGAGATTCTCATGCGCCTCATGGGAGAAGTGGAAAGTGCTGGATTGACTTCCTAGAGGAAAGAATAGAAAGCGAAAGCTCCATCTGTAAGGTGCGTAGAAATGATCATGCAGCCTAGCAAGATTACCAACATTCCCAAATTGACTGCATCATTGTCATGCTCCGCCGCATGTATGCACACGCAAGGGCAGTTCTGGACAAGGAGTCAGACACTGTTGCCCGAATGAGACGAGTTCCTTTTCAGTTACACATGGCTGCTTTCCTCCGTTCCTAACAACAAACTGACATCCTCATAGACACGTTAGACACTTCTGGTAAAAGCACGCAACTGTGCCTCAAGTTCTTTTGCGATAGAGTCGTGAAAGAGCCATTTAAGAGATTGAGAAGGATTTCCTGCTCTTAAAAAACGTTGTTCGTCTAGTAGGTCCTCCTGCCTAGTTGCTCCAATCGCCAATCTGTGAGCGATAAGTCCTACCGCTTGAACTACCAAAGGTGGGCTATGCTGACTAGGCCTCAGAGAGCGCAACTGCCCCTCAAGCTCTTTCACCATGCAATCATGAAAGAGCCACCTCAGAGATTGAGCGGCGCTTGCCGCTCTTAGAACGCGTTGCTCAGCAGGAAGGTCTTGCCGACTAGTTCCTATCTCGAGCCTGTGTGAGACCAAGAACCGCGCTTGCGCGACCAAGGACATTTCATTCCTCCAGTCTGTAGAGAGGATCAAGATACATGTTGGATTTGGGGCGTGGCATTGATATTTCGGAAGACGCCGGACGATGTCTGTATCTGTACAAGGGACAGCTCGAAGATGGTGAACCGCTACTCGAAGGGTCTCGGGGTACGATTGAGTTGTCTGCTCGTGTTGAAGATGCAACATGATTGGAGCAAGGTGTACTGATGCCTTGAGGCGCTGAAAATTGTTACGGACGTCATCTAGCGTCCTAGTCTGAGGGTCATTGTACCTAGTACCATGACGAGGATTGTTTCTGACATGGATTGGATCGCCCTATTCTTGGTGATAGGGAAATTATAAGGGGGGGGGCCTCACCCCCGCGCCCAAACAGTCTCTCCTCGCCCTGCTGCAGGAGCTCACTGGCGACGAAGATATCAGCACCTCTCCTCCTGATGGCCCTCAGGCGCCAGGCCAGGTTCGAAGCCCAAAACAATCTACTCCAGCAGGTCGTCATCGTCGGACTCGTAGTTCTCCTCCACAGCAGCGGCGGCGGTAACGCGGGCCAGGCACGCGCGAAGACGGGCGACCTCCTCCTCCATGGAGCGGAGGGAGGCGGCCGCCGCCTCGCCGGCCACGCCGGTGTCGATGTATGCCGCGACATCGGCGCTATACACAGTCAGAGTCCTATCTTTTGCCACCAGAAGCAAGACACAATGAGGAGACTTACGCAGAGGGACGGGAATATCCCGCCTCCGCCAGGACCGGAAGTCCGGCGGCAACTTGTCTGGCCGCGAGCCAGTTCTCGTTCTCAGCCGGGGGCAGCGAGTCCTACTCGTCGCGCACCTGGCGCAAGAAACCGGGCGCAGGGTTGCAGCCCTGGCCAGCCTCACGACACCGGCGGCAAGTGACGCCGGCCGCGGGGAATAAAACGGTGAGATAGAGGCAGGAGGGGTTGGGGTTGGCGAAGGGGGTGAAGGGAACGGGAAAGATGTGCGTAGTCGATGCTTCCAGCACTTGGGCAGGGCACAGACGCGAGGTTGGGAGAGGAGGGTAAGGAGACAGGTGTCAAGTCACCCCCACTCCCAAAAGACGTGGGCCTGCAAAGTACCGAGAGCAGTAGCCACCGCCGACAACTCCTTCTTAACCTCTGTAGTCAAATCCGTCAGGGAGGCAACCACGTTGTCGAAGGATGCCGTGTGGGTTTCGGCGGAAGAGGCGATAGCAGTGCCCATTTCGTCGATCTTAGTCTCGAGGGCAGTGAGACGTGCGACAAAAAGGCTGCCGAAAAGCATGGAGGCCGCGCCCGGAGCCTGAGCGGGGGCACCGGCAGCGACGGGGACATCAGGAGAGCCGGGGGCGTCGAGAGCATCAGGAGAGCCGGGGGCATCGTCGTCCTCAATCATAATAGGAGGCATAGGAGCCGCCTTGTAGAGGCGAGCGCGGTGGGCAGGAGCGCGCCAGCCCTCGGTGACCAGTTTGCCGATGGTCCAACCCAAAATACCACGGGAAAAGAACTAAGGGAGGAAATGAATAAAGGAGAACAACTCCTAGCCTATCTAGGAACCGTATTGAAAACCCCCCATTCCTAAGTGAACGAACCGCCCTGCATGCTAGTTCTCCTCGTCCGAGACTCCAGCCCTATCCTCCCTACTGTCATAGGTAGACAGGGCACGCAGCTGGACTTCCAGCTCCCTCACCATTGAATTGTGGAACATCCACATCAACGAATTGACAGGACTTCCTGCCCTCAAGAACCTCTGTTCGTTCAGCAAATCTTGACGACTTGCTCCAATCTCCAGTCTATGGGTAATCAAGCCCCTGGCTTGGATTACCAGCGGCAGGTTTCTGTTCCAGTCTGTATCGGAAGGAGAACTGTTAGCATCCTATTATGGGAATAAATGTAGTGTCATGGAAAAACGTAGGGAAAATATCGAGATGCGATTGTCATTGGATGCTGCAGGGATCTGGATCTTCTCACCTCGTGGGAATTCGATCCACCTTGACACAAAAGTCAGTCTCTTGTTCAATCTGTACTAAGGAGATAATGTTCGAGGCAGTGACAGTACTTACGGCATTCTGAAAGGAGACAAGGTTATCTTGAGTAGTCTCGATGTGGGGAATGTGTTCTCGCTGGTTTAGGGATTGTTGTGAGACGCGATGTAGGTATTCGCAGAAAATTTTGAATTTGAGGTGACGTGATGATCGCGCAACGGAGAAAGGTGGAGGAAAAGGAAAACTTTTCTGAAAAGGTATATATGGAAAGAACAAGGAGTCAAAAGGATGGAAGCGCCTTCCGACCCCCACGTTATCCAAGGCAATAATCGCAGCCTAGATGAGATGAAAGGACACAAAAATATTTGCGAATGACGTTAGGGCTTTTCAATTTTTTGCAACTCCCTCACTCGAATATTTCAGTTGCCTTCACTGCTCGGATATGAAGTCATACTTCGCAGAAATATGGACATCAGCCGTTTGTATTGAGCAAAGGGTCCCACGTAACTTTCATCTGACCTCTGGTCCTTGTTCCACTTCACGCTTCTCATTATCCGGTCTGTCTTCTATCGTTTGTGTACGTGTAGGCGAGACTGAACGCGCGAAGAAAAAATGGCAAGGAACGTATTTGTGAAGCTGAAATTTTGAAAGCTGAAACTTGGAGGTTTGATGAAAGAAACCAACGACGGCGGGGAGTAGTGGCATCATCTGGACTACAGGTGGAAACGATCATAAACGAAGCAAAAGAGTGGGAAAACTCGGTTGAGAAACTTCTCAATGATGAAGGCATTTATCTTTGAGTCAGCGCAAGGAAAGGAACACAGTTCCCTACTAAATAGTCTCGATACGCTGTCATGATTGGATGGGCTACCGCGTACCTTGAGCCCCGGAGAATTTGATGCTGCTGAGGCGTAGGAAGGTGAAGAGCAACTGGTTCTACCCTTTTCCGAGGGACTTGGACCGGCCCGTCCAAAGTCATAAACACCGGCATAGTGCTGCTGTTGGTGTTTTTGCTGCTGCTATTGCTGTTGTTGTTCCTGTTGCAGGTGAGGAGGCATGATGTTGGGGGTAATATGGATGTCTGTGGTTCCGTTGTTGCGAAAGACAACGTCGCCCTGATAGAGAGAATGACCCCATAGCCATGCGTTGCCGGAGATGGCCTCGGAAGCGAGTGTCGTCCACGGAGCGCTCGCCCGTATGATGCAGGCAGCCACGAGCCATCCCAAGACAACCCCTGAAGCTCGCCGCTTCCTTCCTTCACTCGAAGTCATAACATCCCTCTTTACAGCATCCAGTGTCGACTTTGCTCCTAGGTTCGCAAATATCCTCAAGAGTATCAACCCCCCTACGATTGGATACTTAAAGTCTTTACCGAATCAATTTTCGCGGACGGGGTAGGGTGTTTATGTGTTGGTATTTGAGAAACCAAGCTCGAAACCAGCTATCTATGTAGGATCTAGCGCCAATAGTGTCTCTGGAATAGGAGGCCGTATCAATCAACATCAAACAGCTACCGCCGGCTCCTCCAGATCAGCCACACCCAAAGGGGTCCAGGAGAAGCTCAATGAAGGCTATACCTTAGTCCTGAGTCCATACTGGGCGATTGGCAAGACTCCCAATCCCATCTCAACACACTGCTACAATCCGCACCTTCATCATAGCTCTAGAAGCTGCAATGACTTGTATTCTCTGGTCCATGATGAGTAACAAATCGTGGGGGTTTACCAACGCAAATGGCGGAGACCTTTGTCCTTGGCCCAAGGACAACTACGAGTACATCGGGATCAACAGACAGAACCCGATCAAAGGCAGAGAGTCCGGCTCAAGGCCGGAACACGAGTGGAAGACGGGAGGCTATTCTGACGAGTTCGACGAGCTCCTCTTCTTGCTCATGGATTCATAGAATAGAGCCGTCGGCCGACCAGGGCCAGAAGGGGTCTCATTTGTTGGGGCTTTGATTGTGAGTCTGACATGAGAAAGTGAAAAACAAGTGAGATTGGCGATTTCTGACTCTGAATAATGGCCATAGATGCGTGGAATCAAGACCGGACCCATCTCACCATCCTTTTACTTCATTCTTTCTCCATATTCTCTATGGCGAACATGTCTTCGGGAAACATCCATCCCCAGCCCGACCTCCCCCGGTCATTCAATCATCGGAGGACTACAAGCCTCCCAACGCCCACAACATCGAGGAGGAGGGCTGGAAGATCCAGCGAGGTGTACACACTTGGGACTGGGGATTGTTCTCGCTCAGTCTTGCTCCTCCACATCTTCTGGAAACCTGTACCTCAACAACGGCCACGTTTCCGAGAGCCCCATCGCCGTCCAAATCAACAACGATGGCAGGGAAAACATCGCGGGACAAGGCATTCCTCTCCTCGCGCCTATTTGCATTGTATGTGTCCTTGTTCCTGGTCCGGCGTTCGCGGTTTGATTCTTGCATCATTCGACGTCTGGTTTCTTCGATTTTGTCTTTCTATAGGCCCGAAGTAAACCATTCTGACCTTCGGATACTCTCTCTCCAAGCATCATGCTAACATAAACCCCCATAAGGCACCGAGCCGCCCCATTTGCTGTTTGTCAAGGTGGGATGGATAGTTTCTCTATCCTCGTAAGCGTATAATCCATACGTCAAAGCAGTTTCAAGGATTAAAAGAATAATCCACGAGCAGGCAGAATTAGATAGATGTCTGTTGGCAATGGCGTCGACACCAAAATCTTATTATGCGATATGCGGCAAAATCCATAGCAACCCCGACATTCCTGGCGGAATCGAATGCAACAGCATCATCAGCGATGATGAGACCATTGTCAGCTGCTTGGCTCCCGTTCCAAGGGAGGTTGTTTGGTTGAGTATGACCATTCGTTTCAAGATACAGGACTGCTTCCAACAGAAGAGACCGAGCCGGCAAGAAGGTCTTTCATGGGCCCGTCGGTCCCTCCATGCGGCTGACTTTGAATGTTTTGACGGCAGCGTTTTTAAGCTGCTTGACCATGGGCAGCTCTGTCTAGCTGCGATGTACTTGGTGGTGGAGTCAGCTCTGATCCTAGGCACTGCGTCGAACAGCTGCAACACCGTGATTGGGATCTCCATCTCCGCCAGGATCTTTCCCAGGTCAAACGGCTCAAGTCCATACTCCTCAAGCCCTTTGATGTGCGGGCGGGGCCGTTCTGCTTCAAGATGGCCTTGACCTTGTCCAAGATCTCCTTCGCTTTCTTTCCTGTCTCGCGGATCATGTCTAGCTTATGGCGGGAGTCTTCAGAGGGACAGTTGCTGCGGGCTTCGCGGTGGGTGTCGGGCGCAGCGGTGGGATCTTTGGTCTGTCGTCTTCCGTTACCACCGGTTCCGCCGCATTGGGCTTCGTGACAGGCTGCAGCGAGGGTCCCTTCTTCGGCACCGGATGCTTGGAAATCTTCGCAGATGAGTCGAGAACCTATGCTGTCATTGTCCCGTCTGTCTTCCGTGCTGTCAAGGTCGTCGTCATCTGAATTGCTGCTTTTATCTGGACCTATGGCTATTTTCCTGGGTTTGTTGGTCTTGTCGGCGTTGGCGAACAGGACTCGTAGTCTGGTTCGCTGTAGAGATTTGTAACAAGTCAACATTTCTGTGCAATGGATCAATCACAATGACTCCCACTCACAGGGCGGAAAATTATGTGGGTTGCTTCTTCTTTTGTTAACGTTGTGTCCGCCTTCCTTCGCTCTTTCCCCTGAAAATTGGAAATTGCTTGGCGCGCCCTGAGCCGATCTTTCCACGTCCCGATGGCCCCGCGTCAGCAAAAATACCGTCCCGCCTTGTGCAAAATGAAACGAAAGAATACCATGAATACGCTGTTTCGAATACTTTGACTCCTATTGTGTCATTATTCTGCCAGTAATTGGCGGAAAAGTGTTTCAAAATTTTGAGTGTCTGTCCGAAGTCGGAATGTCGCTGGAACCCGACCCGAGCGCATGCATTTCGGGTTGAGACCACACTCGGAAGAAGAGTGTGAATAGCAGGTATTTGGCGTGGACGTATTCACCCCTCTTCTCTCTCCCAGCTACTACCATAAATATTTCGATCCGTTACCCTTCGTTGCCTGGAGAACGACATCAAACTTTCGACGTCGAGTTTTCTTGCCTTTTTTAGGGTTTCTTGCTTTCGAGCCAGCAAACTAGATAGCCACCAACAATCTTCCAGCAGCTTCCCCGCCCCAAGTAATAATGGCGTAAGTAACCTCTCCTTTCCTATCCTTCCACCCATCCCCAAACAGCAAAAACGAAGCTAACTTTGCCTCCAGGTGGATCGAATTCGAGAGGGGTAAGCAACAGAACGACCAAATCCAACACCACATCTCCCAATTTCCATGGCCCACGACTAATCGAATCTCTCCTCTTCTGCTAGACTGGACCTACCAATGGTCTTTGGTCTTGCAGGCCAAAAACCTCGTGGACCACCGTCTCTCAATCGGCGCCGACACCCATGCGCTGCTCTACGAGCAGCGGTGGTTGAGGGCCGCCCAACCCAACTGTAACATCCCTTGGATGTTTTACAATGCTGTTGTGATGGAGCTGGAGGGTCGGTTGTAGGCGGGTTGCGCGTGTTGATGCGGTAAAGAATCCTCTTTTTGCGATCGAGATATCTTCGAAGCAACGACCGAGACTGACGTGATTGTTGTTGAACAGATCCAAGCCCACGCAAGTTTCTTTGCTGGATGTAGTGCTTGACGCCGAATCCTCAGATTTCCCACAGACGAGCCGAGGGAGTTAAGGGAACGTATACCAATACCTCGCCCCCTACATCCGTCACAACACGGCTGGAGTAGAGCTAGGTTTCTCTCTCCTTTTCCCATCGCTTGTAGCTGACAAGACAATTCACGCTCTCCTTCGCTCTCTTTTTACCACTTCCCCCCTTGCTTGTTGCTTTGATGCTTTCACATGCGTTTTATTGTTCTGTTTGTTTGTGCCTGTCCAGAATTCGTTGGTTCTTTTATTTTGCCTTGTTTTCCCCCTTCTCCTCATGCTGCTTGTGATCTCCCGGTCGCCTCTCCCTCCTGCTCCTCTCGACTGGCCTAGGTCGCCCTCCTCGTTTCTCGAGCACTCTCGCATTTTATGGCTTTTCTTGCTGATAGGTTCAAGGAACAGAGGCGGCTGAAAGCCATTGCCAGTTTTCCAGTTTTGCTAATCTTTACTATCAGCAGGCATATTATTCAGCCCTTATAGCCTCCCAGTGGCTCGACCATTCAAGTCCACTCCCCGTTCACAATTATTCCAGCGTTAGAGCCGTTGTCGAAGCACAACCCCGAACCCTGCGTTCTTTGACCGAGTCAGCACCTAGCTGTCCTCTCCATGCTCTAACCGCGATAAAGTCCTTCATCCTCGAGCGCCATGACAATAGCGTTGTAGAACATGAATGCCGGGGTTCCCATGACGCTGCTATATCTCAAGCGCCTCTGCTCCATGCGCAGGGCGGTCCGGCTGACGCCGGAAGCGATGTGGAAAAGAACGAGCACTCTTGCCTGGAACGCCAGGGAGACGCCCGGACGCCAATCTACAGCAGGGTGACAATGTCAGTTTATGCCAGTTCTGAACAAACACAAGAGTCTTGGGGAGGTAGAAGGGGTGCACAGAATATGCCATACCTTTGTAGAAGTTGATGTATCTGGAAACACGGGGACCGGTTAGCTTCATTTGAGCACAGGAGGAGATGTGTCGTAAGGAGATGAGGATGATGCTTACGGCTGTCTCGGAGTTCCCTGCAGCGAGAAGATATCCTCGTAACCCATGGCTGGTAGAATCACGGTTGGTCTGAAGAGCAGAAAGGTATGATATGCCGAGAATATACTTTGATGTTGTGGTAGGACACCGCAGGCTACGATTTTGACGATGGTGGAAGGGTGGTATGAAAGTTTGAGGAACAAAAATCTATATCGACGACTGATAAATCCCAATTCACTGACCATTGAGCTCAACCTTGAACCTCGTTTTTAGTTACGGTGAAGGGAAGATGTTGAACCAAAATTCCGAGAACCTACAGCAGACCAGAATTGCTCAATCGGCAAAGGCCACCTCGCGTTCACCATTACTCCACCGTTACGAGTCCAAGTTGTAGAACGGCGAAAAGCAAAAGACCACGACAAAAGCATGAGGAATAGGGAAAACAGGAAAAGTCAGTGTGATAGACACCATGCGCCGAGCTGCAAAATTACACCGGAAAGTAGGGCCACAAGACGCAGATAATGACGGCAGAAGAAGACCGACGAGCAAAATATCTTGGTTGAAAAGAACCCGAGACAAAGAAAGCTTGAAACTACCACGAGAGAAGAGCTAAAACCGCCGACTGCCAAGTCATCATCCGACCAGCCTGCCTGCCTGTTCCTCCTCGTCGTGAATACAACCGCGAACCCCTCAACTTCTTTCCGTAATCGACAGTCCTCCACTCCACGCTCTAATGAAGCCACAAACAGTCTTCCAGCTCCCAGACGATCGCGTCATGGAAGAAGTACGGCATGCTACCCATAGGGCTACGATACCTGAGGTGTCTCTGCTCCATCCGCGGAGCGTTCCGACTAACACCGGATGCAAGCTGCCATAGAACTAGAACTCTGGCCTGGAAAGCCAAGGGGACGCCCGGCCAGAAATCTATGAAACAACGTCAGTTTGCGATAATTTTTTAGTGGTTAGTGTAGGGCGAGATGAGCAATGTCGGCTCTAGAAAAAAGGAGGAACGAAGTGCATATTGAAGCAGACGGCAGCATATCTGATGATGGAGGGGTATTGGGGTTGACGCATACATACCTCTGGTGAAGGAGATGTGGCTGTAACGAGGATCGGTTAGCTGTGTTGGAGCAATAGGTAGGAGATATGTCGTCGCGAGGATGGTGCTTACATCTGCCTCAAAAACATTTGGGTCCACTGGTTGTAATCCATGGTTGCCGCTGGTCTTGTGGATGTCTGAAGGTCAAGAAGAGACTATATTCTGAGGATTTTGGTCGATGTCAAGGTGGGTAGAGGACGGATACGGTGGGCTACGATCGTGACAATAGTAGAATAGTGGTGGGTAGGAAAGGAAATCTGGGCGGTTGATTTGTTCTAATATATAACGAAGTCGGAGTAATTGCAATTCACCAGCCCTCGAGCTTCTTAAACCTTGAACCTCATCTTTTAATTACGGTGAAGGGAACAGGTCGAATCAAAATTTCGAGAACCTACAGCAGACCAGATTGGCCCGCCTGCTCCTCGCCCCAATGGACGCAGCCAAAGATCCTTGACTTCCGATATAAACGGGTGTCAACCCAGTTGAAGAGGGCGCACTGCCAGTGCAGCAGGTTGTAGTTCTTCGCCATCAATAGTCGACGGTCCTCCGCCGCTACCCTTTGACCCCCTACAAACGATAGGAACCATCTTCCAGTGCGATAACGATCGCGTTATGGGAAATATACCTCTTAGTCCCCCGCGGGGAACGGTACCTCATGTGTCGTTGCTCCATCCGCAGGGCAGTGTGGCTTACACCCGAAGCCAGCTGGAAGAGGATCTGCACTTTGACCTGGAAGGCCAGGGAAACGGCGGCCACCCAGTCTATAGGGCAGTAGCAATGTCAGCTTATACGTCTCGTTGTACAGGAGAAGGAAGGGGGAGGAAGGGAGCGAAGTAAATTGGGATGGAGAGGGTAAAGGCGATGGATGATATGCGATTCAGTAAGGTAGGTGGAGGAGCAGGAGCCACTTGATGAAGGCGCATAATGTTGACGTACCTCTATCGAAAGAAATGTAGTTGGAAAGAACGTTTATTAGCTTTGGTGGTGTATAAGGAGAGGAAAGCATCGTTAGGATGGTGCTTACGGTTCCCTCGGGGTTTGCGAGAGCATGTTCCCATTATAGGCCATGGTGGTCATCTTGTGGGTGGTCCAAAAGGTAGGGATTTATCCTGTTCCCGGTGATAGGTTTGATGCTGCGGTAAATAATATTGTGGTCGGTGGGCTCCAGAATGGTAGAAGGGTGATAGGGAGAGAACTTTCGAAGATAGACGAGTTTAAATATATATCGACGACGGATAAATCCCAATTCACCAGCCCAAGAACTTCTTAAACCTTGCACCTTATCCAAAGCTACAGTGAAGGGAACAGATCGAGCCAAAAATCCGAGAACCTACAGAAGACCAGGTTTAAGCCAGGTTCTGGTTAGGTATAGGACCTTGAATTCCACCATCCAGAGCATGTTCGAGAACCTGAACCTTTCGCCAGGAAATACCTTTACGAAGCTACGATATACGAAACGATTCATCCGGACGGGAAGTCAAAAGACCAGAGATCAGACAGATTACGACGAGGGAATGAGAATGGATGTTGTGAAAAGCAAATGAATATCGCTATGCCATACCCAAGATATCTAGATGGGTGGCCGTGGGGCAAGGTGTCTATGAATTCTAGAATGACTGCCAAGATGATGCTACCCTTCCTTTAGTTTGTCCCTGCCACCATCGATGATGTATCTTTGATGTGTCTTTGGTGCTGTCTTTTCCCCTTCTCGTCGAGGGTGGGTTGTGATTTGAGTAGCACGGGACTTCCAGGTTGTGATTTGGGTAGCACGGGGCTAGTAAAGGGGGTTACGTGTGTGTGCAGGTAAAGATGCTGTTACTCCAATGTTTTGCCAACACGAGGGCAAAATCCGCCACTGTAGTTTACTTGCATCCTCCATCTATTGCAGAATGCAGTGTGATGTTTCCTGCTGGCCACCGGTGCGGTCCGTCGTCGGGAGCCGTGAACGGACTCCCCTGCGGGTGGTGGACAAAATGGGGTTGTGCTCCAGCACGAAGATGATTGTTGTGTAGAAGCAAAACTCCTGCGACTGCACATCAGGTACATATTTCCAGACGCTAGACAGCGGTCCATCATGATCGTCATGCTCGAGAATCTGCCGGACCCTCGCCTTCTCTCTGAGGACGAGTTGCTCGATCAAGAGTTTTGATCGGGCAAATCCTTGGGCGAGGCGGTCTTGCACGAGACGACGAGCTTGGTCGTGCATGTTGGCGGTGGGGTCGAAGTCTGTGTAGAGAACAAAAAAAAGTCAGTTCGGTTTGCAAATACCATTACCGATAGGCAGACATCTGAAAAAAAGGAAGAAGAAATAGATCGTATGCCTACCCTTTTCGAAAGAGATGCACCTGGTGATTGAATGTTAGCTTTGATTGTCCCATGAAGCAAGATAGAAATAAGCGAAGAGAAGAGCACTTACGGTTCCTTGGGTTCCTCGGGCTCCTCCGGCGTGGTAGACGGGGTCTCATTGACGAGAGTTTCAGCAGGCGTGGGAGGAAGAGTCTCGTCTGCCACGACAGTGGGAGTGGTGGAAAGAGTCCGTTCTGCCACGGGAGTTGTAGCTGGAGTAGGAGGATGTTTTTGACCTCCAGGCGTCTTCGGCCGAACATGTTGAATCATGCTGAAGGACGAGTTGCCGCTTTCGGACGGCATGTGTTGATACAGTGATGGCGGTGTGGTTCCGAACATGATTATTTCTGTTTTGGAGGTAGCGTTGATAAATGACTTCTGGTCTTCGGATTGTAGGTAGCGAATATGGAGAGATGACTGTGTTATGGTGGATGGAGGGAGGAGAAGAAGAGACGAAGGGCTCAGAAAGAACAACAACATTTAAATACTGCCCCGGATGTAAATATTGGTGCAGCACCGATGCCCGATCCGTATCATCTGCAGTGTCGGGCTTTGGAATTCATTTTATGCAGGGACCTGTCGCCTTTAAAAAAAAGTTGGTGCAGATTCTCGGAGTCCGTATGATAGTCTCGGCAACAAGTGTTTAGATCCGCTGCAGGACGTTATGCGAACCGAATGCTGCGGGATGCTGAAGCACATGGTGTGGCTAATAAGACCGACATCAACCTAAAAGTTTGTTATTTGAGGGCCATCGTGAGTGACTGGTCAAGAGAAGAGAAGAAAGGCACTTGGTATGTGAACGTTGCTGTCGTAGCGTGCAGCTATTCAAATACAAGAGAGAGGACAAGGCCATGTAGTGTCAGACAGTCAACGAGAATAAAAACGAGCTTGTAGGTGAAACAGGAACGGGAAAAGGGGCACAAACCAGAGGGGAAACGGAAATAGACAAAGTTGGCTGGAAATCTCGCGTCGTGCATTGCAAGGCCACATGCGTTCGAAGCCCGCATGCGTCCGGAGATCCGAGAGTGTGGCGACTATCGGAGTCCACACCTTAAGCCCCATACCTAGAGGTAGATACGTCGTCGTGGAGTTTAGCCGGCCGAATAACCGATTTCACGTGTCTCGCCATTCCCCTACTCCCCGTCAGAAACCCCCGCCTGGTCTTCACGGCAGAAGATGCGGCTCAAAAATTCTAATTCGGAGACGATAGCGTTGTGGAAGAGGTACATCACTGTTCCCACCGGGCTCGCGTCTCTGTACTCACGCTGCTCCCTTAGTAACGCCGTTGTGCTGATTCCTGCACACCTGCAAGCCCTGACGAGAAACCTGGCTTGCATGCAGAAAGAAGTATTCGCGTTCCAATCTATAGAAAGCAGTGTTAGCCTGTGATTAGAGGAGGTTGCGCGTCTTGGATCCGGGCAAGGAAGGTGGTGCTAGTGAAGAATCGGTTTCCTCTTTGCACTGTCTCGGTGACTCAAAAGGAAACTCACCGCGACTGAAGCTGATGTAACTGAAGGCGAGTTAGCCTATGATCAAACCCCAAAGCGTCTGAACATTAGCAAGATACTTCCATACTTACGGACGACTGGGAATTAGAGGATTGGGGTTGCCTGGCATCTTTTGATCTCTTCCTGTAGTGGTTAAAGTATTTTCAACTTTAGGTTTCCCCAACTAGTGACCATTCCTGAGGCCCAAACAGCAAGTTTACGGAGCGAGCGGGAAGTCAAAAGTAAGGAACCACTAGACAGGGAAGGGGAAGTTAAGTAGAAGAGCAGAACTCATCAAGAGCCTAGGTCCTCATCTTCTCACGTATGTATCGTCACCTGGTGAGCCAGAGACAAGTCATCAGTGACTCAGTCTGGAAGAAGGACAAACGTTTTCGCTTATCGATGTATGTGTGTTTGCCGCTGAGAGACCTGACTGTCCCATTTCCACTTGACAAAGCTTGAAGAGACAACTTGTGTTTCCGTCCGAGTCCCCGTCGTCATCACGGATGGCATTTGCCATCGTGAGTTTTGTCCAGCATGTTCGCTTGACGGAGTCAGTCGTGTCAGAGCCATGATCGGAGATCAGAATCTTCTCTCCCGCAATCATCTTGTGCTTGAGCATAGGCGAGCGTGTTCCTCAAGGGGATGACGTGCCATACGCAATGACCGACTCGGGAAGTCCAATGAGATTTTGACCAGGAAGCAACATCATGATCTCCATGAGCGTAATGCTCTCCCATTGTAGTGGCAGTCTAGGTGGGTGTGAGCCGGTAGTCAACGGTTTCCTTTACCAGACCAAGGAACGTCGAAACGTCGCGGTTCATGCCCTAAATGTTGCGCTGAAAGCAGGCAAAGAACATGGATGCCTTGCTGCGTTGTGTGAACTCTCGATATGGTGACTTAGCAGGTTGATGAAGATCACCGAGAAGAGAGCATGGCAAGTAGCCAAGTGCGCGTATGCCTCACTCTACCCCAGTGCCTAGCAAAGAGCTCTCTAGGTCCAGAAACCATCCGTCCCGTCACAGACTCACAACCGCCAGCTGCCATCATGCACCCGTACCTTCCTTCTTGCCTCCCAAACCTGCACCTACCGATGCAAACCCCTCCGAGCCCGTGCCCCTCTGCATTTCATCCCATCCCATCCCATCCCTCAGGTCCCAGCCCCATGCACCAGGCACCAGGCACCTACCACCTGCAGGGCACCATATAAGGTCCGATACCAGACCCCAATACCAGAACGGGGCCCAGTGGTTGTATGGCCGAGTGGTTCCGTTCATGAAAACATTGCCGGTGTGCGTGGTACCCGTGGTACAGTTTTCGTAGGTCGCTGACTGGAGGATTGTGGTTCGTTCCACAAGCTCAACAGGGCTTCTGAGCTTTTTGCCATTTTTGTCGCACTCAACGCTGATTGAAAATATTGCAGATGTGTTCTTTGGATTTGTCTCTTTTTTTTGCAAACTCAAATGAGTTTCTTTTCTTAATTTTTGGTTGGAATATCGGCGGTCGGTCGAGTTGCACCCCCCTCACTCTTACCGACCCCCTCTCCTCTGCTCCTCCTCCTCCTCCTCCTTGTTCAGGAATGAAAAGGCACATAGATGCACCCTGACGCCAATTCCGACTTGAAATACCACCAAATGTCGCTCGTAATCTTTGGAGTGTCGCTCTAGGTTGCTTTGCGTAGTTTCTGGTGGGATATCTTGCGGAAGCCTTAGAAGGCATGTCAATTCGCACGTCCCGAGTAACTCCTCAAACCAACTTCCCCGGATCACATGCTGAAAGGAGTGCAGCTTTCGTGCATTGAGGTTGATAGTGTTATAATAATCGATTGATGTATCTGTGTTCGTAGAATTGAAGCTATCAACTTTTCTTATTGAACATCCCTTTAAAGAAGCTGGAACTCTGTGGTCTAGGCTGACGCTGCAGAGCTGGAACTGGCGCCGGTCGCAGCGGCGCTGACGTCGTTGTTGAAGCCGAAGGTGGTGGTGACTTGCTCGGTGCTCCTCCACCTACATGGATTTGACTATTATTGATGGCGGTACTGCTTCCGCCACCAAGACTTGATCCGCTATTGCTATTATTGTTGGAGAGAGGACTGCTCCCCTGATTCCTGACGACGTGGTACGGCTGGTAGTACTGGGGCTGCCCTTCGTTTGTGTAGACAACATAGCCGGCAATAGGGGGCCCAACCTGTGTTTGTACTGTCGGGTTGTATGCCCCTGATTGTGGTTGTTGTTGCTGTTGTTGTTGGGCCTGCTGCTGCAAGTTTTGCTGAGGCGAAGAAGTTGGCGATACAACTTCAGGGGCATTCTGGGGATCGTGAGCGTGGCCTGGTGGGACATATGGTTGATATATGTTGCCATAATTTGCTACCATTCCCTGATGCGATACCGCTGGAGTAAATGACTGACCCCAAGAGCTGCCATCGTAAGAAGACATATCACTGTACGCCAGATACTGGCCGTTCTCTGTTTGAGCCGCCATTGAGGAAAGTACTTGGTTGTATGCCGCCCATTGGCGGAATGCCTGTTGTGCTTGTTCATTTTCAGAGACCGTGGCCAACCCTGGAGTTGCTACTGTGCTCGGTAGCTGTTGTCTTTGGAAGGTGGGCGTCGTTGGGGCCTCCGGGATCTGATCATTGAGCTCATAGGCGGAAGAGTAGGTAGGGTGAGTTGGCTCTGACATTTGCCGTCCTGCCGATGCTAGCTTCACAATGGCGCCGTTTTGGTTGCGTGGATGCTGCTGCTGTGGTTGCTGAGGATGCGCTGCCTCTTGTTGATCGTGGCGACCATCACTTGCCGACTCCCCTCGCTTATCCCCAGCTTGCCAAGTGACTCTACGAGAGAACTCACGGGAAACCTGACCCTCGGGTGCGGCGTAAACAGATACTTCGTACGAATCCTCTGTTTCCATCTCCAAGGAGTCTGTATTTGACTTCAGATCTTCTCCTCGGCGCTGCTCGGAATTCGCAATACTCGCGTCATCCGGCGTTTCACTCTCGAAACGAACCGGTCCGACTGTAGGCTCCTCTTGGTCTTCTTCTTCATCATTGTTTACTTTTTCTTCGTCCTCCTCATCTTCCGAATCGTCATCCGAATCCTCGGTCTCATTTTGTGCCCCCTCATCGTCGTAGTTAAGACCTTGCGGAGCTGCCATGGCCGCTCGCACAACTCCAGCCACCGCAGTGTTCCCGGTATCCATGGCAGACTTCAGAGCCAACATGATCTTTGAGACATGATTAATCAAAACCTTCAAGCAGCTTGTTTGGTCTTCTGCGAGTGCCGCTTTCAGTGCGTTCGTTCCATTGTTTGAGAAGTGCATAACATCTGCACCCTTCTTCAACAAAAACCGGACGACACTCCGGTCTCCTTCCCTCGCCGCAACAATAAGAGCAGTGTCGCCATCCGCATTGGTCGCGTTGATATCAGCTCCAGCATTGAGAAGCTTCTCCAGGGATTCCGTGCCAGATATCTGCTCCACTACATTGATCAGTGGTGTCGATTGGTCACAGCCACCGTAAACGTTGACATTTGCTTTCTTATCAACAAGCAAATCCAAAATCTCTGGGTTGCCGTACATTGCCGCTGCAAGGATTGGAGGTGCGTCTTGCCCACCGCCAAAGTTTGGGTCTGCGTTGTGTTCGAGAAGTAACGAGACGATATCCTTCCAGCCAGCCTCGGTTGCTGCTTGCAGGGCGGTGCCTTCAACAAATTTTTCGCTTTTTGTGAAAGCGTTCACATCCGCACCTCTGTCAAGAAGCTCTTTGACAATGCCATAATGGCCTTCCGATGCCGCTGTCTGAAGAGCCCATCCATCTGATGAGTTCACATCAGCGCCTGCATCTAGCAAGAGTCGCAGAATGTCTAATCTCCCATCGTATGACGCGGCTGTGAGGGCATTCCCGTACCTGGCGTGTAGCTGTTAGCGGTGAACGAAATTCAAGACGATTGAGGCTACTTACTCTTCTCCAGTAGCATTGGGGTCAGCAGCAAATGTGTCGAGGAGAATGGTGACGGTGCTGAGCTTCTGGTTATCGGTGGCTTCATACAGCGACTGATTTAGCTTCTCTCTCGAGACAGTTCCATCCGAGTACTCCCAGAGAATCCCAAGACTCTTGTCCTTGTTTTCGGTATTAATAGCTGCCTGATAGAAGGCTTCATCGCAGTTCAGCCCGCGGCGACTCTTGAGAATCACTGGCACGATTTCCCATTTTCCATAAGCTGTTGCAGAGTCGAGAGCCTTCTGGAACCACTCGTTGTTATGCTCAAACTCGAGGAGTTTGTTGAAAGCCGCTAGTCTCCCAGCTCTTGCGGCCGCAACCATGGCTTTGCTGTAGTCTTCGGGCGGAATCTTGTCCTTGTACTTCTCTATCAAGCAATCAAGCATGGAGATATCTGTCATCTCAGCCGCCTGTTCAAGTGGAGGTTGAGTATCCCGGGCCTGTGTGGTTGGCAAGACGCCTTTCTGTACCAGCAGCTCCACCGCTTTGAAGTTTCCTGAAGCGATAGCTGCATTGATGACAAGGCCAGCGAACTCCGAGTACGCGTTTGGGTTGGCTCCCCGGCTGATAAGTTTGTCCATCACATCTACATGGCCATTTACCGCGGCCATATGTAGGGCTGTATCGTCAAAGGGGATTTGGGTAATATCGATCACTGCGTTTCGGTTCAAGAGTTCCTCGACGGTATTCGTGCGTCCAAAATGCGCCGCAAGATGAAGCTGGATTTGGCTGAATGTTAGTCAAAGGTCTTCTCCAGAGCGCCAAAGGGCTGGTCTACTTACCGGTGTGTTTCTGAGCGAATCGAACATGTACATTTCATGGTCATGTCCATTGTTCAACAGGGCAACAACAAGTCGACTAAAACCAAGAGAGGAAGCAACATGCAAAGCAGTGAGAGTCTTACTGGCCCAGCCGTCGAGTTTTCCCATTACCCGAATGTATTCAGTAAGCCAGCGGCGTCGGATCGGCGAATCTGTTGTCCAAAACTCTTGGTCCTGGCTGAGGTCGTCGGCAAACTCTGGAGTCGATTTGCTGCCGTGATGAAGCCAATGCTTGACAGGATATTTCAGTGCTCGGTCCCGAATTTCGTCGGCTTCCGGATCGCAATCTTCGTCTGCCTCCTCCCCCCACTCCTCCGAGTCGTACTCGGAATAGTCGGTTGTCGAACCGTCATCGTCATCATCGTCCATCCCATCAACTTCAGAAGCTGCTTCTTCATCAGGATCATTGTCCTCCACCTGGGTTTCGCTGGCGGGATATCGGTCATCACTTCCATCCACACTATTTCCTTCTCCATCCTGCTCGTGAATCCCGTCTCCTGTGACATTGTCTGTTACGATTCCATTTTCAACAGCAACAACCACCCGTTCGGGGAAGTCAAAGGCTTCTTTCAAGTGTGTAAGGGATCGGAGAGCTAGGATACCGTGCTGCCACTCAATCTCATCTTGATCCATTCCCAGGAGCAGTGACTTGTTGTCCTCAAGATGCTTCTTCACGGCCGCATTCATAAAAGTCACGGTCTGCTTCACAACTGATAAGAACGGCTTGCACTTCTCAATCAGGCTGTGAACTTCCGCCCATGACAGCCCTGCAAGTATAGCAAGTTCTTCCTCAGTCGGATCTTCAAACGTCAAGAGTAGAGTTCGTAGCAACTCCTTGATTCTTCCGCCGGCTTCTCCATTGGAGCTGAAGATTTCGTTCCACCTGTCTTTCAGGAGGTCGCTGAGGTCTTTGGGTGTGGTCTCGAGAATAAAGCGAATCTTGACGTGGCTTTCTGTTTCAGGAAGCTCTGCAAGCTGGACACAGGTGAGATCAATCCAATGCATGTTGGTTGCCCGCCTACCAATCAGACTACTGGCGTAGTAAGCCAGCGCCTTGTTGTACTTTTTCTGCTTTTCGAGATCTTTGATCTTGCCCTTGGCATGTAGTTGTAGATCTTTTTGAACCTCGTTCACGTATTTCACATCTCGAAGGTTTACCAGCCGCACACATGGAGTTGTTAAGGCTTGTCCAATAGTCTGAAACTCCCTGCTTGTGAGAAACCACCGCGTGGAGACAGGGTAGCCTTCGCCCTCATCTTCGACGAGCCTCCGGGTTGAAAGTTCGGCATTGAGATAGTGCATCAGCTTTATTGTCGATTCAGACTCAGGTTGCAGAACATGAAGATTGTTGATGACGACGTAGATTCGGCGGCCTGCGAACTCATCGGAAAGCATGTTGAGCAGACACTGCCACAAGTTATCGACCGTCGCTTGGGATTGAGATTGGGGCTTGGACGAATTGTCTTTTGAATTTTTCTTGACAAAGACGCTTGCGTGAGCAGCGAGTGCATTCTGCTGGTTGATGAGCTGGCACAGTAGAGATCTGAGCACATCTTCAGCTGTGGAGTAGTCCGCGACGGGTTCGCAGAAGAAGTATGCCAGAAGAATACCGTCTTGGCCAGAATTTCCGTGCTTTTCCTGGAGGGTTTCAATGTCATTGAGTACGGCCAGCGTCGCGCCTGTCTTTCCTCTTCCCTCTGGGCCTCGAACCCACAAGCAGTCCACAAGCGATTCGCTCTTGGACGCCTCTTGATCAGCGGTTTGTGTCTTGATGATGTTGACCCATTCTGTATACTCGGGGATGCTAGTTATCCAAGTAGATCCAGACACGGCTCTTCCCAAATCCCTCCTCTTACGGTGCACCGATGCACCCTCCAGAGCGTCGAGAATGCCTTTAAGTGCTGTCAAGTCCAAGCCACGGGCCGAAGCAACGCGATTCTTGGCCGTGAGGTATGCACCGCTAATGGCAGTCTTGAGCTTTTCACGAACGGCCTGTGACCATATTTCGTCCTTTGGCCCATTGAACTTGACCAAGTTGCGATGGTCGCGCGCTAGGCCTAGTTTATCGTAGCCATCAAGCGTTGCTGACTCTTCGGTGACAAAGTCTTTGTATTCCTTGGGAAAGACGATGTTGGCAAATTTAGGCAGGTGTGCCATTTCCGCGAAGTTGGTCGGTTGCTCTTCGTAAAAGCAGAAGACGTGGATCTTGGGAGTGAGCTTGGTGATCAAGGTGGCAAACTCTTCTCGGATAGACTTGAGATAACTGTTTCCCGGGGTCATATCTTCCAACAGCTTGGAGGCTACTGCGCCAAAGCTATGACTCTTCTCGGCAAGGCGGGAGAACATGACGGCGGTAGGAGCAATAGCAGCACCCTTGAAAGGGGTTCCGAAGAAGATGGCGGCGGAAATAGCTTCAAACATGACGGGGTACAGCTCGCGGCGCGTGTCAGCATAAGCTACTGCCTTTGCAATAACCAGGCCTCCCATGCTGTGTCCAATAAACACAATGGGCCGGTTTCTGCAGTTCTGTGAATGGGTATTGTTAGTAGGGGACTGCGAGGGCGCAGGGCTGAGCACCAACCTTTCTCTTGGCTTTCAAGCATGTCAAAAGGGTGTGAGCAATGTTATTCATGAATTGCTTGACCTTGTAGTCGCCAACCCAGGCCGACTCGTACATGTAGAGCAGGATTCTAGCCTTTGGAAAATCCTTGATGATGCCGCCATCTTTGTCGGTAGCCCAGTTGAACTTGGACTTTTCATTTCCAGACTCCCAGCTTTTCTCGGGGTGAGCACCTAGACCTGGAACTAGGACGATATCAATATCGGAATCGTCAGGGGCATTATCGGTTTCGGGTGGGTAGAGCTGCTTGATGCCCTGCGAGACATTGTCGTAGCCCTTTGCTTTCCTAGCAGAGACATCTCGAGCTTTCTGGGTAGGAGTGCGGCGTACAGACTGGCCGAGAGCTTTCTGGGTGGCCGAGCGATTGAGCGACATGGCGAAAGGGTTGATGTAGCGCCCTTGATGAGCATCAGAAATTGGCAAAAGACTGTCTATGGGAGATAGGAAGTGGCCGTCACGGGAGAGGGGTCATGATATTGAACTTCATTCTGAGCCAGCCTTGTGCGGCTGAATATCCGAAGGAGCTTAATCGACCATTCGCTTGTCTGAGTAATCTTCAGGTTGCATCGTCCTTTTGGGACTGGCTATGTAGTCATTTTGGTTGTCCCAATCTGGAACGACGAGGCTCTGAAATGCTGGTGCCTAGAAGCGGAGATAGGATGCTCGCATTTCAAGCGCCGGGTAAACATCGTGATGGGCGTCTATAACTCGGCATGCCATAGGGTAGATCAATTGCCGAATGATCAATTGCAAATAAAATGATGAAGATGGCTTAAACATGGAATGCCACGGATTTCTACACTGGAGAAAGGAAGAGGAAGAGGCAGAGAGCTATGGTGACAGCGAAAGAATTTTCTCGTTATGTCCGTAGGAAATGATTGAAGTTGGGCAGTCACGTCTTGGAAGTTGTCGACCGATGTCGTGACCGTTTGTACATTATTTCCCTTGTATTGTAGGCGTGAGATGTCCATTAGTTGTGCAGCACGACCCACATTCCACTAACCGTAGCAGCTACCCGTTGGGGAGTGGAGTCAGTTCTGTCTGTTCCCCAACTCTGCTAGGCCTTATCGGCAGGGCACTGCTGTTGGCTTCATGTCTGCACTGCCCCAATGCAAGTCGAAACTCCATCATTCATCACCTCTTGGGATGTAGACCCAACTAAGAATCCCTTCACCATGACCTTTGTACGCCATGGATACAACTCTGATGAATGAGCCCTTGCTCATGTGCGCCCTCCCTATCTGCGAGATGCAAACAAGACTGTTATCATGAAAGGACGCTGCACATGGGAAACCATTGGCAAAAAGTGTTTTGTTGATGGACTTGGTCCACCTCAATTCACAGCATAAGACACCCTCGAAGTCCCCTTACTCCTCGAAATCTTCTTCACCGTTGTCTTCCCGCACAAATCCGTGGTATCAACATGCGTCCCACCGCACGGATACACGTCGGCGCCCACAATCTTGACCACCCTGAACTTCTCTCCCGGCGGCGCCAAGCTCCGATCGGGAATCAGCCTCTCCAGCCCGTTCTTTCTGAAATCTTCCTCATCCCAGAAATCCACCTCGACCGGCATCGCCTTGTCAATGTATTCATTCACCTTCTGTTGTATCGGATCCTTCCATTTCCCTTCAATTGAGCCCTGGAACTCGCAAGCCGCAGAGTCAGGGAAGTGTGACGCCTTCAGCTCGTCGAACCCGGGAATTTCCTTCTCGAGCCAGTGCCGGACTGCGGCGCCTAGGACGTGACCCGCGGTGTGGAGGCGTGAGTACAGGAGGCGCTTTTCCACGTCGATGGATTGTTCGACCGTATCGCCGACTTGGAATCTGCTGGGAGAGGAAGAGTCGAAGCGGCCAAAGTGGAGGACTTGTCCGTCGTTCACAGCGTCCATGCGGACCATGCTCACACGAAAGACGCTCTCATTTCCCTTGGTCATGACGCCTTCATCCGAGGGTTGGCCGCCTCCTTGAGGGTGGAAGATGGTCTTCTCGGTCACGACGGCGAAGTCATCGTCTGTGCCTTTCTTGAAGAGAAGCTTGTTGGCTTCTTCCAGGGCGGAAAAGGGCGTTATCGCCGAGACCACAGCTGAGAGCTTGTAGAGCTTGGCATTGTGGTGAAAAGCCAAGTATGTTCGTGCGGCGGTGCTGCCCTGTGCGAGTGTTAGTGCTCAGTCCGCGCTGTCATAAGGGGATCTAACACTTGCCATTTTGACTTTCGGATCACGGTTGAACTTCAATCTTTTTTTTTGCCAAACGCCAAAGTTGGTAATCAAGACTTGGATCCGACTGCGTTTTTATTCACTCTTCCAACAATTGCTATGATGCCTTTAAAAGATGTACAGTGTGCCGGGAAACCGATTACCTCTACTGGCACAGCGTTACAACGCCCTGTGGAAGACATTAAACCCGGGCACTTTCTCCACAGGCGGTTGCTCGTTGCCCTGGACACGGATGGGCCCCTGAAGATCACGATGGCTTCACAACAATCCCAATGGGGACATTACACAATTCCCCGATTCTTCGATTCGAAAGCTATCGGACATTGTACCACATCTATATTCACATACACGCCGCAATGCAGGTGACATCCACTCAAATCTTCGAGCACAACTTCGGTTTCAAGCGAGACACGGAGTTGTAAGGTTTCAGAATAATATACAAGAGGGTGTCATGTCCGCAGACTTCCGTCGTGATAGCTTCATGTCATGTTCATAACGAGATGGCAGGAGTTAAAAAGGTTAAATCCGGTTATCATTTGCTCTTCTTGGGCTTGATGTTACTTATCCCCGAGCACCGGTGGTGCAACTCGGTGATCCTTGGGTCGTAATACCTGATGGATCGAACCTAGTTTTGTTGTCGACGAGTACGGTTACACTGATGGCATTGCAGCTTACTCGAACACCTTGTCTGTGGGTGATTACAGATCACAAAACCATTGTTTACACGTTTTGGGGTTCATGGCATATCGGGTAGTCGACCGGGAAATAAAGATGGATGAGCTTGCGTATGGTATAGCTCAGGGTCTGGATTCCCGTCTTGCTCCGCTTATATTACGGTAGCTTCCCTCCATCTTCGAAGTTAAATCTCTGGTATTATACAACGTTTCCCCTTTTTATTCATTGCAAAAAGTTCTTGATAGCTCCTCCAACATTCTTCACGTCTAACAAGAACGTGTCATGACCAAACATGCTCTGCTCTTCGCTCAACTCGTAATGCGCCACGTTCCGGTTCCCGGCCAACTTCAGCGCATCGGCAATCTCGCGCTGTTGCCATGCTGGGAACAGGATATCGCTGGCCACACCCATAACCAGCGCCGGGTGGTCCCGCAGGGCAGACAAGCCCTGGATCAAATCCTCGGGGGGCTTCGAGGAGTCTGACTGTGTGACCGGCTTGGTGTCAATTTCTGCGGAGCCCCCCGACTCAGGTTGCTCCTCGTAGGGCTTGTCCGGCAGCGTCAGGCTGCAGGACACATTCCCATTTGATGCGTAGACCCCCTTATGGAGCGACTCCAACCGCTCAGCCCGTCTGGTAGCCGCATCCTTCTGGCACGAATGACCCAGGTCGAACAGGTCCATGGCCTTGCTGACGTACAGCAAACTATTGGGGTCGTATGTCAGGCAAAACTTCTCTCCCGCGTGGTCCAGATAGGTCTCGATGAGGAAGTCCGGGCAGAGAGCGGGTGGCTTGCTGGGATCCGCCCTCCTACGGCCGAATCTCAGCTCCCACTCGGGACCTGACCGGTAGGTCACAGTCGCAATCTCGCGCGCCAGCTTCATGCCAGCGTGTGGAGGGACATTGTCATAGTAGAATCCTCGGTTCCAGTTGGGGTCCATCATAAGAACTTGTCGCTGCGTGTGGCGCATCGCAATGCTGTATGGGTGACTCCGGGCGCAGCCGCTGATGGAGACAATGCGGCCAACACGCTCGGGGAATAGCACGCCGGCAGCTAGCGATTGCATGCCGCCCATACTGGATCCCACACTGGCGTACAGCTTCTCGACCCCAAGGTTGTCCAACAGACGGAACTGTGCCCGCACCATATCCTCCAGCGTAAGTATGGGAAACCTGGTGGCATACCGCTGCCCATCGGCCGGGTCGATGCTACTGGGTCCCGTTGAGCCGTAGCAGCCGCCAAGAACGTTTGTGCAGATGATGTGGTATTTATCGGTGTCGAGGGAGAGGCCGGGCCCGATGAACTTCTCCCACCATCCGGGCTGGGGGTTGGCTTGCGTAGAGTGGGCGTGGGACGAAGCTGAAAGACCCGTGTGTAGCAGAATAACGTTGGACTTGTCGGCGTTCATCTCGCCCCACGACTCGTAAGCGATGTCGAACTCGGGGAGCATGCCGCCCCAGTCGAGGAGTAGGGGTTCATCGCAGTGGAAAGTCTGGGTGGCGCCGGCGACGTAGGATGGCTCGGGGCCGCTCGAGTCGGAGCGCTTCTTGAGGGTTTCGGACCGGGTTTCGAGAGCGTCAAGGCAGGGGAAGGCCATGGCAGGGTTGGAAGCGCCACTGCGTCGGGGCGCCTGTTCGTGTAGGCATCGTTGCTGTTGCTGTTGTGGTTGAGCTCGGGATAACCGCAGTCCAGCTACCGCAGCAGTTCTGGATGACTGTGATGTCGCGGGGTTGGAGGATGCATGGGACAGGGCTACCGAAGCCCTCCGCAGTGACGCGGCGATCTGCTTTTGAGACCGCATGGTGTTGATCTGTCCTGGAGCTTGTGTTGAAGATGTTGCTACCGGCGGCAGACACAAGCACCAACAGGAACAGATGACTTATAGCGCAAGCGTGGTGATGTTGGTAATTTACCTTGTTAGTAATTAAGTCGGCACGCTACTGCGAACCCGGAGCTCATGGTGGGGAGAGAATGGAGCTTGGTAATCCAGTTAGCCGTCGAATCCGGGGAATCATAAAGAGGTTGCGGCAAATCCACAGGCCCTCACTAACCCCATTCTGCCTTCATCACGATCGGGATTCGGGACATTGTTGCAGTGTTCTTAGAAATCTCGACGGCGCTAACATAAGTCGTCATTTCACGTGCTGCCCGGGCGCGGGATGTTGCGCGTTATGCACCCCTGGGGTGTGTTCAGAGTGGTTGCCGGACCCTGTGAATCCACCGCACTGCGACCATCCGGAGGCCAGCGGGAAGCCCCCTGTCACGCCTGCCTGACGCCAATGTGCCTCCAAGACGGGACACTGCGGGGTACGACGGGTGATGTCACTGGTGCAACCGCACTTACGCTGCCCCACCATGACCGTCCAGCTGGCAGCTGCTCACAACTTCACAACCCTTCACTCTTCAGGTTCCAGAACCTTGACGACCCATCAGTCTTGGCCTAGGTTTCCATTCACTGTCTATCCCCAGGTTGGACATTCACGACCGCACTCCTAGTCTATTCTTGGTATCTTAACTTGCTTCCTATTCACTTTTATTCTGCTCCGACATTTTGCAATCCTTCGTATCGCATTCGAGGTTTCCGGGAAAGGTTAAATAGTCAGCAGCCCCGAACACTCATCGAGAATCGAATCGAGACCCCTTCGTGCCAATGGCCTTTCTGTCCTCCATATTCAAAACACTCACTCTGAATATGGTCAACCCGCTGAGTGCGGGTGATCCCGCACCCCAAGACCAAGATGACATCGATCGCTCTGCGAACCCCTACCTGCCGACGGCCGTGGAGGTAATCATCGTTAGGGCGATGCTGGAAAAGGCTCTTCAACTACCACCCGAGATCATTAACAGTATCATCGATCATGCCGAGTACTGGCCCCACACATCGACTGTCATCGACTACAGTAATTTGCCCGATGGACAAAAGGTTGTCCCGGGAGGAGAATCCGAAAGAGAGAACGCCTTCTTGGTGAGCTTGGATGTCCCCTGCAGGGTATTGGGTCTTTCTCTTATACTGACCTGCCCATCTTCGACAAACAGCTGCGTACCCTTCCTCTCGGTTTCGTCAAGCCGCCTTCCTCGTTCTTGCAAAACGATCGCAACCGCCAAGTCCCACTCGAGCCGATTCCTCGCGAGCCCAAAGAGTTCCCCGTCGACACCTACCAGTCCCGCATATCCCCCACCCTCAGTCACCCATGCCGCAAGATCAAATTCATCATCGTCAGCCACGACCAAGGCTGGGGCGGCGAGCGGCATACCCGCCGGACTTACAAGAACTCTTATACCTGGTTCGATATCGGCCTCGAACGGTGCCTCCAAACCAGCGACGCCATCAACAAGCCGACCTTTGATCCTCAGACCCTCTCCACTCTTATTCCAAAAGTGCGCGAGGTTAATCCCGAGGATGACAGAGAGCGCCATGTGCAGGGAACGCACACTTTCGATTTTCCACTACACCCCGAGCAAGATACTATGATCCAGTGCAACGAGGTGGCTAATGGACAATACCACCAGTACGAAGTGGAGTGGAAGTGGACCGACGACATGTCCAGCGCTGATCTTTTCGACAGCGGCTATGGTTGTGAGGAGGGCCTGATTGAGAACCCATTGCCCAAAATGGGCCGCGGCCAGGCGACGGGCGACGGGAAATTCGTGAGGGACTTGAAGCTCGGTGATGTGGTCACTGTCTGGGCCAAGGCGAGGTTCGGAGGCTGGGCCAATTACATCAAGCGCATCCAGGTGGATGTTTACTGGGTTGTTTGAGGTGACGAGCAAGAGAGTAGGACCAGGCTTTTGGTTTTCTGGTCGTAGATGCTCAGTTATATGTGGTTGGCGTTAGGCGCTTCTGGAGCGAGCGTTGTCCTCTCTCCATCTTTTTTTCCTCATGCGTTTTGTATTGCATACACCATTCATTTTTTTCTCCTAAGGAATGGAACAGGGACACGAAGTCCACGAAAAAGAAGGATAACGGAACAAGGAGGATAACAGAACAAAAAGGCCATGATTAAAGACAATCATGGAATGGAACATCACAGGGGGTTTGCTCTAGTGCTTTACAGTCAGGTCACCATAGGTTCATAGGCGCCAATCAGTTCATCAACTTTAATACCTTTAATGAAGCTTCACTCCTCACATACCTCTACATAGTGAATGTATTCGTAATCATTGATACAGCTCTATAACGGGTCCACGACGGTCCGCCCTGTCTCGTGTCGGTACCTTCCTTCATGTTTTTTCGAAACACATGTCCATCATCGCTATCACTGGACCAGGATGTGTGCACAATGGACCACAGCGGGATGAAGCTTCCATTCTGAACGATGTCTCGCACCGGGACTCTTGGCCTGCCATCACGAAGACAAAAGACATCTGACGATCAAAGAGGTTCTTGAATCCTCACTCACTTCACTCTAGCTTGTGGAACAGCAATGCCAATGGCCTCGAAAGGGCGGGGATTCTTCCCTCAGGGCCAGGAAACTACTTACCAAGAGATGGATAATGGCCGGCCAAACTCGGATTTTGCGCACTAGACTATTATACATAGCCAACGTCACAGTCACAACCTGTGGCGGGTTGTCTGTCGTATTTGGTCCCGGAAACAAAGATATGTCACCTCCTTAATATCTTCATATTTTATATGACTTAATTCTCGTCACTACTGTGTAGGTATCCAAGTAAGTATCTATTCTAGTTTCGTTACCTCTTTGAAGTTTCGAGAGATTTCTCGCACTTCCTAGATAATTGCCCGGTGGTGTCCGAGGAACTCTCTAGGGGAAGAATCTGGTACCATTCATAACGGTGTACTCTAGTCAAGTCTCGAATCGCCCATCTGATCTGTGGCGCAGGGTGGTTTTGGGTTGTTGATGTGTAGACCGCAAGATCATGAGGTTAGTCCTGGCGTTCTATCTTTGCGTGGCTCCTGTCTGGTTTGTTTTTGCGTTGTTCATGGTTCTTTTGTTCGAGTCCGTGATCAACTTTCTTCAAATCACATACCCCAAGACAGGACAGAGAGATGGAAGAAATTTAGATCTTTTTTTACCATTTTTTTCTTTCGTTTTTTATATTTGCTTTTTGACTACTTTTGTCTTATGCTCTTTCGTCGTCGTCTTCTTCTTTATTCTTTTTACATGTTTGCATTGCCATTAGCCCAGAAACCAAGCCATTCAGAAACCAGACCAGTATAACCCAATGAACCAAACCCATCCCTTCCCCAGATTTGCTTGTATCAATTCAATCATCCCTTTCTTTAAGTTAAAAGAAAAACACACACCCGTTTCCACTCCCTTTCCATGTTCTAATCAAACTTTGTATGTCGAACTTTGTTGTTCGCTTCTTCTAGTATACTCTGGTATCAAATGTGAAACCAAATAAGCGCGCAAGGAAAAACGGACAATGAAAATAACCCGAAAACTTGCTATATTCCTCCCCCTCCTTCTTCCCATGCGTGCTCAATATCACCTTTTTTTCTGTTCGCTTCTTTCCGTTTGCAAGCAACGTCTCCCTCTAGTCCCCGCTTCCCATGTTCCGAATGGTGAACTGCTGACAGCATCCTACATGAACTCTGAAGTGGTGATAGCGAGCCTGGGCTTCAGAATCGGCCTGGCCTCAGAAAGACCCCGCGTCATTCGGATGCAGTCATCATTCCCATCGGAAGTACGTCCCTAAAAATAACGGGCAGGAAGCCCCTCGAGTCGAGGGGTGGGTTTGCGGCAAAATAAATGAAACTTTCCGAGGAAGAGGGAAGAGAGGGAGAGATGATGTAGAGCAAGGAAAGGGAAGAAAAAACCTCCAGATAGAGCAAAGATATCATTCAGGCCGGTCAATGATGCGTCGACAAACAAACAAAGAAGCCACAGCATGATCCCAAATGAAGTTTTGAACCCTGTGCTATAATCTTTAAGCTTTCCGCCTGCCCGCCATGTTTAAGAGAGACGCTCCTCTGTAAATGCGTTCGAATGTGTGAAATGCAGTGTATATGGCCTAAGCCAACCGATACCAACGATGACAGGAATGACATTAATAAAGGCCAAGCAGGACCGAACAGAACCCTCCCAGTTCCCCCTCTTTTCATCCGGACCAAGTTCATCGGTCCGTCCTAGGACTGTACACGATACAGCCTAGTCGTTTCGCTTTTATAAAATGAAATAAAGACGCTTTATGCTGATGTATCCGCCAGTTTGGAAGACTGCAGATAGATGACTCGTTCGTGGAAGACAACTGCCCGTTGGAAGAGCTTGACCAGTCTCCAGTGGTGTTGTGGAGTCCGAAGGGTGATCAGAGCGGTGACCATCCATAAGACCCTCCATAATTGAGCTTAGTCGTTGAGCAGCAGCAACATGGAAATGACAAGCAGGTCCATCTTCAACCAGGCAGCATGTGCCATCCGAGCTTATGCTTATAATCCTGAACTACATGTCCAATATAGGGCCTAAACTTCCGATGGACGAAGCCAGACAAGGATACGTATCCAAGAAAGCCATCGTCCCAGATTTCGAGTGCTCGGATGCAACGCGCGGCTAGTTTTTCGTCCGACAGAATGGAACTGGGAGTCATCCCCGGTTCACTATGCCGCGCACGTTGATTGATCAACCGCCTCTTCGGTCCCCGTCATTTTTGGGTAACTGCTCGCTCTGGGCGAAAGTACTCGCGGCATGTTTCAAATCGGCCATGCCCTTCTTCCGAGGTTTAGACTTTTGCCAGTCACTTAACCCCTCACTCTGACCCTTGTTCCCATTCCGCAAGTGTCCATTGCCCCTGGAAGTGCCATTACTTCGCTGATCCAGAACCGGTGAGCGGGTCACAGAGTCAGGTTTTGCTGCAGGACCTGCTGGCGGGGATTTCACCGGCGACGTCTTCTGTCCTGATCTCCAGTTATCTGAACGTTCTGAACGGGACCCGTTTGTAGACTCAGGAGTTGGCGTGGAAACAGCTAGCGAGGATTCATACTTTCGCATGAGTGTGGGTGATGGTGTTCGCGCCTCATAAACCGGTGAAAGATGCTGCAAATCTTGAGAGACCCCAAAGCTGCCAGCAGGAAGGTCAAGGGGCGCTATCCCGTTCTGCTGTTGCCGAGCTATTGATCTCATACGATCACCATTCGGAGGAGACAGTCCAGGCGACGCAGTGGTATCGCTAGTCATTGGCGCGTATGGAATGCCAGGATGGAAACTGTTGGCCATTGCGATGCGCTGCTGGAATGATGCGTCCCCCATGTTCTTGGACGAGGCTGGAGACCGGGTAGCTGTAGTACTATTTACAATTACCGGCCGGTCCGGGAACTGAGCGGGGTTGTGTCCAGTGGCAGTGGGTAAGTGGAAGTTGGTCGGCTCGGTCCACCCCCCATTGTAGAACCCTTGGTGGATGTAGAGAGGATTCTCATAAGTCGCATCTTCCGGTACCGGAGGCTCTGCGACGGGTTGTGGGTGACGAGGGACACTTGAAGCAGGTTTGGTTTTGCCCATCGAGCCGTTGACAACCAGAGGCCCACGGCTGGGAGCGAGCTTGCCATTGGTTTGCGGAACAGGCGCCGACGGCGCAGAACTATTCCCAACTGATGGGGTCCTGCTGTGGCCCAGAGGCGAGGGAGACCGTGAGGTGCGCTTCATTCTTCTGTCAAGGACCGACTGAGGCAGCTGGTCACTCGACAATCGGTGGCGAGTCTCATTGTCGAGCGTCAGTTCACCAAGGGAGGGTATGATGCCGTGAGTACCATTCGCGACGGGGCTGGAGCCTCCATGCATGAAATAATGGTTGTAGCGCGAACCATCATCCTCAGGCGGCGAATCGGTCACACTGTTGGCTGACGCAAGATCGATATCCGAGTCTATCGCTTCGTCTGGCACGTAATGTGGCATTGCCATTCGCGGGTATGGGATAGGAATTCCAACTGAAGGCTGACTCGTCCCTAGATAACCCGTCATGTTCTGAGTAGAGGCCGTAGGGGTCCTCGATGCTGGTTGGGATTGCGACCTGAGCGCACCGCTACCAGCAGAAGCACCGGACTCACTAGCCACAACATTTCGATGGAGGCTTCGCCTATACTCAGACCCTCCACCAGCTGTTGCAGCTGCCGTCACAGGGGAGGACGGATATGTCTGTAGTGCCGGATGGAAATAGGCGGGATTCTGCAACGGGAATGCGTAACCGTAGAGTAGTTGCTCAGGCCGTACTGGAGGACTCGTCGGGAGATTGTCAAAAGAGTTCGTCCGAGACCTATCGGTATCCTGTGAGCCGCCTGCCCTCGTCCTATTAGCATGGGCGAGCAACTGTTGTTGATTTATCTGCTGTGAGTGCGCGAACAGCTGATATCGGATACTATCTTGTTGCTGCTGGTGCTGCTGTTGCTGTTGAGTCAATGCGCTGAGCTGGGATGCGTAGACCTCGGCAGGTATCCCGTGCTGGTGATACCACTGCAGAAACTCAGGAGCAGCCATCTGCCCTGGAATTCCGGCCTGCACATAAGTTGAAGTAGGATCGTGTGTCACACTCGATGAGCCCCGGCGACCGGCGTTTCCGTTCCGATTGTATTGTCGAGCGTTTCGAAAGCCGCCATTCCGAGGGTTTCGACTCGAGTGCGTCTGCGAAGAGCTTCTAACCAAGATTGGCCTTGATGTACTGGCTGGTTTCTGGAAGATAGTCCTTTCCTCCTCCTTTGGGAAGACGTATTGCTCACAGCATTCCTCGAATTTGCCGTCGGCAATCAGTTCGAATGCCCGACGTAGCTCCATGTGGAGACCCCGGAAAGACGTGTCGTCGGCTGTATTCCCAAGATTGCGAATGGTGTTGAACGGCTCCTCCACGCAGAGCATATTGTTAACACCAATATGCCAGCGTTTCTCAACTTTACTCAGTAGCTTGCCGGTTCGTATTGACAATGCATACTTGTCGTAATCGAACTCGTGTGCGTAGAATCGGAAGAAGTTGAAGAGAAGAGCCGCTAGGCTGTCCTTGTTCTTGTCCCCAAAACCACGCAACTTGTCGATGTCATCAGCAAAATCGCTCTTTGTCCCATCTGGCCTAAGAAGCTTGAGGCTGTCTTTTTGGTGAAGTGCTGGGAGAACTGGAGGGTCGCGTAATTGTAGAAATGCAATAGTCAAGCATATCCATGTATACGAGCTTAATGTGCCACCAAATGCTGTGAAAGAGTAAGCGAATGCATGGCGAAGAACGGACACAGGGCGACTGACCTGCATCATTTATTATCCTCCTCCTTGTCCAATACTTGATGATCATGGCCAAAGGCCGCACGCGTTCGTCAATTTCGACGTACGTACGCACCATCCTGGTATTCTCCAGTGCCAGTGTATTGTTGACATTCATATCACATGCTAGTTGGAGCTCGGGATCCCATATCTTGACAATTGGTACCTTTGCTGACGAGACACAAACGACCTTTTCCATGCCATCTGTAAGGACTGAATCAGTACTTGAGCCACAGACACGCTGTTTCAACGAGAGAAAACTTACGTTTATGAAGTAACTCAGCGATCATGCAGACGCTCTCCAATTCTTTCCATGGAGTTGTGATGCAAATATCCACTGCCAAACGTCAACATTTGAATCTCAGCCGCATAGTACGGAAAGGTGGACCAACCGTCAGAGTCGTCAGAACACAGCAGATTGCCTGAAGATCCGAAAAGATGTACTTGAATATCGTGTCCAGGCCACTCATCGTTTAGTATCTTCTCCAGCTTTTGTACCAGCTTTTTCCTCTTACGCTCCACCTCTGGAGTTGGTATTAGACTGTCATAGAGTTCGCGCAGGGTGGTTGTGAGTTTCGCCTCATGGTCCTCTGATAGCCTGCTCTTAATCTTGTCGGGATCAACCGGATCCAGTCTATCCGCTCCGATACTGTATGGCATTCGTCGTCTAGAGAATGGAATGGCGGTCTCGAAGCGACAGCCCCCTAACCTGGGAGGCAGCGGCCGAAGTGATGGCACATTACCATTTGTCTCCGAATATGCTGAACGGGGCGAATGGTTTTGTGTGGCGCCAGGGGATGGATCACGGGACTCGAACGAGAATTTCCTAGCATGTTGATGAGGCGTGGACGGTACTGAGCTGGTTACCGTAGCTGGGAGGTGATTCATCTGGTCGGTTGGGAGCGGCGGTCGGGCAGGTAGGCCGTGCGGACCATTCTGATCTGGTTGTTTCTTTCCCGACATCTTGACTGACTTTTCCTTTGCGGATGTTATAAGCACGCGTTCGGCGTTTTCTGTGTGCTTGACTGGCCTATTCCCATGACAGCTCAGGACGCTGAGCTTCCCCTGCAAGCCGTCCTTGGTCGACACCTTGGAAGATGACTTCGACCGCGCGGCAGGTTGAGATTGCGTCAACGAAATCGCAGTCGGCAATTGTAAGGTGTTCAGACCACTACCGCCTCCTCGGCTGGAAGAGACAAGCCTGTTATAGTACTGGAGCTTGTCCTGAGAGATGCTCAAGTGTTGCGGGAGCAGAATCGGCAAGAGCTCGAAGTGAGAGGGAAAGTATGCAACGACGGACTCTGGAGCGTAAATCGAGGTCGTATTCGATAGCGCAGGTTCGGCGGGTAGACGCGTCCACAGGTTCGTCTGATAATGATGCTTGAGTTCAGCCGCTGTCGGCTGGGCGTCCATCAAAGGTTATGGTCGGGATATGCTCTCGGTGCAAGTCCGGCCTGCGGTTCAGATCTGATGGTTGAACGGACGCGGTCGACACAATGCTTCTGATACGTAGAAGGCACGCTGATAAATGTACAGACGTT